ATGAGGAAATAAAAGCAGTAAAGCATATAAAGCAAATAAAGCAAGTAATTCTAAACTATCGAGCAGCAGATAAAAGCTTAAACATAGAACCTGCGAAGGTTCTGAATGTTCCACCAATCGAGGGAGGATGGTTCCGCTGTCATCTGTAGTTTGTAGGCGGTAGCTGCCTGCTGGGGAGGCCTGAATGACTTTGTAAGGTCCTTCCCAATTTGCAGTAAGTTTTCCAGGAGTCTCGGCTTGACTGGCTTCATTTTTCCTAAGTACAAGATCCCCCGCCGCGATCTGTTGCCTTGACTCGCTTTTTGTAGTGTTTCCTGAGGATCTCCTTATACTTTGTCTCTCTGATCCTGACGGCATCCCGTCGCTTCTCGAGCAGGTCGAGATTTAGCCTGATATCATCATCGTTAATGCTCTCGACAAAGTTAATTGTTCGAGAACTTGTTAGGCCTATTTCGACTGAGAGAACCGCATTCATGCCATAGACCAAACTGTAGAGAGTTTTGTCTGTCGAGGAGTGAGCAGTAGTGAGGTATAACCAAAAGACGTGAGAAAGTTCCTTGGCCCAAGCTCCTTTGGGATCGTGTAGCCTGGTCTTGATTCCATGCAAGATGGTTCTGTTAATCGATTCCGCTTAGCCATTAGCTTGGGGGTGAGCTACACTCGAGAACCGGTGCTCAATTTGCATTTCCTCGCACCATGTTTTGAAGGGGTTACTCTCGAATTGGGTCCCGTTGTCGGAGACAACGACCTTAGGGACTCCAAAGCGACAAACAATGTTTTGCCAGAAAAAATCTAACACCTTTCCTCCTGATATTGAGGCCACCGGTTTAGCTTCTACCCATTTGGTGAAGTAATCTACTGCTACAATTACCTATCTTACTCCTCCTATCCCTTTTGGATGAAAAAGACCGATGATGTCAGTGCCCCATTGATAGAACAACCAAGGACTTTGAATGGTGACCATCTCGTGCTGCGGTTGTCGAGTAATTGGAGAAAAATGCTGACATCTATCGCATTTTTGTACAAACTGGTATGCATCCTTGAAGACCGTGAGCCAAAAGTACTCTGAACGCAGTACTTCCTTAGCAAGTGCTCTAGCTCTCATGTGTGCTCCACATGATCCCTCGTGTATTTCCTCGACGACATAATCTGCTTGTTTCAGTCCAATGCACCGTAGGATGGGTAGCAAGTACCCATACTTACATAACACATCGTCTCTCAAAGTGTATTTAGCTGCTTTTAACTGGAGTGCTCGAGCATCTGATTTGCTACTTGACAACGTTCCCTCTGTCAGATATTGAATAAACGGGGTCTTTCATATGTCTCCATCCTCGGTAATGGTCATTACGAAAACCTTTTGAATGCTAGGTTCGAGGATGATCTCGACCCAAATTTTGTGACGAAGATGTGCGAAGTTTGAGGAGGCCAATTTGCTTAATGCATCCGCTCTCTTAATTCTCGATCGTACAATGTGGGAAATAACGCACTCCTCGAATTTATCTTTTAACTCGAGGACCCTCTCGAGGTATTGTTTCAGTTGCTCATCATTTGCTGGTAATCACCTATGATTTGATTTACCACTATTTGGGAGTCACTAAAAACTAGCCTTTGAACCCCTAACTTTACAGCCATATTCAATCCTGCTATCAATGTTTCATATTCAACCACATTGTTAGTAATTGGGAAGCCGAATCTCAGTGCGTAGCTGTACTCCGCATCATATTCTTTCATGCTCCCGATCTCAGGATCAGCCGATGGCTTCTCCAGTATGATACCGGCTCCTTCCCCCTCATCACAACGAGAGCCGTCAACGTATAGCGTCCAGGCTCGAGGGTTAACCGTAACGCGAGTAGTGGGTGACTCTTAGGCGCTGCAACTTCCGGAATATCAGCAGTTCAGAGCATCTCTACAAGAAAATCTATGAAATCTTGACCTTTGATTGCTGTTCTCGGCTTGTACTCGATATGGTGTTCCCCTAACTCGACTGCTCACTTCCTCATTCTGCCAGAAGCTTTTGGGTTGAGAAGGACTTGCTGAATGGGCTGCTCTGTTAACACTCTTATCGGATGTGCTTGGAAATATGGGCACAAGCGTCGAGCAACCAGAACTAAGATCAAGATAAGTTTTTCCATGGGTGTGTATCGTGTCTCTGCTCCTTGTAACACTTTACTGATGAAGTAAACAGGGATCTCCTTGCCATCCTTGTTTTGGACTAGGACGGCTGATATGGCTTTTTCTCGAGCAGCAAGGTACACATGTAGGGTTTCTCTCGGTTCTTGTTTGGCTAATATAGGTAGCTATTTGAGATGCTCTTTTAACTCCTAGAAGACTTTTTGGCATTCCTCATTCCATTCAAATTTTCTACCTTTGCGGAGCATGTGAAAGAATGGGAGACTTATTTCCGCGGCTCGAGAAAGGAATCTATTTAAGGCATCTAACGATCCTGTGAGTTTCTGAACTTCTTTGACATTTTTCGGGGCTTCTATGGCTAGGATAGCCTCGATTTTCCCTGGATCGATATTGGTTCCGTCTTTGGAGACGTGGTATCAAAGGAACTTACCCGATCCCACACAGAAGGTGCATTTTTTTGGGTTGAGCTTCATATTAATCTTGCGGAGAATTGAGAAGATCTCGCGCATATCCTTGACTACCTCCTCATCTGTGTTACTCTTGATAACCATGTCATCTACGTATATCTCGATATTTTGACCAATCTGGTCGTGGAATGCTCAGTTAACGAGGCATTGATAGGTTGCACCAGCATTTTTAAAGCCAAAATGCATCTTGTCACAGCAATACACCCTGATTTCGGTAATATAAGCTGTCTTTTCCGCATCTTCTCGTGCCATGAGGATTTGGTGATACCCTTTATAGGCATCGAGGAAGCTGAGGGTTCTATACCCTGTGATATCCTCGACCATCTGATGTATGACTGGTAAGGGATAGCAATCCTTGGGGCAGTATTTATTGAGATCCGTGTAGTCTTGGCACTTGCGACATGAGTTATCAGGTTTCCGCACCAGGACCGGATTAGCTAACCAAATTGGCCAAAGGACTTTGCGGAGGATATTAGCACGAACCAGCTTTAACTTTTCCTCATTAATGACGTCGTTGCGATCCCGAGCGAATTTTCTTTTTTTTGTTGTACAGGTTTGACATTGGGATCGACGTTCAGCTTATGTCAATGACGTTTTGTAGTACTCCACTAATATCTGTAGGTGACCAGGCGAATATATCGCGAAACTCGCATAGCAAGGCAATAACCTCGGCCAGCAACGTTCCCTGCAGAGATGTCCCTATCTAGATGGTCTTGGAAGGATCCTTCTTGTCAAGAACCAGTTCTTGGGTTTTGCTACTGAGTGGTGGTAGATTACCAGTGTCATGATCTTACGACTGTGGATGTGTCGTTGTCTGTTGGATCGAGTAGCATCTTGACATAGCAGTTCTTGTGTTAGATTTCATAGCCTTCTTTCCAATCTTGACTGTTGTGAGAAAACATTCTCGAGAACTGCGTTGGCATCCTTGCACCACTCCAACTCCATACTCTGTTGGTAATTTCATTACCAAGTGATTAGGAGACCAAATTGCTCAAGCTCGACACATCTATTGTCGTCCTAGAATCACATTGAGTGGCGAGGGTGCATTTATTAAGGCAAAATCCATAGTTAGTGTAACCATCCTGGGATGCGACCGTACCATGATGGGGAGTCTTATGATTCCTGTCGGAATAATGGTATGACCTGAGAAGCCCATTAATGGTAATGTTGTTGGGCGGATATTGGGGTTTGGGATGTTCATCTTCTTGAAGCAATCGGTATATATGATGTCGACTGCACTACCGTTATCCACATAAACCCGAATTATATGCATGTTTCCAATTATTGCCTCGATAACCATAGCGTCGTTGTGAGGGAAAATATCAGGAACCACGTCACTATCAGTGAAGACAATGGCCTCCGTCCCTTTAAACCTCTTGTGGCTAGGTTCTTGGGGAGGAGTTTTTCTGACAGTCTGTACTGAGTTCTTCATAGCTGTGGTAGATAAGACCTTGAGAGAGGCTTCATAAATGGCTCCCACTTGATGGGTGATTTGCTTGGTAGGATCCGCCGGGGGAACATGCTGAAGAGGTTGTGGTGCTTCTTCAATAGCTTCTTCAATAGCTTGTTCCTTGGTTGCCAATCATTTCCTCGATTGTTTCCTCGAGGACCTCAGAAATTTTGCCTTGGGAAGTTTCAGAATTCGACAGGCTTACTGTTTCTTTGTCGAGAAGATCCCTGCATGTATTGTTGAAATTTCCTAGATTTGACTCCATTCTCGATCTCCCGCTTCATTTCTTGACATTCCTCGGTAATGGTCGTGGTCCTTGTGGTACTCGCAGTATTGTTCTGTCGACCTGTTTGGATTAGGAGCCAAAGGTTTTGGTGTCAGCAGTTCATCCTTGTAGATCTGAAGGATTTCGCGACGAGGTTTAGTTAGAGGAGTCAATTGTTTATCAAGCTTAGACAGCGTTGCCCTACATTTCATGGAAACCTTGGGCTTGTCCCTTGTCCCGATTGCTGTAAAAGACTCCTGAGATCGTTTGAGTGTATGCTCTTGTTAAATATGATTCTCGACAATAGCCCGCATCTCCTGGGAATTCCTAGGAAGTTTGGTCAAGAGCTTTACCCTTAACATCAAGGATTTTCCATATGGATTAAGTCCTTGGATAAACCCATTCTGAACGTCTCGTTCGTCTATGTAGTCAATTTGTAGAGTTTCTCAAATAAAACGCCGGTGGAAATCCGAGAGACTTTTATGTTGGCCCTGCTTAATCGAGGAGAGATCAATGGAGATCGAAGTGATTTGCTTACTCTGAAAGAAACAAGTGGCCAATTTGATGGATAAGTCTTCAAAATTGATTATACTTCCTTCCGGTAACCGTCCAAACCACCGCTGTGCCTGCCCGGTCAGATAGGAGGTCAAGGCTTTAGCCATGAAGTTTAATGATGCATTCCTGATCCTCATGATGTAGACGTATCCATGTAACCACTAGGAGACATCAGTATATCCTGAGTATTTGGTGAAATCCTTGGGAAAGTCAAAATCCTGTGGTTTTGGCCTGTCTCGGATGTCTGGTATAAAGGAACTACGGTCCACAACCATTCCAATGATCATTCTCATCTCGTTTCGAATCGAGATGTTTTGCTCCCTTATCATCTGCTGACCTCGAAGAGGGTAAGGTGGAAATTCCTCGTGATTGTTGTACTGTTGCCGCCAGGGAGGTGAATACTGAAGATGACGGTTATTCCCCCATCCATATTCTTCTTCGGTATCATCATTGTCCCAATATTGTCTGTGAAAAGGTCTGTATTCCTCCCTTCGAGGACTTTTTCGATGCTAGTTGAGTCCCAATCGGTCGTAGACATTAGTCTTTCTCGGAGGATTCCATTCTCCCTCTCCCACGACTTCGACGCTTGGGGATCCTCATTGGTAGTGGTCCCGAGGACCCTTGCGTCTGTATATTGCATCAAATTTTTTAAGGGCTATATCAAAGGCAAGATATTGCTTCCTGAAAGTGTTTCAGTAAACAGTGTCTCGTGTGGCGGTTGAATGATCTTCCAGGAAGCCTTCGCGATTTGAGAACTCCTGATAGTCTTCCTCTTCCTGGACTTTTTACTTACCTTGTCGTGCCTTGAGAAGGGCTAAGGTACGGCATGCTTTCTTCTCGTCGATTAAGTTAGCCAGCTCTTGGTCAGTTGGATCTGGTTGTCCAAGAAGACAGTGATGCTTTGTCTCTTCTAGGACATACCTTTTCATCCTTTGATTTTGATCACTGTCATCACGTAGTTTCTTGAGTCCGGCCTCGATCTTGGCCAACTTTTGATCCTCCAAGCACTTCTTGGATGCTGCGGTGTTTCTAGGTGGACGAAGATCTTCCTTTTCCGTCATGAGATTAGTATTGTCTAGTTTCTTCGGATTGGGCTGGGAAGAGCCAAGAACCAAACGTTCCTTCTCTGGTTCCATCTCGGGCCCTTTTTCATGGCTTTTTCCCACCTTCTTCCTCTCTTGTCTTTTTTGGAACTCCGCCAGGGTAGTGTTATCGGCTGGATTGCGCCGCCTACCCGAAGATCCTTTACTGGACTCGTCTTCTTCAACCCTGGCCATTATGAAGATGGTTCCAGAAACCCTAAATTGCACCGGAAAAGATTAGTGCAAATAGAGACCGATGATTGGGGTTCTAGTGGCTACTGTTTATAAAATTTGGCAACTCAGGAATGAAGTGATGTATGGTGGACAGATGCAGGATGTGGATGTGTTGTAGAAGCAAGTTCAACAAGAGGTGAAGTGGAGAGTTGCTGTCAGCTGTAAAAAGCTAAGGCAATGTGAGAAAGAGTTTTTAAACAGGATAGGCTTCTAGTTTTGATGGTTTGTTTAAAGTGATGTAAGATGTGTAAATAAACAGTTTTGTTGGAGAAGTTAATATATATTAACATTTCACCCAAAAAAAAGAAAAATTGAAAGTGTTCGTAGTTTGCGTAAGTGATTGATGTGATTTTTAAAACATTAATTTTACTTGAAAGGATATATATATTAATCACGTAGTGCTGAATATATTAAGCACATTACAAACAATAAAGCTCAATCTTTAAGTATCATTACAAACATAATGCATCATTCACTAATGGACTAGGAAATTAAAAACATTGGTTTTTAAGCACTTATCCGTCGCAGAAGATGATCGGTAATCTTTATCTAGAGAGCTTTTGCAATGTATTTTTGGAAAATTTCTTTGAAGGAAATAGTAGAACCGGAAAGACTCAGAGTCAGAGAGGGTGGAGGATTAATTTAGAATAAAAACACAAGCTTCGAATGTGGAAATAGAAAATTAGCAATACATAAGTATAATTAATGGAAGTGCACCATCAACAATTCCAAACTGAAATTCTCGGTACTATCCTCTGATCAGCAAGTTAATTGAATATGAAACGTAAAAAGAATCAAAATTACGTAACTTTTATGGTGGTTGAAGCATAATAAAACGAGCTCGTGACTTGTTGTTGATCGCATTTGGACAAGCTTGGAATGAGTGCAACCAATTATCTTCCATGTCATATGTGTATAAGTTACAATCTCGCCGACTCGAAACATAATAGGTGCAGTTTCCTTTTAGACCTACACTTGATGCAGGGCACAAAATTGAAGAGTCGTCATTGATGAAGAATACCTGATTATCAATATTTTCCATTCGAGTCCATGTTGAATTTGTCGGATCAAACTTGCAGACGTGCAAATATCTCAATCTCTCGGTTGTTTCCCCTAACGGTGACATTACCACACAATAAATATCACCACAAGATCCAACAAAAAAGGCACGCGCATGCATTACTGCTTCATCGTTTACCGGATCAGGCATTGGCCCTATTCTTTTAGTTACGAGTTTTTCATCCACAAACTCGCACACAGCGAAAAATTTATCTGATTCAGTAAAACCATAAATCATGTTGTTGCAGACTGCTAGGGCTCCAAGTTCATCTCCGAAATCATGTGTTGTCCATTTTTCTTGACCAGGACGCCATATTGCGGCACTTGGTCTATAATCCACAAAAAATCCAACCACACAATTAGCACTAGTAGGTGGTGCAGTTATAACACAATTCCCATGCATATAATCATCTATCACTTTGGCGGTCTCTTCTGTGGGAGCAATGTTGAGATTACTGAAATCAGAACCAATAATCCGTGGCAAGTTGATTTGCTCCATTGAAGCCAGATTCAACAGCATACATTCACGTGTATCGGGATCAACCACCACCAACCATCCTTGGTAACTGGCGCAAACAGCTCGGTCGGAAACATGAGGGATTTTTGTCATGTAATGGCGTTTTTCTAACGTACTATAGAAAGAGGTGACCCCTGATGATTTTCCATGAGAAATCATCAACCAAGGATAACGTTGTGGAGTAGGGGGTTTGAACGGACAACCTTTGCTTCTTCTCGGCATTGAGCGGTCTAAATGTGTGTGCTTAGTTAGGTCACAATTATTTTTATATTCAATATAGTGTATGTTTGGTGGTATCGATGTGGAGGCTTGCATCCTCTTTTATATGACCATTAATTCAAACTTAATTCCAAATTCGTTAAAGTACGTAGTAGGAATCCCTAAACCTGATAGAATACGAAAACGTTTGTGAGGACTTTCTATTTTCTTTTCTTTTTGGAATTAATTTCTTCCTACATTTAATAGGATATTTCCTCCAATCATACTTAAATCCTCGGCTATATAATCACGAGCCTGGAACTCTTGTTGGATCCAAGGAAAACCGACCAAAATCAAATATGTCAAGGGATTGGAAATCTCTTCCGGCTGATCTTTTATTACTGAACTTTTCAAAATACTATTCTAAAATTGGGTTTGGTTCACAATGTCTCATAGAGAAGCCACGCCACAGCTCAACAATAAGGTTGTCTCACCCGATTTTACAAACGCCATATCAAATGGAAATTCCTGGCTTGGAAGATGCTTCGATCCTTCATTCTAACTGTGGTTGGTTATTCATGTACAAAGGGATTGATCAACTATATTTTTTACATCCATTCTCCAAGTCCAAAATCAAATTGCCTAACTTACCCCACTATGAGGACGTTTGGCGCAAGGACGTTACGTTCACATTAGACCCAACATCGGACGATTGTATGGTTTTTTACCATGGTGCGAATTATAATGAAGATCATCGTATTTTAACAATTTCTCGCGGACAAGGGAGTTGGAAAGAATTGATCTTTGAATCGGTATCTCCCAAGATGTTTCCATCTTACTGTAACCCTATCTTTCACCGTGGAAAGTTCTATTGTTTGGCTAGAAACGGGGAATTGGGTGTTTTTGATCCAAATAACGAAGAGTGGGAAGTAATCCAACCTAAACCTCCATTTAGAATGAGATGGAGAGAATCGCACGAGAGCTACCTAATAGATTTTGATGGCGGAATAATGGCGGTGTTTGTAGCATCTATGGGGGTCATATTTCTGTTTTTAAGTGGGATCACTCCATCACAAGTTGGAAAGCTGTAGATAATTTGGGAGAGTACATGTTGTTTTTGAGTGAACCAACATCATTCGCAAAGAAGAGCGATAAAAAGTACATGAGAAACAAAATATACTTTCCAAGATTCCATAAAAATGGTCCAAATTGAAAATTATAAATTATTCGGATTTTAATATAATAGAAAGAATGGTTATCTTTATGGGACAGAGGAAGTATTTTGTAAAACTTTTCAATCATTTTCAAAAAATAAACAATAATAATAATAATAAGATTTTTCAATTACTGATGTATGATAACAAAAGAATCAAAATACTTATTTATTTATATTTTTTTGGGGGGGTGAGGAACAACCTTTCTAGGGCTTTCCACTTATGCACTCTATATCCATGTAAATAGAATAAGAATGCAAGTCTTTCTGAACTCCCCTTTTATCCATTTCTTCCCTAAACCCTCTCCATTTCTTCAGCTTGTATAACATGCTTATACTCGCACAGAGCATCATCAAATTGGGAAAGGAAACTTCATCTTTCAAATTAATAAATTCTTCCATTCTTCTAAAAGTATCAATATCATCTTTAACTAGATGTGCAGGGACACCGGGCCGGGATCGGAAGAGCTCAAACCAAATTAGGCCCAGTATGAGGTCAATTTAAATGGGCCTTTAGATGAACATGGTTCTTCGGCTTGGAGAGTAGCAGCTTTTTGTTTCTTTCTTCATCTTCTTCTTTCCTTATCTTCTTTTATTTTTTAGTACTTTGATTTGATTAACAATGATTTGTAGTGGGTTTTTTTTTCTTTGTTGTAATAAAAATATCTCTATCTTGGTTTCATACTGCTAAATAAGCAAATTTTATTTTGCAAAGATTTGTACCAGAAATATTTACGCCACTTCTTTTTTAATGGTTGCCTAAAAATTTTGGACAAAAAGATAAAATAACACACGAGAGTATGGCATTAATTATTATTATACATGTTGTAATAACTTGTGCAAGTAAAGAAAATGTTAAGGAACAAACCACACAATTCTATTTAAACACAAGCCAAAGAATGGCATGAAACAGCAATCCATCAACACCAAATCAAACACACTAGAAAGGGATTTTTCTTCTTTCAAGTGCAATACAATTTAATTTTTCAAACAATCTAACCATCCACACGCTAAAGTAAATTTCTTTTTAATATACATCAGAAACAGAAGCTAAGTGGATAAGTAATAGCACTAACGATGTCATGGTCGATTTAAGACTTTGACATTTGATGGAGGAAACAACAAAATAATCACACTATGAAGGATGAGCCATCATCATTCATCCGTGTAAGTTTTGAATCCGATTCACAACTCCGGGGCAAGTGTAAACCGAACAAAAAGCTTGTACACCAGTGAACAACAACATCAGAAGAGTTGCAAACAACGTTAAAATCTTCCATGATTCAAACACATAACGGGTCACGAACTTCTTGACCTTGATATTCCACCTGCCATTGTAATACTTGTTCACTTCTCCAATGGTTTTGTCCAAAAAGTCAACCTTTGTAAGCCTAATCGATCTGCTCATCCCATTCCAAAGTTCCGTCACAACCTTATCACTCTTGAAATGGTTCACAATGATCCCATTTTTCCTAAGAATCTTCACATCCTCATCGGTGTCGATAATTCCATTCATTAATTCCGTGTATCGCGTGAATACCATTGGGCCTGAAGCGCTACACGCTTCGTACGCCACCAGATTCCGCAACACGATTTCAGAATTCACGTCTAAAGTAACCATAGGGAGATAAAACGTCGCGGTCGCAACATCGAAATTGATGCTGAAGATGCCGGTGTAAGTTGGCAAAAATTTGACTCCAGCTTTGGAGAGCTCTGCGACTGAGGGGATCACGATTTCTTCCATCAACGGAGGCCTCTCAAAAGTACCACCACCAGCGGCCTTAGACAACATGTTATCTATTGGCTTTTCAAAAGACTTCATTCGTGACAAGTTTGAGATAGTCGTAGGCAATGTGGATATGACTTGAAAAGGTTTTGAGCCTGCAAATCGCTTAATAGATTGAACCGGAAGCTTATTCAGATATGAGAATGCCATACAAATCATACCAAAAACATTCTGAAAATTGCCTGATTTTTTCTTGAAAGATCCTCCTTCTCCAGAGCCATCATCCTGCTCCTCCTCAGCATCAATTTCGGTGGTATCAATAACAGTCGTAACAGATGATGGCTCTTCAAATTTGGGCACGATGGTATGGTACAAAAAGTCCAGCAAATGAGCACATTTTTTAAGGAGCGCAACTTGATCAGCATTTGTAGTAGTCAAAATCCAATCAGTAGTTCCTTTGAACGGCGAAATCTCGTTGCAAAATCCAATCAACATCGAAATCAGCAATTCATCAGCCGAATCCAACGATGATAATTGGAATTCCAACACTCGCCTCAACAAGAACAGGGGAATTTGATTCTCCAACATCACAACGTCTCTCAAAATCGTGTTATGCGCGGATTTTTTCCCTGCAGTATCAATAAAATGTGACAAGGTCGATGGAACACTAGTAAAATCCTTAACGTTACCTTCTTCTTTAACCGCGAAAACCCGGAGGAATTCGAGCAAAAAACAAGCATCCAGAGCCATGATCCAAGCCAGAGTGTCGCAATTGAGATCGACGTACCTCTGGTATCGTGCCCGAATCCGAAGATCATGCTTCTGAAATTCATCAACAAGGTGATGCAACTTCTTCACACTATCCGGTTGGTTCAGTTGCATCCTTCTGGCAGCAGCAATTTTGTATCTCTCCATTTCACAATGTTGAGTAGTGTAACCATTGTAAGGCCCAAGTGCAATTTGTTGTGGAACATAAGAATGAGGGTTGCTATGCAAAAGTGGTTTTGGAACATTGAAGATACTAACTGGAGGAATATCGATATCTCCTTCAAGTTCTTCGTCTAATGTTCGACTAATTCGAACAACCCATTCTTTTTCATCGAAGACGAATGGTTTAGTGGATGACCCCATTATTTTTTTCTTTTCTTTTCTTTTCTTTTCTTTTCTTTTTTTTTTTTTTTGTGAGAAAGAAGAATAGTAATTGGTTACAGCTTAGATAATATGGAATGAGTACATATTTATAGGCGTCAAATGTATTCTCAACATGCAAATTGATTCATTTTTTAGTGTAATAGATTATGTTTTTCTTTTACCGTAAGTTTTCATGATTTTCTTGGACAATTGAAACGTATTTATCTACAATACGATAGCTATTTAAATCACTTAATCAGACTGCTTTAGGTAGAAGGTCGTAGCATAGTAGCATCCATATTCTCACGTAAATGAATTAATACAATAATATATAGTTTCTTTCACTTCCGCGTTTTAATTATTGCATTGTTAGTTTATTGGGTTATTGAGATTTTGAAGAAGAGAGAAACATGTGATATATGATGTTAAAATGAATGGTTTATAGGATTAAACTTTTTTATATTTGCAATAATGCAAAGCTGATCAACCATCCATGTCGCAAGGAAAAACATAGCTGCTATATAGTCTTTCAGATAGTTAATAGCAACAAGAAAACTGAATCAAATAATGTTAACTTCTTAATCATGAGTTGGCAAGAATCATGACTGAGTTTTTTTTTTTTTTAAGTTTAATAGTTTATGTGTAAGAATTTTGCACATTTTTTGAGGCGGGAGAGAGTAATTAAATTGTCCCTTAATTAGCTCCAATCTACATATAATTCATATACATTGCTTGGGTAGAACAATTTTGGGCTGGGAAGTGGGGAAGCAGAGATTAGATCAAAATTCTTTCACGTAATCCTTCCAAAATAGAACCCTTAATTAATCGACTCGTGATTGAGCATCCCAGCTACCGAATGTAGATGTCTTCTTTGTACTCAGACCACAAAAACGTCCCAAGGTTTGCGAAAGGTGCAGACACCGATAAATTGAGCACATTGATATTATATGTATATTTCTCATGATTTGAGACATTTGTCAGCCCCTCATCTTGAAAAATTCGTCTTTTGATTCACAAATCTTGGCTAGAAGGCGTTGTTTAGAACCCAAAAAATAAAAATAAAATGGTGCAATAAGAACAACTCAAGTCTAAAAGGACCAAAACAAATTAAATCATTACACATTTTGAGAGGAAAACATCGACCATATCAAATGTCAGTTACATTTTGACCCGAATAATATGATCATTCCATCCCTATAAAACTACGTTTAACAAATCTACAATGTGTCAAATTAATTGACCTTGTGCTCGTCCGTCCTCTTGAGACCTAGCAGGATAGTACCATCAGTAACGACCCTCTGGGCTCTGGCTATCAGCTTTTAAGATCAATTGTCAGATAGATATAAACATCTAAAACTTGTTAGAGGTTTTTGATTCGATGAGAAAACTTTGGAGAATTTTGGTGGAAATTAGTACGTTTTGGTTTGAATATTTCAACAAAATATACTGATATCAAACTGAATTAACATCAAATCATGAAAACCACAAAACTGGAAAAAAAGAGGGACAAGAAGATTTCAAGTCACTTAAGCGCACGTTCCCCATGAAATGAAAGTATGAAACCACTTTTTATTTTGTAAGGCAAAGATTTGAGTTAAATTTTTCCCACTTCCCCAGCAACAAAAGAACATGCACAATTTACCAAAAAAAGTTGCACACAAAAAAGAGATCATAATTGCATACTTTCTTTGTCCTTTTCTTCTTTCTTTCTGTTTTTTCCCCCTTCAATTTCGGTGTCTTTTTTTTTTTTTTTTTTACCTTCTCAATTTCCGACGTCCAGAGAAACTAGGGATTCCCTAATAATGCCTAATTCTTTTTCTTAGAACAAAAATCTATTCATCGCACGCTTCAAAATCCATTCTTGGAAAAACAATTAGAAATAAAGAAAAGGCCACTGCTTTATTTAGTTTAATTAATTCCTTTGTTTTTGTAGCTTAGTGTGTGATTTGATCTATCATAGAAAAGGGTTTTGTTTGGAGAGCCATAGACAGACATTCTATTGTGTTTCCAACCGAATGTTTCCTTTTTAAATGAATTTTCATATCTTGGAAGATTGCAGATTAACCCCCACTCCCACTCTTCCCTTATAAGATTGCCTAAAACCAGCTAACAACGTGATTCCAGATTCGCATGTGTTTTCACTTTTACTTGAATCCATCTACGTACCCATATAAATAAACTGATCGTTTTTTAAAAAAAAATTTCAAATTACGGGGGTGAATTTTGGGACCAAAATTTCATGAATTTTGTTGGATGATTAATGGCAATATCATCAACGGAGAAAAAGTCTCGTACGACATACAATATTATATTATATGATTCTTTATTTGCATAATACAAAAATATCATAGAAAGTTTCATCACATAAAAGAATTATTATTCGGAGATGAAATCTTGAATCGATCTAAGTTTAGTAAAAAAAAATGTATAATTAACAAAATTTGAGTGTCTTGAGCAGCAAGTAGCATGCAGTTCAAATTTTGAGAGACCAAGGACTTATTCCATACAAAAAATAAAATTAAAAAAAAATATTTCTTATGTCCAAAAATTATTGTCCAATTTAAATTTTCACTTTTATTTCAATTTGCATTAAGAATGAAAATCCAAGTTGGACAATAATAGTGGGATGAAGTGAGTAATAGACAGAAGAAATTAAAGAGCGAAAAATTGTGATGTCGATTTTTGTGTTTCTAAAAAATAAGAAGTTAAGTACTTGTTTGGCCAACATTTTGTTTTTGTTTTTATTTTAGTTTTTGATTTGGTTTAGAGATGTGATTTAAAATGCGTTTTGAGAGAAAATTTAAAAAATTGTTTGGGTAATATTTTAAATAAAATTATAATATTTTTGGACCACCATCGAACCACCTCCACCACCGGCGAGGACTGGCCGGCCGGCGGCAGCCTGGCGGCGGGGTAGGAGGCCCGGCGGCGGAGGTGATCCGGTAGTGGCGTAAAAAAATAGTATAAAAATAATGTTTGAAATAAATTTTAAAAAGTAAATTAAAAAGTTATTAGGATAATATTAGATTTTGTGTTTGAGAAGTGTTTTAAGAGGTAAAATGAAATAAAATGACCAAATGGGTGTCATCTAAACAAGACCTAAGCAATCCTATTAGTACTTGAGCTACACCCAGTGGAATGAGCATTTGGATCATCATCATTGCAAGAAGACACAAAGGTCTAATTGCAATGGAGAGAGTCCCACAGGAAAACGTAAAACACAGGAGAATGTCGAATCAATGAATTTAATCTCTTCATCTCTGTCTCACTGGTAAAGGAAATGATAGAAAGACTTGCGTAAAACAAGCTGAGAAATTTTGGCTTTGGAAAAGATTGACAATGATATGGGGTCTCGGGGCCTCAGGCTATCAGGACTCAGGAGGGTTCAGTCCCCTTTTAAAAGCCATTTATTACTATACCCTGAAATCAGTCAGAAATAGTGAAATGCTACTACTTCAATGCTTACTTCATCCTCCTTAATAATCCTAGCTCATTCTCTTCATCAATTTTTTATTTTCTTATTTCCTGATTTCCACCCAAGTAATAATATAATATAATCTCTATCTCCATATAAATTATTTTCTTTAAAAAAAATATTGTCTATTAGGATATAGTTTGTCTTGCACATTTTTGTTTTCGTTTCCTCTGTATATTAGTGTCACAGATTTGTTGAACCAGTTTAACACTAGTTAGTATATAGTATTTTCCTCTTTATGCGTTATAGATTATGTTTACTACAAATTGTCATGTCCTTTAATGGCCGATCTTATTAATTTCTATAAGAATATTAAAGTATTTTTTTCATATTTGTTCACCATCACAACATTGACTAAATAATTTACGGAAATGTAGATACTATGATAAATATCATTTATCCATGGCGAGTTTCATACCTCAAATAAAGTAAACAATCACTTATTAAGATTGAATGGATATGGAATTTTGGTAGGTAAGGAATAGCAGTTACAAAAAAAAAATGACCAAACGTATGAGAAGGTTTGGGACTGTTTTAAGAAGGTGAGCAATACAATTTACCAAACGTATGAGAATACTACCGAATAGTAACTCTCTCTCCTCCCCTTGGAACAAAAAAAAAAGAACAACTCTGTTTGTTTGGTTTTTTAGATAGTATTTTCAGATTATTTTAATAATAATTGTCCCATCTTAACATATCTTTTTACATTTTTAATATATTTTTTTACATTCCTTATATAAAAAACATCTAAACACACACACTAAAAAAACGGAACAAACATATCCAAAATTGTGTATTCCTTTAAATTTTAAACATGAGTTCTATGATTGCGATTATTCATTCACCAATAACAAATTTCATCTTACTATTTCGAATAACTCAGTTTGAACATTTTCTTAAAGAAATCACTTTCTTGAAGAACCCACCACCCAAATTCATCACTAATTGTATTAACTACTTAACTGAAACAAGTTATACGACCTCTTTTCTCTATTATATCAAGGAAGTTGATCGTCAAATGCTACACTTTAATACTATATTATATCTGTTTCAAAATAATTATTTTATTCATCGTGTTAAAATTAATAATAACACTAGATAATTATTTCAATACAAAAAAAAATATATGAAATTTTTCTCCGATAACTACTACAAAAGAAGACAGAAAAAAAAAATGACGAAACGTTTCACTAAAGGAGGTGAGGGAATGAGGATGCATTTTATGCAAAAATAAGTAAATAAATAAATAATAAAAAGATTATATTATTTAAAAAAAATTATCCCCAAAAAGAAAACCGTGATGATGGTGTTAGATCGATCCCGTTTACTCCTCACCAAAAGATTTCAATTCACAATGCCATCATCAACATCATCTTAATTTTAACTCCATATTTTTTTGCATCAATATTACTACAAGAAACCAAAGCAAGAAAAAACCCCATCAAAAGATTGATGTATAATCAGAAGTTCAGAGCCATTCAGATATATCTGATCCGAATTTATCAGAAAGCCTTTCTCCAGCTTGTTGCATCAAAGGTTATTAAACTGCATCATCTGGTTAGGACAGGGTGCACCTGTGCCGCACCCAATTCTACCCTGTGGTTAAACCAATGCAATCATATTACTTCAGACCCTTCAGTCAAACTATCATTTCTCTCTTTGTTTGACGCTACTGTGACGCTTTCGCCACCGCTGGATTACGTGATCCGACGGCTATTATTAGACTTACCAGATCCTCCTCATCATCCCCGTAGATATCTTTGTTGAAGGAAACAAAAACCCCCCAATCCATCAGTTCATAGGAGTATTTAATTTCCATATCTATAATCTAGCCTCTATCATTAATTTAAATGACATCCATATCCCCTTGCCATTTGTGATTTGTGCAACACAGCTGAAAATGGCCACTGTGTGACTGTGTGTAACTTGGGGTGATCTCGTCATTTTGAAATGTGGACTCATTCAAGACTTTTTCAAGTATATCCCTCCTGCATGCCAGGGAAATGACACACAATCAACGTACTTCTTCTCCCTACAAGGCTACACAACTTATATTTAAATTTAATCGATAATAATAGTCTAATCCAATTTGACAGGATATCTGAATCTTGCAATAAAATCCACTATTTTTCATCATACTGTAACATATTTATTTAATTATATTCAAATAAAATATTCAATTCCACGCTGTATATAAATTGTGGAACTCCGAGTTCACAAGTACTCCCAAGTACCAACATCAAAAGTTTTTGTCTTCTCTTAATATACTCGAATGACGAGATGATCATCACTCAACCCTTCTTCTTCAACATTTCGCCTGAAAATGTCCAAATCCCTCAACTTTACTATCAACCACAAAATCATGGATTCTGTACCCAACCCTCTTCATTTCAAGATTGGGGTTTCCATGTTGAACCCAAACAGGCTCCTCTAGTTCTTGACGGAATCGCTGCGGTAGTAGGAGAACACATTCTGTTCGGGAAAAGTGGTGGCCCCGGTTCTGACAACATCCCGGAGGCTGCATGCAACGGCGGCGGCGATGGAGCTGAGAAATGTACTAACAAGAAGAGAACCCCTTCCGGTGGTGGGGTGGTGGTCCCGGTGCAGCAGAACTACAGAGGGGTGAGAAAGAGGCCGTGGGGGAGGTGGTCGGCGGAGATACGCGACCGCATAGGCAAGTGCCGCCACTGGCTCGGGACGTTCGACACGGCAGAGGAAGCCGCGCGTGCTTACGACGCGGCCGCACGGCGGCTGAGGGGTGCAAAAGCTCGGACCAACTTCCAAGTCCCGCCCATTGTGCCATTGCCTTTGTGCCCTTCACCAACAACAACCACAACGTCATCATCATCATCTTCTTCATCAGCTAATAATAAGAAGTATAATTCATCCAGGGGGAGGAAGAAGAACAAACAAAAGGGTGATGACCATTTTGGTAGCAAGAAAAAATGTGATGTGGTGACCTCTCTTTCTCTTCTGTTTAGCCCTAGTACGAACAATGGAGCTTATCATGTTAAGAGAAATGAAGAAGCTTATAAAGGGGTTTCGAATTTGGAGCTTGATTTGAAGTTGGGTGATGCTTATTTCGGTGACAAATCTAGTTGGCCTTGTTTTGTTTAGTGTTACTAGTAAGGTACTCCAGTGGTAGTATATATATGTTGCTAGATTAATCATATATGTGATCAGATCGATGCTATTTTGGGGTTTGTTTTGTTGTCTCTTATGGCTAGGTTAATTAGTTAGTATAAGCTTCTTTTGTTTAATGAAGCTCTTTATTAATGATGGTTTATTTTGGTGTTAGTCCTGGCTCATGTGTTTTAACTAATTAGTTTATATAAATCTTTTGTCCTAACTGCAAAGCATATATATACATGGGATAACTAATTATATTTATGTTGTTTACAAAACTAATAAAAGTCAATATATATTATCCCAAAAAAAATCAATACATTGTAGAATGTAAAGAAAGTCACGATGGGAAAACAGATCTGTAAATTTATTTCGTCACCCAGATGCAATAAGAAGTAATTCCTCTCGTCCTTATTATAAGACATTTTAATTTATCTTAAGTTTTATTTAATATATTTCTTTAATTAAAAAAAACTTTAAAAATAAATTTTTTACATTTGTTGTGTTCCGTTAATTATTAAGAAATATTTTTAATTTTTTTTAATTAAAAAGACATAATAATTAAGACTTATGATAAATTAAAATGCCTTATAATATGGAGATGGAGTATAGAAAGAGCGAGGGGCACTTAAAGAAATCTGTTTATTGGTACTTGGAATGGCTTCTTGGCATACATGACAAATTGACAATCCTCAAGGATGGCAAAAAGTGGCCATGAAAGAAGGCGCTATGGATAGAAGACACGAGGTGATTGAGTTAAGCAAATTATGGTTATTGTTAGTTGTTTTTGTAAAATTCTCCCGATCCTTTTGATTTCCGAGAAAGTACTGTGAGTGTGTTCTTTTCTTCCCTGTTTTAAGAACTGTTGGGAAGACGTTTTTTCTTTTTCCAGTGATGAAATACAAACTATAGAAATTGTCTTATGTATAGTGGTAGTACGTAATCTAAGAAGATCCCCTATAAAACTCGTTTCTTTTTCAATAAAAATACATACAGTATTATAGGATTCTGGGAGAGAACAGTAAACTGATTGTACTACAAATATTTAGAGCAGAGGGGCAGCTTTATAGGCCATTTGTAGCTCAGGCGATTTTGCTAAAAGGTGGATGCACGAACGGGGCGCCAGACCAGGACTGAACAACTCTCAGTTTCATTAATTCTACAATACGCAAGCAGCGCAAAGTACACTTCTTCCAGACTCCAGAGTCTATTTTGGGTCTTACCTATTCTCTTACTCTTTCTTTCAGCTCCTGAAATTATTGTCCAATTTATTTTTTTCATTTTTAGTTCAAATGATACTTAAATTGAAAATAAAAAATTCAGTAATAATTTTAGTACAGGAGAAGTATCAGACGCGGTAAACAAGAAGTTCCAAATGAACCTCTTTAATTACAACACGGAGTATCTCATTGGTGCCGCTCCCCTAGTGGTGTAATTCAGTTTTCTGTGGCATTTATATGATATATGTTCTGTTTTATATTCAATTGCTTATTTAATACGTACTTTAGAGTTAATATTGATATCCAAATTATATATTCTGATATGATAAATGGATCTTAATGAAAATGTTATGGACGCATAGAAACATGGCATACATTTTGGCTTGATTAAGACGATTTGTGATCTCTCACATATGGAATGGGATTGTTGAAATTAAGTAGGTGTATCATAAGTCGAATTTTGCAACAGAGTTTTTGGGTTCTTTAGTGGTATTTTGCCATTAAGACGATTTGTAATCTCTTATATATGGAATGAGATCGTCACTAAACTATTGTAAAGTGTTCAGTTTGGTCACTGAACTATTTAATTTTATAAATGTTCATACAAGATTTATGAATGTCATAAAAAAATATACTAACAAAATGTCATAGAGGATTTTCTGGTATACATTCTTTTCATTTTTCTTTTTAACTTTTTGACAATTTCCCGAATTTTCCTATTAAAATAAAAATTTGGAGACAGATTTTTCTCGTTTTCATATCTCTAAGAACTCGTTACTCCTCCCACAAAAATGAAAAAATAAAGTCAAACAGACACAGACAACACAATCCATACAAGTCCAAAGTGATCATACACACCAACCACCTGTTAAGCATTGTGTTTCAGTACACGATGTCACACTCCAATTACTGCATATAAACTTGGAATATTGTCCGAAATCAACAGTGATACAAAAAATTAGATCAAATTAATTTTGGACTAAAGGAGACCCTATCGTTGTAATGTTGACTGGTCTTGTTGAGCAATATTTGCTCGCTCAAGATATTTCGTAGTTCTTGTACCAAAAAAGTATTACCTCTGTCCCAAAAAAATGGTCCACATTAAATTTGTAAATTTGTACTAAAAACAGTACTAAACTCAAAATTCAATGTGGATTATGTTTTTGGGACGGAGAGAGTAATATTTTTGACAGCTAACACAATCAAATCATTTTTAGTATTTTTTATGCAATTTCATTTTTGTATTATTCGGATATCACCATTACCATTATGCATTTTACCAAGGGAATTTCAAAAGTGTCAGCATTCATAATTGTTTATTTATCTTCAGTCATTTTACAGTTCAATTTATCATCAGAAAACCTCTTATGAGGTCCCTTGCAAAAATAAAAAAAATGGATTTATTTGCTAATACTTTAAATTGTTGTGGGTCATAACGTAATTATGTTGGGTTTTTTCAAAACACTGTTCCCCGGGTTTTTCTTCCCTCCTGAGTCCGGATTCTTCCAGACTTTCTCCTCAGAGAAGGAAAGAACCAATATCCCCCTTTTTCCCCGAAAAAAATCCAGAATGTCAAAACTTTCCATTCAATCCCTTCAAATAAACCCTCAAAAAAATATATCTAAGATTCCTTTTCTAAACTTTAGCTCTGGCTGATTGATGCTGCTGATTCGAAAAAAGAAATTATAATTTGCCATCAGTAGAATTAAAATCAACAACTCAGAAAAATCAAATCTTTGAGCTCCCTTTCCCCTCAATGTATTGTAATAATCAGTAACTAGTGTTTTTAAAGGGAAGAGAATCACTGTTGTTTGGGAATGGCGGTTGAAAGTGAAGCTGCCACTGCCTCACAGCTGGCTCTTGCTGACACCAATATCAATTGGGACAGGTCTTTTACTTCTTTTTCTGCAACATTTTTCTCTGTTTTCAATTTAAATATATTTCATTTTTTTATTGTGATTTTGTTTTTCTGTCCGGCTGCTTATTTTTCCCTGTAATTATTGTTGGACTCTTAATAAAGTTTGAATATTGATGACAAAGGACCTCGACTCGAGTGTTTGATCAATTTTGCCATTTGAAGGGGAGGATGATTTAGTTTTGTGCACAATTCGGAGGAACCAATGGATTTCTGGTGGAACCATTATGCGTAATGAATCCTTGATTGGTTTGTGAAATGCTTGAGATTCATCCATGGTTCCATCAAGCGATAGTTTTTCTTCATTTAGAGCTTATAGAATATCATGCTGAAAGGTTGCGTTGGAACATAGATTGGTTTATATGAACTGATTAAGTTAGGTCCACCTTATGGATGATATAGTACTCATGATTTTTAGCTAACTCTTTGGAAATGTATTCCCCTGATGGTTCTGGCAAATTGGTAGGCTTCAGCTACCTGATTCTGCAATTTTTGCTGATGCTTTCTGAATGATTATGGCTTCGGCCATTTTACTCGCTGATAACCGTTCATAATCTGAAGTTCTCTTTCGAATCGCATTGTTTTAGCACCCTGTGTCCACATCACATATCCAATCCTTTTTTTTTTTTTTTTTTGCAATTGCCCATGATCAGTGGTGTGAAAGATAGAGTATCCCTAGAAAGGTTGTGCAGTTTCTAATGCCTGTTTTGGTTTTCAAATTTAGGTTGGATAAGACAAGGTTTCATGCCATCGGGGCAATCCTATTTACAGCTCAGTCGGCATTAATACACCCAACTGCTGTTGTCAAGACGAGGATGCAAGTAGCTGATTCTGGTTTGGCTCAGATGGGAGGTCTATCTGTCTTCAAAACTATACTCAAAACTGAAGGTGTACCTGGGATATTTAGGGGTTTTGGTACATCTGCTATTGGATCAATGCCTGGCCGAGTCCTGGCTTTGACCTCTCTTGAAGTATCTAAAGACATGATGTTCAAGTACACTGAAGGTCTGAATATGCCGGAAGCTACTAGAGTTGGAATCGCTAATGGATTTGGTGGAATGTTTTCCAATTTGGTTTCATGTGTATATTTTGTACCCTTGGACGTGGTGAGACTCTTATTGCTTTCTGTCATCAGTTGCATACATTACATGTATATATTAGATTATTGTAATGATTCAACAGTGAACAATTTATGCCTGGAGTCGACTTTTGTTTTTCTCATACTACATCAGTTGTTCAGATGTACTGTAAGACTAATTTCTGGTTTGCACCCCTGTTGTTTCGGGTAAATAATTTTAGATATGCCAGAGACTAATGGTTCAAGGTCTTCCAGGGACCACATTCAGCAATGGTCCATTCGATGTTATGCGCAAAGTAATTAAAGTTGAAGGAATCTGTGGTTTGTACCGGGGCTTTGGATTAACTGCTTTGTCACAAACACCTGCATCGGCACTTTGGTGGGGAGCATATGGAGCAGCCCAACATAGGATCTGGAGGTTCTTATACATAGTTCTTGTATCCTTTTTTTTTTGGTTGTCTGAATAATACATATTTTTTCTTCAAGCTAACAACTCTCATCTATACAAATGTATGTGGCATTAGGGCCATAGGTTATGGAGATGATTTGGACCAGAAACCTTCTCACGTAGAAATGATTAGTGTTCAGGCTACTGCTGGAATGGTAGCTGGTGCTTGTTCTTCAATTATTACTACTCCTTTGGATACTGTAAAGACTAGACTCCAGGTAAAATAGGATTGATTTTGCAGCTGCATTCTTAGGTATTATTCATAATCCTTTCTTCTTCATATCACTGGAAGCTGACACCACCTATTGTAATGTTATGCATCCATGCCTCAATATGAGGGAATGGCGATATGAATCAGATACCGCCATTTGTGCTGTGACGTTTCAGTACTATCCATTTATCTAATATTAATAGCATTCTTGTGCTGGTTGGTTTACAATTTGAAGGTAATTGACAACTATGGTGTGGGAAGACCATCAGTCATGAAGACGACTAGGGTACTTTTGAAAGAAGATGGATGGAGAGGGTTCTACAGAGGGTTTGGACCCCGGTTCTTAAACATGTCATTCTATGGAACTACTATGATTGTCACTTATGAACTCATAAGTACGTTCTTCATCTCTTGTGTTTTGACTGAGCTTCTCTTTTCCTGAAATGCTACAAAGACTTCACTGTTTTAGTTCCCACATTGCTGGAATGTTCACGTTTCTGTATTTTTCTGCCTCAGAGAGACTATCTTTGAAACCAAGTTGAAATTATGCTGGAGTTACCCTTGGGGAAAAGGAAGGAAGAAAGAATGGAGGAGCTACCCTGACACAAATCATCATTCTTCTGTCATTTTTTACCCTTCAATGCGTTGAGGGGCAGTTTTTGTAACATCATTAGAGTTCAAAAAATCTGGAGAAATCTAGCTCAAACTTCTATTTTAAAGAGCCTACTTCTATATCATGATCGTCATTCTTTCCTTTCCAAAGAGAACATTTTTCACATTAAGTTGCGAACCATTATAGCGGAAAAAACTTATATCCAAAACCATCCAAAAATGAGCAAAGTGCAACTAGATATGAAAGCTAAACTCTTCCTTTAAATAGCAGAGAAATATGTTGACTAATTCTATAAGAAATAGTTACATCTTATATGGGTATACTTTCCTATCAAGAAGCAATGACAAGGAATGAGGGTTGACCCCAAAAGAATTAAGACAATGTTGAACCCAGTCAGGAAAGAATATATGACTGCAGCTAAAACAGTTAGGATCTCTCTACACTACGCCTCTGCGGAAAAACTCAGAGACCCTAACTTAACCCCCAGTACCTTCATCACTTGATGGCACACTTCCTTCTGCTGCCCAGAAGGTGGTGAAGTAACTTGGTTTTGGTAATTACAGTTACATGCTTCAGCCTACAACATTGTTAGAACTTATTTAGTCCGATTCGGCTCCTCTGGCCTTACTGCATCAATCTAGCCACCTATGCCCTTCTTATTTATCTAGCTTACTCCACAAAGGGCATCATAGCTGGCGTTCTCCTCAATGGGGATATTTAAGTCTGGAAGCACAAATTTACCAGCAGGTAATACTTCAGTATTAGCTTCAGTGAAAGCGCTAGCAGGAAGGTCCAGCAGCGAACCTCCATTGCTTGAAAGAGTTGGAGGTAAGAGTGCTGAAACAGGATGACCATATGCAAGTTTTGACAGCAGTTGGTCGGAATTATCTAATTCGGATGCTATTTTAAGATTTCCAAATGCTTGAAGTTGCATATCCACCTGAGATGCAAAGGAATGATCTATAATTAGAAAATAATAATGGACGACACGAATCTTCACAATAATGGAGGCATATCATCCTGTCTGAGAAAATCGTCACACACAGTACAACTGAAGAGCCAAAGTGCATGTTCCATGTACCAAACAAATCAGCAGCAAACATACTAAAGCCAAAAAGTTCTACCATGATTATCTCCCGTGCTGACTGGTACCACAGAGAGAACACATGCAACTTTGTCAAATTCATTTCAGGTTTTTACTAATAAGCTTGCTTGTTACAAAATGCAAGGCATGATTTGACACGTATAAAGAGAGACTGGTTCATGCATTCATTTACGAAGGCCTTTGCATTAATGTCGGGGAGCGTGAGCAAACACGCGCCTACGATTGCTATGTGAGTCCATGAAAACGACAAAGATATACAGCTACTCAGTCCTAGAATGTAATAATTAAGCCAACAAAGAAAAGGAACTACCATCCTGTAGGCATTCATCATTCTGTGGATTGAATACAGCCAAATAATTCAATACCAAAATAGAACACATGCAAGTTTATCTAAGCTGACAGTTCCAACACTTCCATTCTAGGTGTAATTGATTCAATCATTCTGTGCCCTAAAAAGGTTTAACACAAGTAGTTTCACAAGTATACATAATTGTTCATGCTTTGGATTACTAAAGCCTTGGGCAGTAAAGGAAGAAAAGAACGCCTATGATTTCCAGGAGTCTCCATGAAAGTGACAAAATTATCCAACTACGCAGTCCTAGAATGAGAAAACCACTAAGCAACTGCTGCGCTCATTCATCATTCTCGGAGAGAATACAGCCAAATGAATCAAATTCTATATTTAGGTGTCAAATTAAAAACACTCCATACACAAAGGCAGATATATCTAAGAAAATGGGTAGAGAACCAAAGGATCTTCACCTTTATTCTTTTGAAGTTCTCATTTCTAGTTCTCTCTTTCTCCAAATTGTGACGTAGAGTTGTCAATTCCTACAGAGCAAGATATTTCTGTCATGAATTCGCTTACACAAACAACATAAATGAAACATTAACTCATCTTGGAAAATGTAATCTTACCCTCTTCAACTGCTTTCTTTCTTTTTCCAGCAGGTTCTCTTCCTCTTTGAGCTCGGCAAGGGTCTGAAAACCAACAAGAGGAAGAGTAAATAATTGAGTATAGTTGGAAAAAAATATGCATCAAAGACTTGTTCTTTATTTTTAGAAAAAAAGGCCTTACATTAAATATAAACAGTGTTAACAGATTACAAATTAGGGATTTTCTAAGACTACACAGCTACAACCACAGAGAAACTAAAGTAATCGCCTGCATGCATATGATAGAATCAATATCAGTTTTTTCCTTCTACACAAAACACTAGTAATTGTATCTCGGGATGAACATGGACATGGTACATTTTACACTTTCAATTATAACCAACACATGCCACATGGACCTCCATAACAGAGCTAAAAAGAAATATGTAAACATCAGACAAGAACAACCACAAAATGGTAATACTGGAAATAAAGGGATAAATGATACTTTCTTCTTGAGACGGTTTTAGGGAAAGATATAAGTATATAACCCACCAAAACTCCAAATAGGTTCGAAGTAACATGCAACACTTAGCAGGCCCAGAACAACTAAATTATCAGTGAGGAAATCCAAAAACAAATAAGATGTTGCCTTTGCAGGCAGGCTGGTTCGTGTATACACCACTTACGGCATGTTTTTGAAAGGAGATAAGAACTTAAATACAAATCATGACATTTTCTAAGTGAGGGCACAAAGCAGTTAATGGCATGAAAAGAACCAGAGAGTTGTCTCAAGGTATATGTCAGAGGAACTAGAAAATAGCATTCCAACCTTCTTCTTTCTTATCTTCTTGGAGGTGGTGGCTTCACTTGTTCCTATAACCTGAATGCAAAAGAAATTGTAAGTTCACCACTGTTTATGTCCTATCCAGATACCGAAGGCAAAGTAGAAACTTATCAAGCATCTTGTCATTTCTTTCTTCACAAATTCATACGTTAATTCAAGAAACAACATCAAGGTTACAATCACAAAAGGATATTTTTTCAAGATTAAACAAAGATGCAGAGATCAGACAACCAAGTAGCTCTGTTTTATTCGACGCCACTAAGCTCCCACTTCCCCATGGCCTTACTTGGCCTTTCATTCAAGTTACTCTTCTTTTTTATCTTTCAATTTCAAAACCATTTAAGTTATTTAAAATATGTGTTGGAGAAAATTAATTTTGGACTCAGTAAACCTATTTCCCAAAACAAGTCAGCTACGAGGAAGATGACTTCTGTTGAAAAAATGGTTCCCATGGCAACTGGAAACAAACCCTTCATTTCATTGCAAGCTTGACCACATTTTCCTTTGACCCACAAGACAAAAGTATAAAGAACTGAACACCAAAAAAAAAGGAAAAAAAAAAAGAAGAGAAAAGTAATGACAACATGTGACGCATAGGAATTACAGTCCTAAACCACCATCCTTTCCTTCCTTTTCCTTTCAACAGAAGAATCAATAAAGTAACAACGTAGTATTAAACATATGGCCACTTTTGACTGCGTCAGAGGGGTGTCATTAAAATAATACCAAAGCACACCACTAATCCACAATTCCTTAAATAGTTTCCCCAAATCAAAAAGATTCTTTCAAAACAAGCTAAGAGCAGGAGCCATAAATTTGTCAGCACTATAGAAAATGAGCAAAAGTTTAGAACCATTTTTTTTTACCCCCTGTAATGGGCTGGCCATTGGCTAGTGACCACCCTTCAAATGATCACCGACCCAGAAAAGATAAACATGTACAGTTAGGAAAACTTTGTGTGCGTGCCTCGGAATGTTCGCAGTGTTTTGTGCACAATTGGGCATGGAAACAGGTCTCAATACAAACGACAAACAGATCCGGATTATATAGCTCATTTAGAGATTCTACTGTTTGAGGCCGCTACCCATATTAGTCCAAAACTGCATCCCACAAACTCCACCCCACCCAACTTACATTACTTCTACCAACACCCCACTAACAAAACAAAGCTCACACACACACATACACACACACAGAGAGAGATTATACCCAACTAATCACAGGCCATAAAAACACGCCATCAGATTAAGCAGCACGGTTTGACTATTGTACCCTTAAGAAGATTTGACTACGTGGGGAGCTTCTTTACCAAATCCACTGGGGAAAAAGGAAGTACCGGCTCCGACAAGGACACGGACAGTGTGTCTTGGTCCAAAGTCGTAGAAAGACAGAAATACCCCAGTGTGGATAAGGGTGAATGGGTCATTTCAGGGAAGGTGTGACACGAAGACGCAGGAAAAAAATAATAATAATAATAATGGGGTTTCGGCTGGTGAGCGGAAAGGTGTGTTGCTGTGTGTTGTGTTTGTGTTGAGAAGAAAACGTGACGAGTCATTCATTCATCAAAGCAAAAAAAATAAAAGAAAATTGAAAAAATCTCTCTCCTCTTTTCTCTATCTTTCTTTGTCCCTCTCTCTGACCATAATATGCGTTCATTGAAAGTCACCACTTCCTTTTTCCTCTCTTTCCACCCCCCCAGAAAAACAAAACCAATTTTTAAAAAATGAACCCAAAAAAAAAAAAGAAAACAGAAACAGTAAAAACAATGCTAACAACGCTCATCTTAAATAACGAGAAAAATTCCATGGTGGGGTCGGATTTCAGGTCAGATGCCGACCACCGGAAAAGTCTTTTCAAATCGGTGAAAAAACAACACAGAATTTAAAAGGCGCACAAAATCACCGAGTTTTAGAAGGGGGATTTGAGCTCGGAGAAATGGTAGTCAGTTTTCAAAAACTGAAAAAACGGTGAGCGTGCACCAATCTGGCCACTAACAGGACACGTATCAGGAAATACGGAACTTTTCCGAGGGTAATCTTGCCATATCAGGACAAAACCATAAAAATGACACGAGAAGCTAATGCAATGGAGGACTCCCCAAAAGAGAAGGGGAAAAAAATTAAAAAAGAAATACAGAAATAAATGAATTTTTCCGAAAAACGAAAACGATAAATTTATTGCAACAAATAAACTGACACTCGTCGGAAAAAAAAACCGATACCCCACCCTCCGAGCCGCCACCGGCGAAAAAAACGAGATTCATTGAGCGAAAAGCAGCGAACAGATTGGGAGAGATGAGGAGAGAACAGAGTGTATCCATCTACCGATATACGAACCTTAGATCTCGACAAATCCAAGAGTTTAAGTGAAGAAGCACGTCCGGATTCCTCCTCAGGACCGCCGTCAAACGAGCCGCCACTCCCGCTGCCTCCGCCGCCGCTGACGGAGGTGGCGCCACTCCATGAAAGCGGCGTAGTCGGACTCGCTCTGGGAGCTTGTTTCTTCGATTGAACCACCACAGATTTCGAACGCGGCTGGCGTACGCTCCACTCCAAGGACAAAGCCGGCCTCGATGTCGTCGTCGGCGTCGGCGTCTGCATCGGCGGCGGCGTCGCCGGAGTCTTGACTTGTTTAAGCTTTACCAGAAGCTCCGCCACCACGGTGTCATCTACAGTAGCCAGTTTGACCCACTCTTCTTCGGCCATACTTTTTGTCTGTTATATATATCCAGAGATATTTTGGACTTCTTTAATTAAGAATGGATTCTTTACAAAATATGAATTGTTGTAATCTATGTTGTTTTATTAGGAGAGAAGTAGAGAGAATTGGAAGCAGAGGGAGGAAAGTGAGGAAGAAGGAGAAGATGAGAAGGAGAGAATGGTGGTGGCAAATGGGGAGAGAAAATCTGGAAATGAAAGTGTGTTATATAAATAAAAAAGGAGTAATCTAAATAAATGTCAGTACGACATGAGTTCTATATGCATCGCTTTTGTGGGGAGAGTTTTCTCTTTTCTTTCTTTCTTTCTTTTTTTTTTTTTTCCTTCCTTTTCTTTTGTTGTTGTTGTATATATATATGCGTGTGCGGTGAAGATGCCAATTTGTCAAATCGCAACACACAAAATTAAAACCCTTTTGTATTTGCGCTACTGTGTGACTGCGTGTTTATTTTTGATGATGGATTTTCTTCCTTTTTCCCCCTTTTTTTCTTGTTTCTCTATATAATTTTTTTTAATATTGGATCACAAGGAGGTGGGAGGATAATTGCCCGCAACCCCTTCAAGTTTAACTGTTTTCCAAAATGTCCCAATGAAGAATACTTGCTCTAAAAATGGCTTAATTTTGCTTGTTGTGGTTAAAAGTATAAAGTGGTCACACGTCACATTCAATTAGTTTGAAAACAAAGGTAAATGAACTCGAGTTACAAAAAAGATATGGGACTAAAGGTTGGTTTTTTACATCATGGAATAATAAGGTGTCTCCTTTTCTATATTTCTTTCATAATAACATTATCATCTAAAATTTGATTAATAGCGATACTACAATATAAACACATCAACTTAGGAATCGATTCATGTGGTAAGCAGGGTTAGAAATGGGGTCTTCTGTGTATACGAAATTAAAAATTTGAGTTAAATCAAGGTACAATTAGAATATCGTTTTTATCTTTAAGATAATATCTTATTCAAATTTAACCTAATTTGTTATGTCTTAAACAAAGTAAGATTCATAATATATACTAGACACGTAATAACAAAAAAACTGGTGAACTCAGAAAGAGATTAATAAAAAGGTATGGAGAAATATACAAAGAGACCTCTTTCATTGCTTTATTAAGTCATTAGTGAGATTTTGGTTTTAGTCTTTGGGGTGTATCTATTTATGCAAAAGGGAACAAGGCAACTTGTCAACATAGTACAAATGATATCTTGAGGATGGTTTTACAAGATAAATAAAACTTGAGGGAATGGCTTGAAATTAACCGAAATGAGAATGGATAGATGGGCATGGTGTTGGTGGATTTATTATTCTATTTAATATTTATCTTGATTGGGGACTTAAGTGTGAGGGCCCACGAGCCTTAGACGTGGCAAAGGGGCAAGAGAGTGAAGTAAACGCGCGAGAGGTGGGGAAGTGGGGAAAAAGACTAAAGAGAAGAGAAAGTGGGGGTTGCTTAGGGGGGCGCACGGTATCATCCTGGGTGGTGTTGTATTTTGGAGGGTTTGGTTTGAGAGAGGGGAGGTGGTGATGTGTTTAATCTGTGGAGCAATTAATGGGACCCAAAAGAAAACCCAATTGATTGATGGTTATAAATCAATGACGACAATTGTTTGCCGCATGTGAATCTTACCGCTGTTAAATTTTGAAGGTAAAACAAAGAAGAAGAAGGAGGAAGATTGGGTTTTGAAAATCATGATGATTTATCATTTTATGTGGTGTGTGTAGTGATGATTTTCTTCTTCTTCATCTTTTTTTTTTCTAACCATACGAGGAAGGTTTAATGATAGTAACTGATGTTATTGCTCTTAACGATTGAGGACAGGTAAAACTTTAAAATAGGTTTCGGACAACTTTTATTTTACAAAAGAAAAGATTTATGGAGACTTGGGTTTTAAAATTGTGACCGACAGGATGGACTGGATTTGGGTAATTTTTTTTGAGTCAGAAGGTTGTTTTACAACGTTACTCTTTTGGGATGATGGCTTGTTACAACTTAAAAGCAACTAAATATTCTCTCTGAAATTGTTGTTCAATTCAGATTTTTAATATAAAAAAAATATAAATTGTATAATAATTTTAGGACATATGAAATATGTGATTAGGAATGTACTCACTGATCCGTCCTAAAAATAATGTTTGTATAGCTAAAATGCTATTAATGGTGACTTCATTTTTGTTTTTTTTAGATTAACAGAGTACCGAGATTTGATAAAGAGAAAAAAAAAAAGCGATGGAACATTTTTGTAATGGATTAGTTAGTTATTTATGGTGTTAAAAATAAAAAGTTCACATAAAAAGTCATGTTATATCCCATTCATCTCATAATTATTGTCCAGTTTCGATTTTCACTCTTAGTTTAAAGTATACTAAGAATAAAATTTCAAACTAGAGAATAATTTCGGGACGGGGGAGTAGCTTGTGAGACTGACTAGTATAAGTATAGAATGTAGTAAAATAGTGAACCCAAAAATACTCATTGGACCTAAAAAGAAAAATAATCAATTTTTCCTAAAATAATTATAGGATTAAATTATAAAGTACTAGTACTAGACAATTACAAAGAAAGGTTTTACCATGATGGTTGGATCAAACAGATAATGGACTTTATCCCTTGTTTGCGTCCCAACATAGTCTCAATTTATGACCGAATAGGGAGGGAAGGGGGACATAGAATCTAGATCTCATCGGTCATCACGAAACTTACGCTACTGGCTTTGCAACAGAAACTCTGGTAAAATTGTTGACACTCCAACCCAACTTAGCAGTCAACTTAATTAAATTTACCTTGTCTTTATTTTTTATATAATCATTTTTCAAACCAGATTTTCAAGATTTCATAGCTTGCAACCTTTTCTTAACCACTTTTTTCTTCCTTTCGTGGTTTTTTTTTTTTTTTTTGATCTTAGCTGGATCTATACATTTTTTCACCATAAAATCACAGGCCCAATTACATTTTATTGCGTTAGTATCATTATTACACTAATTCGGTTTGATGTGTATTCTTGGCTCCCTATTCTATGGAGACAACCTGGTTCAAATAAAACTAAACCTTAATTCCAAACTTATTATTTTCTAAATCCATCATTTTTAACTCTCATATCTAAAGCCCGACTTTAATTCAGTACCTTTTTTTTGTCCAAAAAAAAAACGGAAAAAGAATAATGAAAGAAAAACCCCACACAACCCAAGTGCACTTTTCGCATGGGGGATTATTTCTTTCTGGATTAGAACACAAAGAGAGAAGAAGAGAGGAGAGAGGGGAGTTGGGGTTTAACATTGACACTGGGGACCACTGCCACCTGAATGCTACCAAAAAGAAGCAACTGTTTCCTTTTTTCATATTTTTCTTTTTTTATCTTTTTGGGTATCAAAGGAGCGTGGTGATCACACGCCTCCCTTCCGATTCGGATCGTTGTTTGTAGCAGTAAGGCTGGTTAGTGTGTGACTGTGTGTAAGTGTCAAAAGTGTCAACGCGTGTGACCTTCTGTAATTGCCTAATTGGTTACTGACGCCCCCAACTGATTAATTATTAGTAGTGTTGATTCTCTGAGCTTATAAATGTTAAGTACACTTTCTACATTGCGCCACCCTTTCCTTATTTCTGCTCTTTTTAGTTATTTCCCTCGCGGAAACCTCTTGTGATTCGATTTTTGTACTACTTCCAATTTTGAGATTGATATCCAAGTGAACGTTTTTTGTACTTTCCCCTTGCGACGTTTTTTCAGTGTATATTTTTAGGTATTTTTTGTATTGAAAATATAAAAAATTGTATTCAAAATATAAAAAGATATGCTGAGATAGGATAAGTATTATTAAAATAATCTAAAAAAACTATCTAAAAAACCAAACAAACATAGCCTAATGGGGAGTTGTAAAATGTCTTGATGTTTTATATAAAACCATAATACATATAGTCATATACAAATAGGAATATAGAATCAGTCTTAATGCAATTGAACGGGGTCAACGTTGGTATATTTTAACTACTGATTTTTAATTTTTTTTTCTTTTGCCGTAATTATACAAGGAGAAGAAAAAGTTGATGCAAGATTACAATTGTGATTACGGGCCAGAGATTACTATATGCGGAGCCTAATACAAGTTTAAGATGGTTAGCCGTCCTTTATATATGCGGAGCCTATACGGAGCATTTGTGACTAAAAAGAAACACACAACACAATGATGTACATTCCAGGAATCAATATACAATTAGCTTAAATCAAATACGAGTGATTCCTAGAGAGTTCCATAGATGTGGATCCAACGAAGGTAACAAAACAGAGCCAACAATTGAGCAACACTGCAAGAAGCCTTAAAATGAACCTAGAAATTATTATAGATTTTTTTTTTTTTTTTTAGACTGAAGAAGTATAATTATGTGCTGATTTTTTTTTGGCTAAAAAAGCTTTAAGCATAAACGATGATGTATATTGTTTTGATATAGCCCGCATTTCATTGACGTGATAGTACGCAATGAATTAGTTAGTCCTACTTGTATTAACTCAGGCTAGGCCTGAAATTGTTAACCCAAAAAAATACTCTCTCCGTTTTAAAAAAATAGTCCACATTGAGTTTATAAATTTGTATTAAAAATAATACAAAACTCAAAATTTAATGTAGACTATTTTTTTGGGACGGAGTGAGTAACAATTGCTCCCCATTTATTGCACGTGTGAGGGCATATTTCGAAGAGAAACTATAATAAAGGTTACATCGCCAATTTGTGGGCTAAGGTTTGCTTGCAAGGATGGTAAGAAATAAGAACTAGAATAAGTAAGTATACATGAGATGGGGAAACATAAAAGCAGAGATGATTACACTTTCGGTGAGTAGTGGGTTGGAAAACGTAGTTTTTATCTAGTGTTAATATTGGAAATGTAAGTACAGTATATTTTTGTACATCATACTTAAGTAGTAAGCAGTATTTCTTCTGTTTCAGAAAAATAAAATAAAATACATAACGTATTATAATTTTTAAATTTATTACTTATAACTAGTAGTACTCCGTATAGTAGTATCGTACTTGGTACATAAATGTAAGAAAGACATACATCCAGCGATTATGGTAAATTCCGGAATCTGTTCTCTTTGTGCTACACAAAATGGGGTGCCCCCATTGCCCCAATACCGCGTGGGTGCTGGACTTTTATTATTGTTTGTACCAGTACTACTTAAAAATGATTGAGAATTTTCATTTCTTTTAATTTAATTTAATTTTTTGGTACCCTTTTCTGTACATATTTCGGTCTCCATTGGCTTTGTATTTTGGTGAGATTAAAATGGCAGAAATTCACAATATGGTTATACTTTCTCAGTTTGGAACTTGGAACTGGGGGGTAATGTGCTTTGACTTTTACTACATTCTTGTGTAGTTTATGGTTTTTGAAGAGTTCTTTTTCATTAGACTTTCTAGTTAGGAAGCCGGCTGACTAGAATTGATGCGTCCCGACGTCATCGGTCTCCGTGTACGAGATGAAACTAGTCTTTCCCCCTCCATTTCATTGTACTTGCTGCATCTCAATTATTTAAGGACCAATAATCCGTATTTTTTTTCTTATTTTCATTTGAGCCAAAATGGGTAATCACTATTTCAATTCAGTAATTCTGTCTAAAAAAAAACTATTCCACATTAAATTTTACGATTTGTACTAATTTGTTTTTCTAGGGATAAAGGTAGTATTTATTACCGAAAGAAAAAAGGAAGGGGAAAAAAAGAAGAAGAAATGTTTACTATTAAACTACTAGCCTACTTATTAGGAGGCTCTTTATATTCGTGTTGATGTTTTACTACCTTTTTCATCATTGTTTAGAGCGACATTTGACTCTCTGCTGATCTTTTTGAGATGATTTACTTATGACTTTCATTTTGTTTATTTTTTTCTTTTCAAATTCAAAAAACAAATTAAAGAATAAACTATGATTAGTTCATATGTGGATATACTTCCCCACCATTTTCCATGTTAGATATGTTGTGTACATAATTAGAATGCACGTTTCTTATCTCACTAATAATTATTTTCATTTGTTGAACTGAAACAGTATATGTTTTGGCCTTTCTAATTTCCTACATAGTTGTTGCAATCAAAGGGTAGACTTCATTCAAATCACATCCCAATAATATGAGTGAAAAGTTAGAAGGGAAAGTTAAAACAATTGAAGCGCACATCATCGACAAAAGACATCCTAAATAAGACGAATGCTTCTTCTTTTCTTTCTTTTTTTTTTGTAATTTTTTTTTTTTTAAATACGAAGGAAGCAGTGATTAGTTATAAAACATCTCTATAGTTGCTGGGATGATGATGTACTATCAATTACACGACTCTCTGTGATTAAAAACTGCGGAGTCGACAAAATGTGAAGTCTATAGAGGCAAGATAGATCAAATTTCGCTAATGCATCCGCCACGGTATTATTGGAGCGCCGGGTATACCTTATCGAAACTTGCCAATCTTGATCCTAAGACGAATGCTTCTTGTTTTGATCTATCCAGATCCAGTTGTGTTCATAAAACAGGAGAGCACATCCATCCTCAGCCAATTGAGCCTCTCTTAAATAAGTTGGGCTTCAGAGGTCCAAATGAATAGATTTTAGTCCCGAACCAGACCCTGGCTTTTGTTGAGAAAAGCCAGAATAAGATAGGCTTATTTATGATGGGACTTGTCTTTATCAAACGTGGCCTCTTTCAGTGGAGTAATTCAGCCCGAGTTTCCATCGACTATTCCTGCATCGCTGATGGTTGAAGTCCAGTTGAGCTTTTCCTTCGCAAACATTTGTTTGTTTTGTTTTTGGATGGTTTTTTTATCATATTAAAATAATATACGTCCCATCCTAACATATCTTTTTACATTTTCAATATATTTTTTTATATTTTAAATACAAAAAATATCTAAAAACACACACTAAAAAAACGAAACAAACATACCCAGAGAGTATCACGTATAACTGTCCCCGAAATTTGGTTTTGAATCCTAATTTTATATTCCTTCCGAAATTATTATCCAATTTAAATTTTTATTTTTTAATATAAATTGAAGTAAAAATAATAATTTTGAGTCAGAAGAAGTAAGAGATGATACTAAAAATGAAAATACAAAGAGAACAATCAAAAAATGAAGGATCAAAACATACCGGAAAATGGCACATAAATCAAGGCAAACCATCTCATTGAATTCGAGCCATTCCTTTCCCGCTCAGTCCGCCCACATTTCCAACTGCAATTCTGCCCCCAATCACCATTTTCACAAACCACAAAGAAGACTTTTGCATGCACCATCAAAACACACACAACCACAGTAGCAGTTAATGTTCTCCGTGTGTCATCCCAAACAAATGCATCGAGTCTCGCAGCTTTTAGCTGGCCCCTTCATTACTTCTGTGGACTGGTGGTATTCGCTTACCACTGGCCACCGGCTTTATTTACTGCATCATGGGATGAGCTTTTATATGTTGAGAGTTCCATCATTTAAGCAAACGGCCTATGCATTTGATGAATGAGGGTCAAACGCTCATCATTTCCAAGCCTTTGAACCCTTTTAAACTATAAAAAATACTTCAACGAAAGAAACGACTTGAGCTGAATTATGGAGTGAAAACTTGTTTGAGTAAGAAGTTCGTCAACTTTGCAGCTGAAGATGAAAGCAAGAGGTATATTCATTGTGACCTTAGTGTCATTCCTGTTGATAGGTTCATCACTTGTGGAATCCCGAATCCAACTTAGCGACCAAAAGGGAATTGAAGAGGAGTTGAGAAGCAGTAACCAGAGAAGGACCCCAGTTGGCAGCAGAAGAGGAAGAGGAAACAGACGAAGCAGAGGAGGTAGAGGAAGAGGAGGATCAGGTGGGAGATCAAGAGGAGGAGGTGGATCCTCAAGTTGTGACCCTCTGTTTTCTTTTCTATTCGGAAATTGTGGGCAATGGCCATTCTCTAGAACTTCAAGAAACAACCCTTTCCAGCCTACAGCACCAACTCCCTCTCCCCGTCGGCCACCGGCACCAGTTGTACCTTCACCTACTCCACTCATTCCTTTACCACCACCACTCGCAGCTTCTCCTCCACCTCTTGTAGCTTCACCACCGCCCATCATACAGCCTCCCCCAACAGCTCCTTCTCCATCTCCACCACCTTTAGTGTCATCACCCCCACCTTCATCACCATCCCCTCCACCACCCGTCCCCTCCCCACCCCCAGAGTCTCCACCTCCACCACCTTCACCGTCGCCACCCCCTCCAATCCCACCATCTCCACCACCACCATTAGTTCCCTCTCCGCCCCTCCTTCGCCATCACCTCCACCACCTGACATCCCTATCATCTTGCCACCTCCACCACTTGTTTTATCACCTCCACCCGAACCAGAAGCACCAGATTTTCCATGGTTATCACCTCCTGATTCAGTCCCAGACATATCCCCACCTCTGCCGGACCTGCCACCAGATATATTCACGCCAGCACCGCCTCTCGTCCCCATATTTTCTCCACCAGACACGTTTATTCCACCAGAAGAACAGCAAGCGCCACCATTTACCCCAACTTTTTCCCCACCAGAAGAGCCTTTTGAATTTGTACCAAGTCCTCCAGCAGTTGATGAAGGCACAATCCCGACATTTCCGTTCCCATCTCCACCAGAGGAGCCCTTTAATGTTCCAAGCCCTCCCACAATGGACGAAGGTGCAGTTCCAACTTTTCCATTACCATCTGCACTGGCGCCTCCAGCAATACCAGAACTTCCTTCGACTCCACTTGAGCCACTCCCTTTTGAGTCAACGCCCCCATCACCAGAAGCGCAAGAGCAGAGTCCCCCAATGTTACCTTATATGCCTCCCTTTGAGGATCCACAGCAGCCAGATTCACAGAGTCCCCCAACGTTACCTTTTATGCCTCCCTTTAAGGACCCACCGCAGCCAGATTCACCTCCGTTCGAAGGTTAAGATCTTCCCTGTTTGATAGTTTCATTCAAATAAAGCAATACAACAGAACTGCAACTCAACAATTTCATATTAGAGTCACATGTTATTATTTCCGTTTCATTCTTTCCATGGAGTGATGAAACATTGTACACTGAAATATTGTAAGTTGTGCAAAGCTCTCATTTGCAAGTCTAAAGTTCCTTAAAAGCAACCAAATATTTCACTTTTATCAGACCACTTGAAGAAATCTACAGAGTAAAACTAGAAAGAAACCCATGGTTTGTAAATAAGTATCTGTTTCAAGAAACTCACGAAAGCAATATAGCAAGATGTAACAATTTATTCACTGCTCTGCGCAACTGGAATGGGTACAATTCACAAAAGGATGATGAAAAACCACCACATCTAATTTGTGAACAATCCAAAAGTAACAACTAAAGAATGCCCCATCTGACCTTAACACCCGTAATTTTCAGCTACCCGAGAGGTAAAGTCCTACTTTGACATTCGAGGGTGTCAGGAAAAGGCTACATATAACAAGAACCAACACCCATGATTTTCTGATCTACATTGCTGAAGGGAAGCAGGAAAGAAAAGATAAAAAAACCAACCACAACAAAAGTGCCAGCCAACAAATACAGGACATCTTCTAATGCTTGTATGCAGGGTTATCACGAAGACCAAGCTTAGTGAGAACAAAGCAGTAAGATTCCCAATCGGTTCTACGCATGTACTTTAACAACTTCTTCCTCTTTTCAACCATTGCTTGAAGACCTTTCTTCGAATGCTTGTCCTAAAGTCATTACAAGAAATAAATCTGGTCAGCAACTAGAACCAAGGGAGATGCTGCATACTGCAAAGGTATAATATAATGAAAACAAAGTTTTTATATACACATAGAAGTCACATAATTTCAATCCAAACCCCTCTAATACATGATAACAGCCAATCGGCAAACGGTGTCCAGAAGTTCCAATGGTACAAAAAGGTAAAAGGATACAAGAGGATTAAAGGCGTAAATTCAAAAAGGAGGAAGATCAGATCTTTCAACTAACATATAGAATATATTACAAAGGCTAATACATGGTGTTTTCAAGAATAATGGAGGCTCAAGAACGTTTATTTTATGAGCCACTGAATTTACGAGAATAAGCTTAATGAATGAACAATAAATAACCTAAGTTTCTAGCCATGGACAGGCAAATCGGTTAAATTTAAAACATAAAAGTTTATCCCATCAACAAATATTGATCAAACTTAATTGCTAACTGATAAATAATTACATACAGACCATACAATCAATAACAGCTCACCTTTTTGTGTAGAACTTCAGAAAGATGCTTAATCTTTGTGGTGAGTTGAGCCACTGCAAATAACAAAATCAATAATAGAGTTAGTCCAAACAACCCAAATGATGACGAAATAGAAACTGCAGACGAACTACAAATACAAAAGCAAGAGGACCCAAGGAAAGAAAAGAAGACAACGAGAAGGAATACACAGGAAAATACAATATTTTTGAGAAAATGCACGCTGAAGAATTCATCGGTTCAGTATCCCGTTCTTTGTACTATATTTATTTAACACTACCGCTTATAATCACAGAACACGTAGCTTTCTGACAACAATTTTGTAGTAAAAATGATCCATAAGATAAACAGTTCACAACTGATATAAACTTAGAACTGGAAAAAAAGAAATCTAGCACATATCTAGAAGTACCCGACGTCCGGAGGAAAATATTTTTTTGCCACTTCAATTTGAATAAGATTTAAGTGTTGGAAGCAAGATGGCTTTGATCAGCTCTACGAATAAGCGAGAATTAAAGTTGTCATTTTGGAGGACAATATATACATTAGCACTTTACCCGTTACACTTCTATAATTGTATTCACTACCTCTTATTCTCAATGCAGTTCTTTCCTGTCTTTGGTTTCCTTTTGGTAGTGGAATGTAACTTTCCTTTGCAAGGCCACTCAAGCTATAAGACATTATTACATTAAGTTATAGGTCTAGCACTCAAAAAAAAAAGAAAAAAGAAAAGAGTTATGGGTCTAAATCAACGGAGTAGCAAAATTTTAGTGATCAAAAGAAAAGAAGAAACAAATCACAAAGTTTAATATTTCTATAACAACTAACATGTTCATACGAGGCAGAAACCAACATATAGGCTCAGAAAACTCACCTTGAACTCGGGCAGAACCGCAATCCGATTCAGACATTTTAAATTCATCTCTTACTTTATGAAGCTCTAACTTCAATTTTTCAGAGGCTGACATGTTATCTGGATGGAAATACTGCAACATACAAAGGAAAACAACAATGCTGTAATTACACAAAGCAGTATTATCTAGGCCTAAGCTAAAGCGGTAATAATTAAACAACAGACAAATTGATGCAAACACATATATGTAAAATTGTTAAAGCTAGCTTTCTCAAAGGATAGCATATGGTGAACTGATATTATAATTTAGTTAAACGCAATGACAATGACTAATAATTTCCCAGTTTCATTCCACTGTCCTTCACAATTGTTAGGAGAAGACGGTGTAACCAAAGAACAATATGCAAGTTTAAGCCGTCCCATGTAACATTCCAGAAAACAACATTGTGACTTACTTGGGCCATCTCTACTTGCAAATCAATTTTTGGCCATTATATTGAGTTTATAGCTACAGGCTCGTAATATCAGGCTTACATTTCAAAAGTGGGGAAAAAAAAGGTTTCTAAGTGACAATCATTTGGTAAAAACACAAAATAAGGGAAGGGAGGCGTTGCATTAGAAGGCCACAATTTTCATCATTCCCCCGCCCCCCTAAAAAAGATGAAGCAGCAGACAAGAACTTGCCTTTTCAATAAGTTCTTCCTTCGGGGTAGAGTATAATGTAGTTTCACCAATCAGGCTGGAGGCAGTAAATCTTCGGTGCAACTGCTTCCTCTCTTTCTCAAGGTTTTCTTCTCCCAGCTTCAAGATACTTTCCCTCAAAGCATCCATAACGGGAATTTCCCTGGATTCATTTTCTTTCAATTCCATCTCTCTCAATCTCGCTAATCTATCATTCAGCTCCTGGAACGAAAACCAATCCTTCTGGTCCCCTTTCTTCTCAGGCCTAAGCGACTTCAGTTTCTGTCCCAACTCCTTGTGGTCATACTTCCTCAACAAATCCGTACTTGTACGATCATTATTTACCTTCTCCCTCGATTCGAAAAAGGAAGACGACAAACTGCCGCCGATGCTTCCAGGTGGAGAAGAACCCGGAGTTTGACCCGGCCCCAATTTCAAACTCTGACTAATACTTGGACGGGGGGTAACACTATCTAACCGATTCACCGGTGGGGTTGGAACCATTTTACTTAAAGTATCGCGAATAGCCGAAAACGATACCGGATTCGGCGCGGTGGATCCTTCTTCGCCTTTGCTACGCATGTAGAGTTTCTCCAATGAAATTTGGTCGTCCCGTGGAGGTGGGGGAGCGGTGCGGGCGCGGAAAGCTGCAAGATTATTCTTAATCTCCTCTGTAGCTAAGCTTTTGCGCTGGCTTGCATTGGAAGGGCCGGAGAAGAAAGATTTGACCGGAGGGGGTTTTGATTGAGGGTTACTCCGCTGTTGTTTGAGGCTGGCTCTGAGTGAATCTAAGAAGGAAGACCCATGCGGTGGCGGTGGAGATTGAGACTGGGAGGAATTCGATTCAGGGTTGGGGTTCGAGTCGGGAAATGGTGATTTCGACGAGGATGAGAAGTGATGTAATGAGGATGGATATTGAATTTTGGTGGCGGTGGTGGTGATTGGAAGGAATTTCGGCGAGGACTTGGTGATTTTGGTGGTGGCCGCCATGGGCGGTGGTGGAGGAGCTTTCTGCGGAGGTTTAACGAAAACCCTAGTATTTTTATGGAATTTGAAATGCCCGGCGGATTCAGCATTTACCTCACTGCGCTGTCACTGTTCTTTCATTTTTTGTGTTTTTTTTTTCCCGGAAACGATAAATTTTATTTTACCACTTCGGAAAAACATCTGCACTAGAAATTTCACAGCTGACAGTTAGAAATCTCATTTTGTTGGGCTACACGCTTGGGCTAATATGACTGTTTAGGTCATGTTTGGATGAGGATAACAGGCCAGATTTAGGCCGATAAAATTGCAAAGCTTAGTCTAGTTTTTGTTCAATTAAATAGGTTGCAGTATCTTAATGGGCCAGATGAATAAAGAACTTTGTCTGGACCTGTTGCACTCTTCGGTCTTGTGTAAGTGTAAGTAATAAAAAATAATAATAATTATTGATGAAATTGAGAAAGGAAAAAAGAAGAAAGAGAGGGAGCAGATTAAAGATGACGAATTCTCATTCAATTTTGTCAAAAAGACATGTTTACAATTGGTTTTGCAGCTTATAAAATTCTAATAAGGAAATGTTTGAGACTGAAATTTATACTTCTTTATTATTCTAAGGCATTACGAGTATCATTCGTTCAACTATTTTTAAAAAATAGGTAAGGAGCTATAATGTATATAAAACTCATTCGTCAAGTATACATATATACGACGTTAATCGAGACAGCCTATGTAACAAAAAATATATATGTAATTGAAGGCCTCAAAAAGAAAGAAAAGCAAAAAAAATAAAAAATAAAAATTCCAAAGCTCAATGACCTTCAAGGTCAATGAAAGTTTGAAGACATTAATCATATGGAAGTTGGATCATTGATTAAACTTTTGATATTTATATACGGGATATATATACATATATATATATATAATTGCTCCTCCTCCAAAAGAAGAGAATAAGGAAAAGGACATTGACTACCAGTTGGTGCAAGATGTTTCCTAGCCTTTTGTTTGGTTTTTGAGTGAAGAATTATTGGCATTGATCTAAGTTTATATAGGCTTGACTGCTTTTTAGGCATTGGACTATGACTAGGAGCTGATTTTCATAATTCATAATATGTCTATATTCATACTCATTAATTAAAAATTAAAAAAAGTACGTCCAAAGTTTATAGGTATGATTATGCTGTGGGATCCCCTGCAAAATGACTTTCACTAATAGTATTGCTTCTTTGAAGATTCTGAAACCATTAACAAGATATGAGTTATCATTGCTTCTTTTCTTTTGTTTCCTCTTTTTTTTTTTTTTTGTTATCATGATTTTTTTTCCCCTAATCATCTTTCCATTGAACGAACAAAGTTGCAAAAATTTATTTTGACATATACAAAACCAAACAAATTATTGTTTCAGTTTCTTCACTAACCGCTTCGATGTTTTTTTTTTTAAAAAAAAATACGTAAACAAATGTATAGAAAATGCAAAACCCTTTATTCTATTTGGGTAATACTACATAAAAAAGAGTGTAATTTTATTTTATTTTTTGGCGTTAAAAGGAGAAAATGGTAGTAGATCATTAACACGTAATTATCAGTTTGATACGATCATACTCCATATATATATGCCTCAACATCATTTATGAATTTCTTATTGTTAAAAATATTAACTTTTGTTGTTAAAATGTGAATTAGTTTGAGTGTCCATTCAAAATAATTTTGTGGGTACATATATGTATTGTTAATTAAAAAACTTTTAATAAAAATTACTTATGTTGGGACCGTAACGGTGTAATCGATCTATAATACATTTTTTTCAGGTGTCATGTTTTCATCGTTTTATCTATTTTATAGTAACAATCATTATCTGAATATCGTCATCATTGTTTCCAAAAAAAAAAAAAAAGTCTATATAAATAGTGGTGGAGAAGGATAAGCCATGCTGCATTGAATCCGTTATACTGTTAGCTAGCAAATTCCATCAGCAGCAACTTCAGATTTTATTACTGTATAACTTTTTTTCTTCTTCAACCATAAAAAAGAAAAACCGAAAAAAATGGATGGGAATTTATTATAGTATTAGTCGAATAAGAAAACTTTGGGGGGGGCGGAGCTAAGCAAAAAGAGATTCTACTTGCTACCACTTTCCACTTTTTTTTTTTTTTGCAGAGTCCACAAACCACTACCAAAAATCATCAAAATGCCTTCAATTCACCACCTTTTGATAACCGCCACATGATTATTGTGCAATTGAGCCTTCTTTTTTTTCTTTTATAGTTTTGTTTGATTTTCTGGGAATTAAAAAAGAGTTCAGCTTTTGCCTGTCACTTTTTCTTTGTCTTTTCTGGTGGACTGATTATACCCAGATTAGTGGATTAATTTACAGACCCTTTTGCAGTGAGATACCCAAACAGCATTTGTTGTTTTCTGTAATACTCTTTAGTCTTTCCTCAATTACTATTACTACACAACTTGAATTTCGAAATCGGGAGAAGGCAAGGAAGCACGGCACTAGAAGACAACGGAGAAGTTTCACAAGAATCCCGTTACAAAAAACCAGCTCCCAAAGAGGGTCCAAAGACTGCCCATTTTTCCTCTTGTCTCCGTTTTTTCCCCCCTTTGAAATAGTGGCTGTATAAGTTAAGTGATTTTTACCAGTTAAGTTGAAGACATGAAGAAAATTTGGATTTTCATTGTGCCCATTTTGGTGTTTTGTTCGCCATTGGTGGGTTCCTATCCTGCCGATGTGAAGCCAGCGCCTCCTGTTTCTGACCCTGTTCTTCCTACTGAGAAAGATCCTGTCTTGCCTTCTTCTTCCTCCTCTTCTCCTGGGGAGGAAGCCGATGCTCCTGGTAAAACTTTAATTATATGTTGTTGTGTTTCTACTTTCTTCGTTGATTTTTGATATGGGTTAGCATTTCCGGAGCTGGTTTTGTTCCCATTTTCCATTATTCAGTATAAATGGGGAGCTAGTAATGCTCAATTTTGGGGGGTTCATGATCTTATTTTCCGCAATTTTCGGTATGTTCGCTGTTTATAAACTCGATTCAAGAAAGGAAATTGCCTTGTTTGTTGTGAATTCCTGAAGATTTGTTAATAATGGCTTCATTGTTAAAAACTGGCTTTGCACTCCACCCAACCCCCAGAAGAGCTGGGTTGTGTTTGAGTTCGTCATTTTCCGCCTCATCCCGGATTATTGAGATTTGGTTGTATAACGAGGATATTATAATTTGGGAATGAATTTTAGTAGTAATTCAAATGATTGAAAATTTGGTTGATTCTGTTATGTTCAGAATTTGTTCCTTTCTTTCTTTTTATTCTTTCTTTTTCCTTGGAGATGCAGCAGCTCATGTAGTCCATCATCAGGACATCAACAAGAAAATTCTAACTGCACTCATTATTGCTGCTACCCTACTCGGTGCCACCTTGTTACTGGCTTCATGTTTCTGGTTCTACAGAACCAAAAAGTTGAAGAGCTCTAATTCAGAAGGAGGGCAGAAGCATAGCTCCGGTACTTTCTGTCTCCAGAATATGTCTTTTAGGTTCCTTTGTCCTTTAAGATCTTCAAGGATTTTGTTTTCTCATTTATCTATTTTTTGCCTCATTTTCACTTTCCAGATGTTGAAAAGGAGCTTTCAGCGGGTCAAATTTTTGATAAGGTCACTCCTTTGAAAGTGTTTGGCAAGAAAGGCTCCATTTCTTTCATTGCATATCCGGTGCTGGTAGCTGCTACAAATAATTTTCAGGAGAGCAATATTATCGGTGAAGGGGGATTAGGCTGCGTGTATAAAGGTCAATTTCAAGACAACTTACAAGCAGCTATAAAAAAACTCAATGCTAAATTGCAAGACTCTCAAAGAGAATTTGAGGTGACTTTTGATTCAACAAATCTTTTGCTTCTATCTCTCCCGGGTTTACTTTTTCTTGCAATGTTCTTAAAACCCTTTTTCTGCTTGATTGCTTTGGGCTTGCAGAATGAGGTAGATTTGCTGGGTAGAATTCGGCACCAAAATATAGTTCCCCTTCTAGGATATTCTGTTCAGGGAGAGACACGGTTTTTGGTTTACGAAATGATGCAGAATGGTTCTCTTGAATCCCACTTGCATGGTAAACCACATTTCCCTTCTTTCATCCTGAGAGCAAATTAATATAGTTTGTGGGCATTCAGCATTTCCTTTTCCTTTTGGTTGACTGTAGGACCTTCCCGTGGATCAAGTTTGACATGGCATCTGCGGATGAAGATTGCTCTAGATGTTGCTAGGTATGCCCTTTCAGGGCTTAGTATCTAAACTCTGAAGTTACGAATGGGTTGTTTCTTTTTTGCTCGTCGCTTCTCTTCTGTTTAAGATGGTACTTTAATCTTGTGCAGAGGATTAGAATATCTGCATGAGCGTTGCAACCCTCCTGTAATCCATAGAGATCTCAAATCCTCTAACATCCTTTTGGATTCTAAATATAATGCAAAGGTAAGATGGGAACTGAATATTGTCTAAACACTGCGATTTTGACTTTTGAGAAACTAAATGAATGTTTTATGATTCGGTAACGGATGGTTGTGTCGGACAGTTATCCGATTTTGGCCTGGCAATTACTGGTGGGAACCTGAACAAGAAGAATGTAAAGCTTTCAGGAACTTTGGGATACGTTGCGCCTGAATACCTCCTAGACGGTATGACGAATCTATCTAATGCATAAAACATTTGGAGTAGGAAAGTGTTTTTTTTTTTTTTTTCAATTGTTATCATCAACTCTTACCTAAAGACAGATCTTTCAAATGAAGGAAACTCCCAAGTTCTTAAAATCTTGGTTTGTGTGTGTCAGGTAAATTAACTGAAAAGAGTGATGTCTATGCATTTGGTGTGGTGCTTCTTGAGCTTATAATTGGAAGGAAACCAGTAGAGAAAATCTCTGATACTCCTCAGTCTTTAGTTACATGGGTAAGTTCCTGTTGATACTTAATTTAACTGGGGCCTTAATAGAGTTTCATCAACTGAAGTAAAGCTCCTGGTTTATTTTTATTGAGCAGGCTATGCCTCAGCTCACTGACAGGACGAAGCTTCCCGGCATTGTCGATCCTGTCATCAGGAATACGATGGACCTCAAGCACTTATACCAGGTTTTTGCTTTTTAGACTATCTAATTGCTTGTGTACCTGAATAATGGCATCTTAAATCAGTGTCTGACTGGAATGGTTTACCATCTTGGGTAGGTTGCTGCAGTTGCGGTGCTATGTGTGCAGCCAGAACCAAGCTATAGACCCCTGATTACAGATGTCCTGCACTCGTTTATCCCACTCGTCCCTGTTGATCTTGGGGGGTCGCTAAGAGTTGCATAGTTTGTTCCTCCTGTCTTTCTTCCAGACAGGTTTGTTGGCTGCATAATGCTGCAATAATTTACAGTCCTAGGTGCTGTACTTCGACAGCTTCATCATGAAAGGGTAACCACGGGGGTCGGTCATGTTCAACGTTAGTGATTCTTTTAAGTACATTTTTGGTAGAAAATCTAGGTTAGGAAATGGTCCTTCAGAAAGATGAGCATGGAGCTGTATATATAATTGTAAATCTTTTAAATGGAAAGCTAGTGTTAGGCTGACATTGTGGTTTCATCTATGGATCTCTTTTCACGCTTTCATTATATCATCGACTGTTCCGATTTCATATTTTGTTGCCTTTAAAAGGGAATTTCCGGCCTAAGTTATGTTTTCTTTCTGTGTATGTTAAGTAGCCCTTTCTCATCTTAATTGAATACAACAGCCCCTTGTCTGTGTTTTTTCAGCAGAAGGAGAATGTGGATCTGATTGTTTTGGTGATTAATAATGATTGAGAAGTTAGGTCTTCCCTGACATTTTGCCTTGTGAATCTGTTAAGTGGTATATAGAAACGTGACATTTCACTGTACAGAAACTTGGCCTTGCTTTCTTTGACAACTGGTGGGCTATGTTATTTCTAGATGCTACCTTGGTCCTTGCATAACCCCTTTGCATTTATTGTCTCTTTAGTCCAACCCAGTTCACATGAAAATGTTCCTATTGCGTGTCGTCGATGCAGCTCCGAATCTGATGTTTCATTTGACATTTCTTTCTTCTAATCCCCTCTCTCCTTATTCCTTGTGTTGTTACTTGATCTTGAGTTAGTATGACCTCGTTGTCTATTTACATGCCATTTACCACTAGATTATGATTTCTTTTCGCGTTGCTCGACCCAAATTCTGCAACTTTTTTTAAGGTCAGAAGTGTTTTTCAAATAACACTTGCATTAATTAATTTTCATTAACCTATGATCATGTTTTTTTTTTCTAGTGTAAAGGTGACGATACTAGTCATCCGGGATAATCTTATACTATCATGTAAAAATTACTATAGAGGGAACTTATTTTATGCTACCAACAAAGTGGTTGAATCACACAACCGTCTCCAACTACTTTGTAAATATCATGTCATTGACTTGGAGCTATCTTTCTGGTGGGGAATCAAATCACTTTATCTACTCCTGCGAATCCATCCAACTGAATTCAGCTGAAATGGAATAGGCTGGAGGGGCGGAGCCCTATTATGCTCGGGTCAAGATGTTACCAAAACATAAATCCGGAGAAAATAATGAGCTAGAAAATAGACACATTTGTACAGAGTTACTATTTGCAACAGAATTTTCAACAAAATTGTGGAGTAGTACTAGTATTTTGTTTTTATAGTCAGCAAATTTGTCCCAAAATTCAACAAAGCAAAACTCGTAGGATATAAACTCCCCATCGAACCTCTCAACACTCAAAACCTCTCAAGACGCAAATCAAAATGAATATAATAATGCCCATACGTCGAGTCTCGATTTTGACCAAAGATGCCTGGTGTGCCTATTAATTAAGTTTGTGTTACTTTTGGGACAAAGGCAACCATAAAGATGGGAACCACTTTAGTTGAACTTTGAATTTAGCAAGTCCCCGACAAAGCTTTTTTAGGTTGGATTTGTAGGGGATTACGTTGTTGCAACAAATGAACACAACATTTATAGAAAGAAGGAAATTAAAAAATAAAGGAATCAGAGAACTTGGAAAGGTACAAAATACTAATTCAGAATAACAAAAAGAAAGTGTTACAATCAATTTCCAAATGAAACTAATCCAAGTAAAAACTACAAGCATCATTCTTGCCTAATAATCATCTGAGGCTCCCTTTCCCCCCCACCGGGGTTGGGCCTTTTTCCACTGTCTAATCTAGTTAAACTAAAATCGTTCAAAACCAAAAAGGAACAAACAATACACAAGCAAATCAAAGGGGCATTGCCTGCCTTTACTACTTATTTTATTGTTCTCTCTCCCTCTAAAAACCATCTTTTAGGGAAAGCACGAACTAATAAGGATATTGTCCAAACCAGAGACCAAAACTATAAGACACGAAAATTTTGTCAAGAATGTCTGCCATTCACACTTCCCACATTCTCTTCTTGTTTCCTCAGATTTAAACCGTGTAATGCTGTTGAATCGTTTCAATGTCCAGTCCCTTGAGCCTCACCACTGATTCCACGTGGCCCTTGAGAGTATGAAGCTCCCTCAGCCTGTGTAACAAGCAACCACAAAAAATGTTATACAATCATTCAATTGATGTCTAAATGTTTAAAACACAGGATTGTACAAAAAGTGAAGGAAGGATCCAAAATTAGGCTTAATTTTACAACCATATTAGGTTTACCTTGCGATCTCAGCACGCCTCTTGGCCTGTTCAGCAATTTCAGACAACTCTCTGTAACTGTTGTTATCATTGAAGATCTCTGAGGTCTCTGGAGGATGAAGGCCGCGCAATGTTCGCTGCGCCAAAGCCCATTGTGCTTCCCTCTCTTCCCTGCCGTAATCCTTCTTTGTGGTAAAAGCGGTCTGAGAATTGACCAGGATAGGATATCAAGTGAAGGAAAAGATCAGTTTATTAGGGTTCATGTTAACTTAGAAATCTGCAGCAAGAAAATGAAATAAACAACTAACCCTGTTCTGAAGCAAGTTATCCCAAGCTCTTCCACTGAGAGCATATCGAATGGCAAACTTGAAGAGATCAAGTGGGAGGTAGAAGATGATACTGTATATCCAAATCACTCCTGCCCATCCCCATCCTATTCCACGGATCCTGGCAAATTCCCAATTTGCATAAACAGCAAGCAATGTTGCTATCTGTTTCCACATGAATTTAATTAACAGGCCATTAATCAATCAGCAAAAAAGTTCAGATGTATGAATAAAGGAGGGAGAAAGAGAAACATAGATATCGCAAAGCAACTTCTTTTTACCAGCTGTGCAATGATGAAAGCAGCCACAAGAAGAAGACCAGGACGCTCCACAAACGACCAACTCCTTGAACGAGTAACGAAGATGAGTGCTTGGCTAACAATGCTCACTTGCAAGTAAAGTGCTGCATTTAGCTCGTGATAATTTTTTCTGATAGAATGTACACCGAAGTGTTTCTGCCAATTCAATCAAAACAAATGCAAAGATAACTATCAGGGAAACCAGGAAAGCAATCAGGCTGAAACTTGCAGGTTCTGAGATAGGCAACAGTGGTTTCTTTCTTACCGTAAAGAAATCTGATTGATGAGCAGCCCAGAAGAATATAACTGTCATTATAGCAAGGTAAGTTCCCAGAACAATTCCAGTAGCAAAAATTTCCTTCAGTTTCCATGAATCAGGCATTGGCGACGGCTTGACCTTGTCTTTTGAAATGGTCATAATGGTTCCATCATTAAGAATGGCAATGATCAACACCATGAATGGTGAGAAATCAAACTTCCAGATCAGTGCAATGAGCATGAAACCGAGCACAATTCTGATGGTGATGGAAACAGCATATATGGTATAGTTCTTCATCCTCTGGAATATAGCCCTGCTAGTCAAAACGGCACTGATGATAACACTCAGTCCTGGTTCCGTCAGGACAATATCAGACGCGCTCCGGGCAGCATCTGTGGCGTCAGCCACAGCAATCCCGATGTCGGCCTTCTTCAGTGCTGGTGCATCATTCACACCATCTCCAGTCATCCCACAAATATGTTTTCTCTGTTGTAGCTTTGCAACAATTTCATACTTATGTTCTGCATCCATTATCAGAGTAATGTTAGATCGGCTCTTTCTGTAGCATTCTCTATAACCCTCTTTTAATTTTAGATAGATACACACAAGTGATACAGAGAGAGGATAAAGAATTCAAAAGCGAACCAAATTCCCATTAATGACCACTTACCAGGAAAGACCCCGGCGAAGCCGTCAGCTTTCTCAATGAGCTCCTCAACGGGCATGTTGGCAATAGCTTCATCCTTGTGGTCGCCAAGGAGTGATGAAGAAGGATACATGTTGGTCCCCATGCCAAGCCTTCGACCAGTCTCCTTAGCAATGGCAAGCTGATCTCCAGTGATCATCTTAACATTGACACCAAGGTTCAAGGCACGTTTAATGGTCTCCCCACTATCATGCCTAGGAGGATCAAATAGAGGCAATAGGCCAACAAATACCCAAGGTCCTCCTGCACTCTCCTTGGTCTTTTCTGGGACTGTCTGCAAATTTAAAAAACAAAGCAAGCTTAGTTCAGTGCTGCAGTGAGGGCTCCCGTTTCAGGTAAGTAGTTCAAAGAAATTATTTTTGGCTAAAATACCTGTTGAGCGACAGCAAGAGAACGAAGACCCCTATCAGCAAACTTGTCAATTATATCATGCACTTTTTTCCTTACATCTTCCTTTAGATTACATAAATCAACAATCTGGAAGAAGACAGTTGAATAATTTGTTAATATGAACATCAAATCAGGAAAAAAAGAGAAGAGAAAAAAGAGTTGGTAGCATTCTTGTAATGTTTACCTGCTCAGGAGCACCTTTGCTAACTCTGTGCCAATTGCCATTGGCATCAATGTACGTAATAGCTGTACGTTTATCCACTGGATTGAATGGAAGAAAATGCACTTCTGTGATCCCTGCCCTTGCCTGAAAAATACAGATGTAAATATCAGTGACTACAAAATATACTAGCAAATACTTTGGCACCAAATTTTTAATTAACTTTTGAAATATTAAGTGATCGGGTAAAATTAAGCCTCAGCCATTTGTAGTCACCTCTTTTGGATCTGCCAACATACCGACAATACAAGCATCAATTGCATCTTGATTCTCCACCCTGGAGGATCTAGCTCCAAGAAGAATTACAGTATCCTTGTCCATATCTTTGGTGAAGACCTGAATCAGAGCAAAAGCATGGAATAGAAGTTACATATGACATTAAAATGCTTTATTCTCAGTCAAATTAAACACTGAAGCATCATACCTCAATCAGGTTTTTGTCTACAGTAAGTTTGTTAAGGGTGAGAGTCCCGGTCTTATCACTACACAGGACATCCATACCAGCCATTTCTTCAATAGCAGTCATCCTCTTAGTTATGGCACCTTGCTGCGATAGCCGGTGGGATCCAATTGCCATTGTAACGGACAACACAGTAGGCATGGCAATTGGAATGCCTCCAATCAGAAGGACTAGCAGGTTATCAATTCCATCCCTGTACTTGCGTTTCTGAATTGGGTACATCACCACTATCTCTATAATTAAACCCACGGCAATGGAACAGATACAGAAATTACCAATAGCAGTCAAAACCTGAGCAATTGAAAGAATCACAAATCCAAATGTCAGGAAGATGAAGAATCGTGACAGAATTGGCTTCTCATTTGTCTTTCCAATACTAAAAATTAAGAACCCGTACCTTCTGGAAATGTCCAACTTGGTTGGTGCTGTCTACAAGGTGAGCAGCTTTTCCGAAGAAGGTGTTGATTCCAGTGGCAATCACGATAGCCTCAATCTCACCTTGCTTACAGGTTGAACCGGAAAACACTTCGCTCCCAGGGTTTTTAGTGACAGGCAGTGATTCACCAGTAAGTGCAGACTGATCAATTTTAAGAGGATCTCCTTCCAGGAGACGAGCATCAGCTGGGATAATGTCTCCCAGCTTAATACTTATAATGTCCCCTGGAACTAATATTGCTGCATCTTGTTCAGTCCATCTACCATCTCTCAGTACCTGATACAAACATAAACCATGGAATAATTAGAGGATTAAAATGGTTACAGTAAAGATAGCATAAACTCATGGTGAGAGCAAGAATACCTTTGTTTTAGGTGCAAGGCCAGCCATCAAAGCAGCTGCAGCGTTTCCAGCATTGTTTTCTTCAATAAAGCTTATAGTGGAATTGATCACCAGAAGAACAACAATACCCACAAAATCCTGCCAGTCTGGAGGCTTGTTCTGAAATTATTTATCCATGGTACACAACAAACCAGATCAATAACGTGCACAATAATCATCTCAGTATATAGAATTTTCCATCTGTTAAAATGGAGATAAAAAATAATGCTTACATCTCCATTGGCCAAGGCAATAGCAATGATTGCAGCTGCTTCCATAACCCATGACAACGGATTCCACATAAAGCCCAAGAACTTGAGAAGTTTGCTTTCCTGTTTGGCGGAGAAGAATTTAGCATGGAAGTTGAAGTAAATCCACTAGAAGAAATAAAGCAAATTATAAAAATAGAATTTGCCTTTTTCTCTTCTAGCTTGTTTGGACCAAATCTCTGAAGCCTGGCAGCGGCTTCCTCCGATGTGAGTCCTTCCTTGGTGCATTGAAGCTGCTCAAACACTTCATCCACCGGTATCCTCTCCTTTTGTACCACAAAGAATAAACACGTTACACACACAGAACACTGGATCTATCCAATCCATCACATAATTTGCCTGTATTCGGCTTCTCACAGAGCAATTTTTAATTTACTACAAACAAACAACTCATAAGTGAATTTCTCAGTTTCGGAAGACGAAAGGTTTGAATCTAATTACTATAAACAGACGTATGATAGTAATGATTATCCAGGTCGAATTCAACAGAAAGGGGAGAACAACTTTTCACTCATCAAACAGCAAAATCCACCCCCTAACTCTTATGGAAAACAGAACATCTTCGATCGAAACATAATTTCACACACATATTCCACATGAATCGACGTAAAATTACAACAATCAAACACGAGTAAAATGAATAATTCCGAAATCAAAACGCTGGAGATTAGATCAGCAAGAATCAATACAAGAAAACACAATAATTACGATTAAAGAAAAAGAAAACAGAACAAAAAAGATAAATAAATAAATCGAAGGGAGATAGAAAGGCTTATCAATCGTACAAGATCTATGTTCTCCTTCTTAATCTCGTCCAAGCTGGGACCTTTGTTTTCCGCCATTGCTGAAAATTTCCTTCTCTATACTCTGCGGAATAATACTACTACAGAGCGATTATACTTAGCACGAAATCAGAGACGTCGGAAAGGCGAGAGAAATATGATGAATTTGGGGCTCTGTTTTTATAGTTCGGATCGAATCATTATTATTGTGGAATGAGGAACTGCATGGCTGCTTGTATTTTTGCATATGCAACAGTAAGCACAAACCTAGTGTAATTTGTGTTGTTGTGGCTGACTTTTATTTGTTTATTTTTATTTTTTTTTAATAGCATATTAATTAAATAAATGGAGAAAGATAGAATTATACTCCACTATTTATATATACAGGCAGGAAGAGAGAATTTGATTCCATTTAGGTCTCTCAGCTTCTAGCGGTAAATTTCAGCCTTTCTTTTGTAACGAACCTCTAGAATCTTCCCACCTGTTCATTGAGGAAATGTTTATGCTCCTAATTTTATCTTGAGCGTTAATTTTTTGGAAAAAAAAAGAGTTAAATAGTGGTTATTACTTGTTAGTAGGAGTAGTGTGAAGGAGGAAGTAGGTTAACGCTGAATGACAATACTACCCCTTGGTAAAATATCTTTGGAAGCCATGTATTCACCACTAGTAAATACTTCTTGACTTGTTAAAACCGAGTAGTATTTTTTTTACCCCGAGTTGTGTTGATCTCTTGGTTGGAATTTTCTTTACCACATAATACACGCATAGTAGTAGTTAACTAGAAGAAGTGCTGACTCAAAATATATACAGTACTACTGCTAATTGTTTACTATAGTATTTAATGCTAAGCAATCAAGAATTCAAATTGTGATCGTCTCAATTTATTTAGTCCAACATTATTCGAAAAATCGTCATTATTTAAGGTAGTATTGTGCTAACATTTATCCTCACAAAAACAAATACTTGACGTTTCAAATTTTTGTTTATCCGACTTTTGTTAACTAATAATAATTGACATTTTTACGACTCCGCAGCATCTATCTATATAATATAATAATATAAAATTCAGAGAGAGAAAAATGGAATAATTTTTCACTTGAGACGTAGGATTGTCAATTTTTCCATTTTTTGATTAATTAAAAAGGAAAAAAATATTATATTTTTGGTTAAAATTTTAATTTTGAAAATTAAAAAAAAAAGATGGATGTTGGTAACTATGAAATGTAATTCCTAAAATTTCTCTTATATATTTCAAAATTTACTTAATATTGAAATATTAAAATAAATATATTAAACTAATGAGAGAGATACAACAGAAAGAATTTCAAACTTTCATGCATGCGTCTTTTAGTACTCCACAAACTAAATGAGAACCAAACCCGAAAAGAAAAGAATAAGGGTGACCCTTGTGAGACGTTTGTAGTTTGTACAAGTCAATGGCTTAAGACATGGGGATAAATCCTGGTTAATCTTTACTATATTCATCATTCCTCTCTCTCTCTCTCTAGCTATCGCATTCTAGTTCAAAGAAAATAAAAAAGGAAAAGGAAAAAAAAAAAATCATCTACACGCCTTCTACTAATATAGTTGCCACTTGCCAAATAGTATTTCAAAAATATGGAAAATGTTTCGTTTGAGTGGGTATGATTTAATAACTCGTGAAGGTTAATACCGTTATTTATGGAAATGAATCATGAGAGTTTATCCGATCCGTTGCATCTGATATGCATCAATTTCAAAATCAAAATACCGATTATGTTTATGTAAATCCAGATAAAAATTTTACATTTGCACTAGACATATTCCCACGTGAATTTTCTTTCAATAACCTTCTAACTTTTTTTCATTTTTCGTATTGATAGTAACAAGTGTATGTATTGAAAAAAAAAAAAAAAATCTATTGAAATTTGAAAACTTGTGTACTACTCCAAGTGACTACATTGTCCGGTCAAATAATCCAACAGGGACCGTTACGCTTGTATGAAAACTCGTAACACTCATTGTTATATACTCTTTCCGGTCCTTATTATAAGATATTTTGATTTCGTCCTAAGTTTAACCTAAGATGTTTTGTTAATTAGAAAAAAGAATTTTAAAAATGTATCTCCACAGTCGTTGTGTTCTTCTAATGATTATAAAATATTTTTAAGGTTTTTTTTTCAATTAAAAAGACATCCAAGGTGAAATATAGGACGAAACCAAAATGCCTTAAAATGTCTTATAATAAGGATTGGAAGGAGTAATTTATAAGAAATAATTGAATTGTGTATTATAGTGAGTGTCACAAGAAAGTGTCACAAAACATCCTGTACCAGTTTATATACGTGAAATTTGCATTTGAAGATTATTTTAATAAAAATATGTAAGAAGGTTGGAACCCTACTACTGGTATTACCCTTTAAACACATTTGATGGCAACAATTATCGATTAGATTATCTCCCCAAGTGCTCAAAAGTCCTGAATCAAAAAGTCAACCAACATATGTATATTGTTTCCGGGGGTGTGTGGTGTGTGTGGAAGACAGTATTTGTATTAGAAATTGTAAGATCCTATTCTATGTTTCTAACAAAAATATTAAAATTAAATTGGAAATACAAAATGCAACTACAATGTTTTATACTAATCGAAACAACTTGTTGACAGTATGAACTAATTAAATTATTGACATAATAATAAAAATAAGTACAAAATTATCATCACGCCTGATTCAAGGGAGATACATACAGGGTATGTACAGTAGATTCTTTCCTGGGGTGGAGACTGGACTGGAGAGTATGTAAGGAGTTTCGAACCCGGGGCCTTTGCTTCCGACTCCAATTTTCATAAATGCGTGAGAGACAGCCGATGGGTCTTGGGGGATTTGGCTGCTTTTTGGAGATGAAATCTGGTTCTGTTCTTCTCTTTTTATGGCGTTTCTTGTAGTCAAGATTTAGAAGATTACGAAAATAGGAAGTTATTGGGATTTTCGCCAGGAAATTACTATTGTTCTGATCGACTTTGACATGGTTGTGGACGTTTTTTCAACTGATTGATGGGTAGCAGCTGTCCCACATCGCTGGCAGGAGGCTATGAGGACCGGTTTATATAGAGCGCGTTTGGGACAATTGTATGTCCCTTCGGGGACATCCGATAAAATTGGAACGATACAGAGAAGATTAGCATGGCCCCTGCGCAAGGATGACACGCACAAATCGAGAAATGGTCCAAATTTTTTTGGGCTTTTCTGCATCCTCTTGGGCCGAAATTTCTTTATCATTTCCATCACTTTGAGTCCATACGTCTTTTGGGCTTTCTTGAACTTCCTAGTCGGTTGCTTTACGTGTGATTAAATTTTTTTTTTTTTGTTTGGAGTAAACCTTCAATGTAAATTCGGTATTAAACAAGTTTGTATTATAGTTATTCACTCCAGTCCATGTTGATGATTTTCAATTTGTAATTAATTTTTAACATTTTTGATACATTTTGTTCTAACTTTTACACTTCTCACTACAACTCACTCATGACTATATCAATATCTGAATTCAAAAATTAAAATGTAGAGAAAAAAAAAATCTTGATTACATTGTTCAGTGAATATTAATCTAACATGGGATGGCCACAATTTCTTCCATATACGTAAAAGTGGGGTTTTAGTTTTAGTCCGTTAACATTAATTAATCACTTAAAGCTTAAATTATATTATTTTATATTATTGAATCAAAATAGGAAGAGCACAAATGTACAATGCAATAACACATATTTACAAGTACATAAAAATACTACTCCATCTGTTTCAAAATATTTGTTTAAATTGGATTTTCATTTTTAATACTCTCTCTGTCTCGAAATTATTGTCTAGTTTAGATTTTTACTTTTAGTTCAATTTGTAATAAAAATGAAAAATTGATACTGAACAATAATTTCAGGACAAAAATAGTATAATCTGTTCTAAAATTGAAATTCTAAACTAGATAATCATTTCGGAACACAAAAAATTAGTGAAAAGAATATGGGAAACACCTGATATGGACAGAAGTCATAAGATAACATGGTAATTGGTACCTAACGTAGAAAAATGAAGAAGCAAATCATGTGCAATCTAACATGAGAATAATAGTAGTATTTTGGCTCTTCATCATTTTGGATAACATGCAAGCACATGCTCTTAGATATGGCCAAAGCTACATTTTTGTAAATTTTATTCATTAAAAAAATTGGGTGACATTGCCCATTCAATGCTCACATATTGACGTGCTTTTGTGTGCACGTGCAATTGGGGAATACGTATTACATTTATGCATGTTATCTCAATTATCCTCCAATATTCTTTGTTACAACCATACCTACCTGAACGTTAAATTGGTGACAACAAATACTCTATGGATGGATATGTATACATGGAAGATATGTTAAATTTTTAGTATACATACATTTAATTAATTTCCGTTCCATCTTTTTAAATTATAGAAATAATTTTTCATATCTGAATATTTTGGTTCCGTTACCATGCGTTCTGTGCATAATAAATAAATTTACGCATCATATAGTTCTGTATAGACTATCAAAGTATTGAAAGTATTGAAAGTCAGAGATGCTAACTGCACCGGTTGTTTCTGTATATTGTACTCCCTCTGTACCATAATTATTGTCCACTTTGCCCAAAAAATTTTGTCCCAAAATTATTGTCCAATTTGACTTTTATGGATCAAGTTACACATTTGTCCTTAGTAAAAAACATTATCCATTAAAATCTTTGTGGTTAAACAATTACTTATGTAGGGCTATATCCGGTTGTTCAAGGTAAAATATAGTTAAGTTTGACTAAAAATAAAATCTTTCATTTTAGTAAAACTGAACAATAATTATGGGACGGAGGGAGTATTAATTTCTGGGAAATTGAGCTTTCAGCTTGCTATGTTTGGCAAAATTAAGCGTAGTTTATCCTATAAAGTACCTTATGGTCTTCTTGTTTTCGTTTTCTTATTTATAAAACGCAAAAGTAAATTATATTTGGTTTTAATTTCTAGTAATCATGTTATAGTTTTAAACTTGTTGACGCCAATTTCGTCATTGGTGTCGGCCCAACAAGTGATATGAATCGGCCCGCAAATAAGAAGTTTTGGAAATCGGAAGTCGTCCAAGTCGGAAATCGGAAGAACCCGAGAGTGTGAACATAATCAACCGCCGTTATGAGTAATTATGGGATGTTTTCCTATAATTAAGGTGTTTTATTTGATTGCTCATTTCATTCACAGTGGGATTTGGTTTAATACGGGAAAGTGACAAGAAATTTACTTCAAGTTGAAGTCTTTTCCTCTAAAGAATCAAGAAGCGGCCGACCTACCTTTCTCTCTAAGAAAGCTGCGACATAATCCTCTCTATAAAAGAAGGCAGCCGTGCAACATCACAATCATCTCACGATCACATCAACAACAATATAAGGCCTCCGACGCCTCTTTTATCTTTTTTTTTATTTTCTTTCTTTTCAGTTCTGTTCCTTTCATTATGTTATTTTCGATATAGTTTCTTTATCTTTTCAGCCTTTTTCATTCAACTCTTTTATTATGTCTTTTCCGATGAAAGCCCTAGCGCACTATAGGTGTTTGCCTGTTTTTCCTTCATAGAAATAGGTAATCGTTCATGTATTCTACTTCAGTGAATTCCATATTTCTGTAATAACGTGTCATTGATATGGATTTCCGTGTCGGCGCTAGTGTCTCTGGTCCGTGTCATAGCGTGTCATCGGCTAGGTCTAATCGGCGCTAATATCCGTGTCTTTGTAATAGCATGCCATCGACAAGACGAATTATTCCTTGACGGCACTAGAGTTTTTCTCCCACTTTTTATATATAAATCGAGCCACTTGGTTTGTTCCACTTTTCTATCTTTTACTCTTTCTTTTACAAATTAAAGTAAACCGTAAGTCTTCGATTTATAGTCCGAGGCTAATTTTCGAACTAATCCATAATCGTTTGATATTTTATGTTTGAGAGATTTTACTCTTCTTTTCTTTTCCACGAGTGAAGGTGATTTTTTTGTAATAAACAAAACTAGAAAGTGATACAAACGATAAAATTTTGAGAGTGATTTTGTATGATAGTCAATCATTGTTATCAAACCAAGCATACAACGAATGAATGATAATGAACCACTAAGTAGCAGCCAATGTCTGAATCAATCGATTATAGAATTTTCTATGAGCGCAGTACAATTGGCTACAACAGAAGTACTATAAAAATGTTAAAATTGTAAAAAAAATGTACCTCAATGTTTAGGTTTACTGCTTACGTTCTAAACGAAAGTTCTAAATAAAATTTACACTATTTTTAATATTGTCCACAAAAGTAAAATAAGATCCCCTTCTGTTTTGGTAGTGTTGTGCAAAAATAATAGGACAAAAAGGTTTATTATTCTCACTTACCGAAATGATTATTAAGTTTTTTTTACTTCCTCCGTCCCAAAATTATTGTCCAGTTTAAGTTTTCATTTTTAGTTCAAATTATATTAAAAGTGAAATCTCAAACTGGACAATAATTTTGGGACAGAGGGAGTACTAACAATCTTCTTGAGATGAAAAAAATATTAGTGCACCATATTTTCAAGCATAATTATTGATATATATACTATTATAACAGGTGCAGTAAACCAAATCGACACCTGAAATGCCAGTTTTTCCTTTCAAGTTCCATCCAATTGACTATCGTTGTCATCCGCGTATTCTATTTTTCCTTTTTCCCCATTTTTCTGGGGTGTAAACTGTGATACAACTGAAATTGTATTTTTCGCTACGTAGGGAATCTAATACTAAGTCAATCTAAAAATATCGAAAGAAATTGATCAAAACAAAAATATTGAAAGAAAAACTGTGATCGTAATGATTGAGACTTCAGGCTACCCATGAAAGAATATGCTAATAATGATCTGTTTTTCTTCTTTTTTTTTTCTTCCAAAATAAAAAAATAATAATAATAACGATAAGGATAAATGTAGTATACGACATGTGTACATGAGTTCGTGAGTCAAAAGGTCACTTTACCAGAGAATCTACTACAACAATCATATTATCGACTATTTTCCAGAAATGAGATTTCGTTTTGATATTTTGCCCCTCCATCAAAATTCAATGAACGCTCCGTATCTAAAAAAATAATTGTCTTGTTTGTTGTATCACTCACCAGTATCGAATTCAAATCATATAAACGGAAAACAACGTTGAGAATACTACTTTGTAAAACTTGTACCTATGTAGTATTTGGTATAGGTTAGTTTGGAGATTGGAAGTGTTAAAAATCCACTAATCAAACCTCATCATTGAAGTAAAAACTGGTCACAGGCCACCAGTAACATTGTTGATATGGACATATTCATTATTCATCCAATGAACTTTTTTGAGTTAATTTAAAGCTGTCACTGATATGATACCCCAAAAAAAAAAAAAAACAAAAAACAAAAAAACTAGGTGCTTTCTCCTACAATCAAGCAGCAAACAGAGCCTAGGACTTAGAGGCTTCCAACTTGTGTCCAGAATGGTTAATGACTATTCAATGACAAAAACATCTGAAATTATGAAAGAAATTGACCAAAAACTCCAGCACATGAAAGCCAGTTTTTTTTTCTCCCCAATGATAGTAACAACACAACCCAGATGGATGCATGTTAAAGAGGAAAAAAAAGCTGGTTAAGTGGTAAACTTTTTGCTGTTATGGTCAAAGTTAAAAGAATGCAAATTCACAGATTCACTTGGGTCAGGCATTATTATAGCTTATTACCAATCAAATATCCCTTTTGAATCCCGAGAGACAAACACTGGATTCGATAGATACTGGCACAAAGGCCTACTTTTTCTTTAAAATTTTTCCTCTGTTTTGAACCAATTTAAGCACCACTGTGGTCTCTTTTCACACGACAAGGCATGGTTACAAGGTACGACAAAATGACCCCTTCTTGTTTGACTTTCTTAAGCCATGCTCTCATTGGGTGTTACCCTTTTCCTCATCAAATTGAATTTAACCCAAACAAATTACTGATCCCTCAATCATAATTTATGGCTTTTAACAAGTATATTAACGTCAAACGTGACAGTTGTGTTTTACACATTCATTTTCAAAATTTATCGCTTCTAATAGTAGCAATGCCACTAGCTACGAGTTGCTCAAAGATTTTACAATTTGTCAAGTAGGCGGTAGCTGACAGAAGATAAAATTTCGAGGCAGCAATGTGTCTCTTGATTATCAATTTAATGCCTAATAAGAACAAAAGCTACAAGAAGAATGACAAAAAAAAAAGGATTAAAAGGGGGATTCATTAGAGGTTAATAAAATACGGTACAAATTTTTTGTTAATAGAGTTTTAATTCTGCATAACAGAAGAAAGCTCAATGGAGCCGTAGTGAAGCAATTCTTGAATCATCTGCTCAATATGATCATCTTCAAGCGAGTTATTGTACTGATTCTGAACTCCACTGTGACATTCCCCAGTCATTCTTCCATAATTACCACTCTGGTGATTCATGTGCCCGGAAAATTGCATTTCACCATTCCTTTGACCAAAACAGAGATTATGACTATGATAATTATTATGATGATGATGATGATGATGATGATCAATGGCTTTGTCTACACTTGAGGTACTACTACATTGCTGGTCTTCTTGATTTCCTTGATTAATCAAAGGCCGTTTCGACATTTTCAATGATGTCATGTGGCATCTTTGCAACTTTGCAATTAAAGCAGCTGAAAGAAACTTGGTTGAAGATGGTTCAAGCTCATTTGAAGCATAAACGAAATTCGTTCTAGCTCTTGGCCCGCACATTAGTCTTGCTGCTTCATCATAAGCTCTTGCTGCATCTTCTGCTGTCTCAAATGTCCCTAACCAAATTCTCGTCTTCCTATAAACATGATAAGAAAGCCCCAAATTTTAGTTAGCAACATGGACTAATAAAAAGTGCTCAGAAGACAGAGAGAACTACAATGCAGATAAGTTGAAACAGGGGAAATGATAGTAGCTTACAATAGAGGGTGGCGAATTTCGGATACCCAAGATCCCCAGTGTCGTTGCCGGACGCCGCGATATCGATGCTCGGGTCTTGCCATTGTGGAAGATTTTTGGTAATGCTAAATGGTTCTTGAAGAATTGTGTTGAAAAAGTTGGTAGAGAAATTGAAGTAATGTGGAAAACAGGGGAGATGATGCAAGGGAGGGAGTTTTGGAACTTGGAAGGTTTTTTGGGGGTATTTGTAAGCGTTTATTTCGGCCTTCAGCTGGACATCAATATGGGATTGGACCCACAGGACTTTCTAAAACTTTCGTTTCTTTGCTTTCCAATAGTTAATTAAAAACTTCAAAATGTTGCGAGAGCAAGTGTGACATCAATAAATTTTTCTTATGAAAGATGTTCATAAATATTTATGATGTATACCTCGAATTCATACACTGTATAACATATTTAGTAATTTATGTTAAAATTACGACATAATTGATCTTACTGTATATAGGTATGAACTATAGGTAAAAGAGTTTTGTCTGTTTTTATGTGTATCACACTAGTCAAATAAATTCTTTAATCTAGATATTGATATAAAATTGTATTTCTTATTTTAATTTTCGACCTACTTGTTTTTGTATTTTTATCAAAGGAAGATGTATCTAGTAGCTACATATAATGCTTCGTAAGGAGATCACATAATAGTTTTTTTTTGGGACAATCATTTATTCATTGATTAGGATACCATCAAATATTCTAGTAATACATTTGCATGACAGTGCATAATTCTCCTTTCACAAGCTAATTGATTGTTGAATTTTTCCCAAGGGGAAAATTATTAGATTTTTGATGATTGGTTGTTCCCGGTCAAGCAACGTGTTGACCGTCTTCATGAACATGATCAACTTATATGTCATGTAAGGTCGTATATATAAAATATAAACTATAAAATCAAGTATAGGCTCAATTATTCCCTCATTAGAGAGAGTTTGATGGTGATAAGCGATCTTTGTCAATTAACATTGATTTAGGTACAAAAAAGGACCAATTTTTGTGTCGATCATGATAATCATCTACTCAAAGGGATAGGTGAAATGTACCTTTCTTCAAATTTAAGCTATCCCACTTTCCCACTAATAAAAAAAACACCAAATGGTTCAATGGCTTTCAATATTCTTCCCATTTCCTCTTTGGTGTTTGAGAGAATTTAGAGATGGTTTGTATTTATGGAGGGGACATGATGGACATGGCTCACATCACATTTACTAAACATAGGAAACCTGCCCATATGCCTGAATGTAATAAGGCCAAGACATAAGGTTCGTCTCAATTGTGTGTATTGAATCTGTTCTGAGTATGTCAATTTTTTGTATACATTTTTGGGAGGGGGCTATTCTATTGAGAGAGAGTAAAGGTAAGGTTTTGTGTTTGATGAGTATAAATTAGCTGCTATTTTTGACTGTTTGTTTCTTTGTACCAAATTGGTTACCCAATTGGAGAATGAAACCAAAGATGTTACGTCAATTTTTTCTTTGGGATCAAAATTAGATTCATGACAAGATGGATTTTTTTTTTTTTTTTTGATGATTCCCACATGCAAATCTACCATTTCTAAATCCAATGAATCAGTATGATTAACACAAAATTAATGTTCATTTAACATTGGGCGTGACATGTTACATCACTTTTATGACCACAGGCTTCGAAAGATTACTGTCATTTCAATGACATTCCATATCTATGATGGTATAAACTGATAACCACAAGATTAGAGTGATCTTAACGCGAATAGAAAATTGCGATATACTATCTTGTAGTGATTAATTGAATAATTACCAATACTTCATTTTTTTTTTCTGATATGAAATGTAGCCCTTGAGCCATGCATCAAGAAAAGAGAGATCAGATAAGACATTTCCCAGTTGTGTCAGTACTCAGTAGAGAAATCTCTGATCAGTTTGAGCCAAAAAAAAGAAAAAACCAGTTGGGTTTTACTTTTCGTGAGAAAGCAATCCCTGTTTGATGTTAGATATAGTTAATAGGTATTGATAAAAAAAGTAGTATTGAAATCGGAACAATATGGTTATCTTTTCCATGACCAGTATCAAGTTCATGTGTGAAAATTGGTGGGTAAAATTTGAAATATGCTTGTTGGGTTCAGTTCTACGTGCATGTTACACAACTGACATGCGACGACCAAAGTTGTACTAGTATTATTAAATTAGCACTAGAAAACTACGTACACGGTAAAACCTAATTACTATAATCATTGGCAAAAATCGAACTTTTTAAATACAACGACAATAACATTCCCAACTCGGTTGGGTTGGGTAATGGGGAGTCAAGATTTAAGCAATCTTACTCCTATATATCAATACAAATAAATAGATAGTTTAAATAGCACGATCCAAAATGTATTGGTATATTTACGTATTGATCTCCTACAATTTTACCAAAATTAAGAAACAACGAACTTTAAATGAATCAATTTGATCTAATCTATTATTAACATAAAACTGAAAGAATTGTTAATGATGATTCTTCCAGCCCCATTTGCAATAGATAAGAATTTTTTAAATACAACGTGAAAATTTCGTGACTGATCAAATAACACATTCTCATTTAGTTCAAGAAAAACAAGCTTCGAATAATTTTTTTAAAAAAAAAAATCTTAAGATTTTCAAAGAATAGAATTCAAACTTCTCAGTGACTAGAGTCTTGATGTTAATAACGTTCAAAACTTGAACAGACAATCCAAACCTAGTTTTGTAAAAATGAATCAGAAACCAACTAGTGGCGCTTAGAACTTGTTGTCACCTGAGAGCGGTCAAAATGTGATGATACGAGTTAGTACTCCCTTCGTCTCAACAAAAATAATCCATATTAAGTTTTGAAATTTGAATTAAAAATTCAATATACAAATCTGAAAATTGAATGTGGACTATTTTTTTGGGGTAGAAGTAATATTATATTATATTATAACCTCAATAATTTGGTTTATTGGTTCAAAGAAAAGGAGTCGAAAACCTAATGATTTTCCAGAGATATGTATATAAGAAAAGCACAATGATATCGCTCATGCACAAATTTTGATGATGACTTTGAAGGCAGAACAACACTAATTTCTACTTCTTTGTCTATTTGCCTACTGAGAAAAAATTTTAGTTGTCAATCACTTCGAAATCTACAGATCTTCTACACATTTGCCAGTTTCCTTTTATGCATGATAGTCTTATGTAGTCTATGGCTGACAGAAATGGTCGATTAAACAAGTTCAGCATGCGATCTTTTCAAATATTCTACATATTAATTCAATCACCTATCACACTCAATCTTTCTTTTCTTTTATTTTTGCATAGGGATTAGTTCAACTCACTATTTTTATTTTTCTTTATTTTTTAGATTGTGATCTTTCTTCAATCTGCTTTTTCCTGTAATATTTACTTTCCCGCTGTAGTTTGTTTAATTAAAATATGCTGAGACATGTTCCTCCTAACTTTTTATTTTGTTTCATGTAGATCCAATAAAGACAGTCAATTGCTCAACAACAATAAACTTACAACTATAGTTTTGTCAGTTTCTTTAAGTGATGACATATATCATATTTATGCTAAATTCTTTACTTTAGTCTCTTTTTCTACTCCAATAAGGTTCAAATCACACTCAAGACCTCTACCTAAGAAACTATATATCTCTGATTTCCCGCCACACGAGCTAACCATTTTTCTAAATTTTCAAGTCCCCATTATTATAAATCCTTTACTCTTTCAGTTCTACAATAAAGTCATATATTGTTGTATAAATAACATTGAAAAACTTTTAAATGAGATTTTTCATTTTTCTTATAAATACACAAAAGTTTCATCGACAGATGTCACTTTTCCTTGCAACTCCTAGGTTTATTTCCCCTATTTTTATTTTATTTTTTTTTATTATTAAACAGTAAGTGTTGGTATCTTACACAATTGTATAAAAAAAAATTTCCCAAAAGACACCAGAATCTTATATGGCTTGAATATTTTCTTACCCAATCAAATGAGACAATTTATGAACTCATGAAAATCTTCTGAAATGTTTGGAAGATCTTGGTTCGTGAGACCTAATTTGCATAAAACTACAAAAAGAATTAAAGATTTGATAAGGAGGGAAAAAAAATAATAATGAAGTACTATAAAAAGTAAAGAGATTGCGCGTGCTTTGAGAATCAGAAAGATAAGATCAAAAAAATGGAGGGTGTTGTTCCTTTCTTGACATTTACTCAATACCCTTAGCTCCACCACTTTTAGACGAGTGGGATTTGGGTTTATTCCCAGCATGTTTATATTACTCCTTCCGTCACATAATTATTGTCCAGTTTAAATTTTTATTTATAGTTCAAATTATACTAAAAGTGAAATTTCAAACTGAACAATAATTTTAGGACAGAGGGAATATTATATTATATCACTTCGTTAATCTCCAACTTCACTATATCCGTAACTTTTTTTCAATGATTGTCAAAAAAGACAATTCAGACAATATTATGAACGCAATTATAAATTTGTTGCATCACCTTAGCTGGCCCACTATGAATTACGAGGTAACCACTCAGGTTTAAAAAAAGGAAAAGAAGAAATTCATTTATCCGTCACTCCCAAAAATTAGTACCAATGATGATATAGTATTTGTTCAATTTGAACAGTGCAACAAAAGCTCACACTTTTTTGGACCAGAAATGTATTAACAATGTTTAAAATTATTTTCAAAAAAAAATCGTTGATTAAATTTGCATGAAAAGTATTTTTTTTTTTAATTTTATTATGTTTGACACACATTATTGTGAAGAAGAAGTAGATTATTGGAGTAGGACTTTGGGTCCATCAGCTGCATAGAACGAGGTAGCAAAAGCCCAAGAAATTGGTAAAGAAGTATCGGCCCAAAAGGGTGCAGAAAAACCCAAAAAAATTTGGACATTTTCTCGATTTTTGCGTGTCATCCTTGCGCAGGGGCCATGCTAATCTTCTCTGTATCGTTCCAATTTTATCGGATGTCCCCGAAGGGACTGAAATCCGTCTCAAAGGCGAGCTAAATAAACCGGTTCTCGTAGCCTCCTGGCAGCGATGTGGGACAGCTGACCAGTCCTACTTCTGCCAACTAGTATCAATCAAGTTGTGAAAAGACGTCCGGCAATAGTAATTTCCTGACGAAAATTCCAATAATCTGCTAAATCTTGACTACATGAAACGCCATAAAAGGATAAGAACAGAACCATATTTCATCTGCCAAAAAAGTTGTCTCTCACGCATTACGAGAAAGTCCTTGAGTTCGAAACTTCGTACCAACTCCGCATTATCCCTGAAAGAACAATAGTAATAATGCTCGATATTTTATGAGTCAGGGGCGAAGCTAAGCCCCATACGTATGATGGGCCAAAATTTTTCAAATTTTTAATATAATATACTTGTCCCTCATATTTTAATTTAGCTGGAGCAAAAATTAATTTTTTAAAAGAAAATTCTAAAATTTCAAGGAGTTAATAACAAAAAAAAAAAAATTCCAGCTGAGGCAATTGCCTCACTTCTCTTGTATGTAGCTCCGCCCATATTATGAGTAGTGATAGGTACAAGGAAAAAATACAAAGAAAAAATAACAAGAAATGATGTGTCAAAATCTTAACTATACCCTAACCTTAAATGCATAAACCCTATTAGAAAAATTTTAACAATAGATGAGTGAGACCAATCATTACTCATATTATATTTCCTTGTCATTACTACCCTGTTAGGAAATTAATTTTTAAAGTTTTAACATTTTCTTGTCATTTTCTCGTCATTTTTTCCTTGTACCAATCATTACTCATATTATATTTCCTTGAAGTTTCTCTCATCTAAATTATTAGTATACATTAAAGATTTAACTTGTATTTTGGGTTCACTTTATAAACAATTGATCTGACTCTTGATTTTATTCATTGATGTCAGCAATTTCGTTTGGATTAGATTTCCCCTAACATCAATATCCAAATTTCTTTGAAACTCTACATTTCATTCATTTTGAGATTGACATTTTAATATGGTAGTAAGATTCAAAATTCGAAACTTTAGATATCCGTGAAAACACATTCATGAATTAAACGGTTATAAAAATGAAGTTGAATCAAACCGTAAAACAACATCACAGTTCTTTGAAACTTTTCTGATTAGTTATAATCAGCACTGTATTGAATTTGGGCTTCAAAAAGTTATGCCCTTTATGAATCATCACATTCTACTATTCGGTTCAAAACATTTGGGCATATTAGTCGGTTTAATTAAAGACTGGGGAGTGAGGATTATATTTTGTACAGTGTTTTACATCAATAATATGCCCCATTGTTCACGATTTGTTTTCATTCTTAACGGAAAATTTTTAATTGCAATTTGTCTGTGCAAGTTTTTAATTTTTAAGTGGGTGTTTGGTTGATGAGTATTGGAATGAAAGAATAGAATGACTCTTATTATTAGTGTTTGGATGACGGGTTTCAAATTGACGGGAATGGACTGATTCCTTATTATTTATGAATTCTCTAAACCCATCAGGAGGGTAGGTTTTGATCTGATTCTCAATTATGTAACTATTTTTTCTCTTCAACTCATTATTTTATCATAACAATTTTATGCTGCATAAAAATCTTTTATTACATTATATTATAAAAATAATTTTTTAAATTTATATAATTCAAGTTTTTTTTAAAAACATTTTCTCATTATAAAATTCAAGTTTTATGGAAGAAGAAAGAAGCGCAATGGTAATATATATATCCTCCATTTATGGTTTTTAATGAGTATGAATCTGGGCATCTTATATATTCTTAAAAAAAAATAATTCAAATTTTATTTGAAATTTTTTAATCGTATGTAAATTACTACCATTATTGAATGGTGTTAATTTATTAATTTATGATTCACATTGAGATTGAATCGCGGAATTTATTTTTTTTTTAATGTAGAATTTGTTTATTGTATTAGATTTTATATCAAAATAATAGATATTCGGACTCAATCAAACTAATTATTTTTTTAATATTATAACAAGATTATTCAAAATGATTAATTAATATAAATAATTATTATTTTTTAAAATTTTATTATTACATTGTTATACCATTAATTAATTATATAAAATAATATAAAAAATTAAATGATACCTAAACCTTTATAAACCAAACAACTATTTTGGAATGAGTATAATCATAGTATACCCTTCCTGTTATCATACATAAGCCCATAGTAAAACCCATCAATATACCAAACAGACTCGTAAGTTTTTGTGTGTTTTCTCCAAACATTTTGGCCTCTATTTATAGGCTCATGATCAATTTGAGATTATATTTAGGGCTAGCAATCTTTGACATGACTCGGAATTTCGACACGAACCCGACACGCATATTAAACAGGTCACGTTAGGGTTAGAAATTTGGACCCGTTTAATATACGGGTTCAAAGACAACCCGCTGTTTCTTCAATTCAGCTCCTCAAGGTCACCGAATCAGGTATGTCTCACCCTCCTCCTCCTTCTTCTTTTTCGCGCTCTTCTTGTGCTCCTCTTTCTTCTATCATTCTCTCCAACGTCACCTTATCTGTTGGAGTTTTATTTGTAAATTTCAAGAAAAGAAAGAAAGCTTAATTGTAGGTCGGATTTGTAGTTGGTATAGTGAACCCGGTTTGAAACTTTTAACTTTTAAGTGATAGAATTACGATTTAGTTTAGCCCTGCATGCTAATCTTTAGTTAATTTAGTTAATCTTTAGTTGATTGCTCAGGTTTACGATTTGTTAATGAACCTGTTATCTATTAAATCTCATCACCTGCAGCTTGTACTTCTATCCTGCTATTCATTCAAATTTGATCATAGTTGCAGAGACTAATTCTCTTATGGATAAAAAGTATTTAGTGAAATTTGACTGCTTTGTTAATTATCTTGTCATTCATTCAAATTCAACCCATAGTATGCACCTTGTCCAGAGTTATTGAGTTAGTTAATTTGATTCTAATGTTATGTTCTTTTTTCTTTTTTTTTACTTCTAAGTGCTAACCTTGTGTTTCTCTGTTTGTTCTGAAGTTGGGTCGATTACTGAAATTTTTTGTCTGTTTGTCTCTGTTTTTGTAGAAAATCAGGAATGGAACCAATTGACGAAGAAGCTGAATATGAATGTTGGGTCGATTACTCAAGCTCCCCTCTCTCACTTATTGTCTTAGATTTGTGTTGTAGTATTATGTTGAATTGCCGGTTATTTAGTTATTCCGATCAAGGTTGTTGTTATTTGGTTATATGAAGTTTTAAGTGGTAATTTGCCATCTGACAATTTGAAGTTTAAGATTTGTAATATGTGATTTGGTTAAATTTTCAGACTTTAGACTATTATTCAAACTTTCTATTTTTCTGAATTTTTTTTCATGAATTTCGGATTAGCAGGTCGAATCACGGGTGACCTGATTATTTTCAGGTCAGGTTAAGGTTGTAAAACTCGACCTTATACAAGTCGGGTTCGGATTGGCTATAAATTATACAGGTTCGGGTGCAACCCGACACGCCAACCCGGACTTGACACGAATTGCCAGTCCTAATTACATTAACTCCATACTTACAGAGGTTACAGAGTTATGGAGATTATGCTATCTGAAAGATCTATAGTATTATACTAAGAGAGAAACCAGAGAAAAAAACAAAAAAGAATTCTAAAGGTGCCACATAGTTTAAAATCCTACGTGTCATTTTTCTAATGGTTGAGTCAAAAAATATTTACAACAATTATACTAATAGTCCTTCAAATTTTATGTAAATAAAGTTTTATCAAATGGCATTTAAAACTATAGTTAAAATAGGAAAATAAAAATTAATTAAATTTAATAGACGGGATTAATGAATATTAATGCAGCAGAATTATTCCCTCCCAAAAGAATCCCCAAAGGTACTACTGGACTCATTTAATTAATCCCTTTCAAAAAAAAAAATCTCCCTCCTAATCATGTAAATCAATAGACTACAGTTCAAAAAAAAAAAAAATACGAATCATTCAACATTAATGTTATCTTTAAAATCTTCTCCCAAAAACATGATCCTGTATTTTTCGCCAATAAAAAAGAAAAAAATGGTATAAAACATGCCTTCAATTATTACTAAAAGGATGAGATTTAACTATAACTAAATGTTATATTTTGAATTTCAAACCAATGCGTTTATTTGTGTAATATCATATCTATCCAAATAAATATAATCTTTCCTTAATAATATCTCAAAAATTGTTATAAACTTTATCCCCCCCCAAAACAACCCGAAATCCAAAGATGAAAGGGCAAAAATTTTAGCCCTACAGTTGGTTTGTTGTTCTGAAAGCGATGAACTAATAGTGGGTGGATCGTGTGGTATGGGAGGTAATGGTTAATTAAGGTTATATATGATTTCTTTTTTCCGTATATTCTTCTGCAAAATGATGTTTTAGGGTTCTTTTTTACACGTTACTAAATTTATATTTTTTTTACCCATAATTTCATAATTTCATTAATTATTATTTTCTATTATCATAGCAAAAAGGGAAGGGCAAAAATTTTAACTCTACAGTTGGTTTGTTCCTCTAAAATATTAAGTATTGGGCCAAACAATACCATAAAATCTTTAATTACAACAAAATAACCATAAAAATTTTAAACTTTATACTTCAATCACACATAATCTACTATCTACTATTGATAATTATTTCATTATGTATTTTACGCGTACGATCATTTTATCTTTTCATTTAATATGTAACATTAATACAACCTTATTTATTTTACTCTGCTTATAAGTGTTATTGTTTAGTTCTTCTCCTTCAATAAAAATCAAGTGAACACTTGCATTTCAAATGATATGCATTATTTTATCTTTACAATTACGCCTTTATTTAATTTTAGTTATGTAATATATCTTAATATGGACTCCAAATACATTTTATACTTTTTATATTTTTTTTGTTGATTTTTTATGATGTATATAAATAAATCTCGAGCATCGCGCGAGTTTAATGTCTAGTAAAACAATAAGACAACTTAATACAACATCCACCATTAATATAATTCATAACAATTTAAATATTGTGTCTCTTTTTTTTTTTTTTTTTTTCCCGAAAACAATATGTTGGAGGGAAACAGCAAAACACCCTAATTTGCTATAATTGCTAAAGTAGCTTACGACACCGTTTTAATGTCTTCGCCTCTTCAAAGTTCAAAACCTCACTCTAAAACCCTTCCTTTTTCCCTCGCCTCTTGCCGTCACCGGCGGTCAGTTCCCGGCACGAAGATACGACAGACGCGAAGCCCTGTAGGAATTCCAAATATTCTTGTTCATCCCCGTAAGTTGTAATATTTGTTCGTTTTGCTGCTCACTGGAATTCTCAGTTCATTGTATCAATCTTAACTTCATTAATCGCGTTGAGATTTTTACTTCGTAGATTTCTCTTTGTGATACCGAACTTTGAGCCTCTTTTGTTGATTAATCTCTTGCTTCACTTAGCTTGAGCTGGCATTTGTTCACTTGGCTGTTGGGAATTCTATTTGATTCGGTTTTGCATTTCTCTTTTCGCATATTTAGGAGTGCAATCTGTCAATGTAAGTGCCAAGCTATTGAAAATTTCTGGTCAAATCTGTGAAGGAGTAATTTATTCAAGTTTGAAGGGATATGAACTCTGGCGTTGTTAGTTTTTGCCAATTGACTTACTGGGAAGTTTGGGCCTAGGAAGAATCTAAAAGTGTTGCTTTGAGGGCTGGGCATTCCGGATTCCTTGATCCATTTTTAGCCAATTACTGTTGATGGGTATCGTTGGATTAGTAAGTTTTTCGGGGGCGTTCCTACTGGTGCAAATAACTTTTATCTTTCTCTCCTGAAAGAGGGCGCTTGTACTGAACTAGTTTTTTTATGATAAGCTTGGGTAGATACCGTCAGACAAGGTGAATATTAGGGCATGCTGTTGTTCAGTGCAACTATTGGGATTGGGTTGAACCAATTGAGTTACAGCCTGATGTTATTCATGATTGTATCTAGCTATCTCTTCTTACTGGTAGATTGTATGTTATGTAAATGATATAAGGGTTAAATAATAGGGTAACAACCTTTAAAGCTGAGACACGATAATATTTTATCAGAAACAGTTGTTTTTGAGTAGTATAAAATGACAAAAAAATGAAATTGTTACATTCGTTGAACTGGGATGCCTTTGTCCAGTGAAAGTTTTCTTGTTGATCTGCTAAAGTGAATTAGCTGATTATTAGTATAATCCTCATAGTCTGAATTTCATTCCCTTTGAGTAATCCCTTTCATTTTTGTACCTGGTGCTTTGTTTTGTTGTTGCAGTACAAAGAAGTTTCGAATTGTTATCCTACATTTTCTGCAATATTCATTCCAGATCTCTTATTTTAGGGGTTTATGAGAACTGAAGATACATAAGGTTGTTCATGTGATGGAGGTTCATTTGGGAGATTTACCTTCCCCACTTTCTCTTTCTCAAAGTAAAAGAAGAAAATTATCTCTGGATGGGAAAAATGCTCCTTTGCCATGCCAAAATTGGAGCAAGGTTGAAGCATTACTGCCAACCTTGCTATCGCCTGAATATTTTACGGATCCTTGTTTGAGTGAATTGGCTATTCAGGAGTTCTTGAATCCAGGTTATTGCAGCAGAGTTCTGAACTTTACTGTGGGAAGATATGGTTATGGTTATGTTATATTTACTGGGAGGACTGACGTGAGATGGTTAGATTTGGATCAAATTGTCAAATTCAGGAGACATGAGCTGGTCATCTATGAAGATGAAAGTACAAAGCCTGCTGTTGGCGAGGGTCTCAATAAAGCTGCTGAAGTAACTTTACTAGTACAAACTCGAAAACCCATCATATCAAGCAGGATTGCAGAGAAACTGAGGCTCAGCACAGAAAGACAGGGAGCCAAATTTTTATCCTTTAACCCATCAAACGGTGAATGGAAGTTCCTTGTTCAACATTTTAGCAGGTTTGGTTTTAATGAAGATGATGAAGAAGATATAGCCATGGATGATGCGTCTCCAGAAGTTCAAAATCCGTTGGAACATAATGCTGGAGATATTTCAGACATAGAAGAGGAAGAAGCTTCTGTTTTTGAGCCAACTTCACTTTCACACTCTCTTCCTGCTCATCTTGGGCTTGATCCTATTAAAATGAAAGAAATGAAAATGTTGATGTTCCCTGGAGAGGATGAGGATGAAGAGTTCGATGGTACGCCATCGGTTGAGTTGCAACCTTTCTCTAAAGAATCTATAAGAGCTCCCTTACAACACTCTTCTGAGAAGACTGTGCGTAAAGAGAGCCCCCCTTTTGTTCGCAAGACTCCGCTACCTTTGATTGAGTATAATCCTGGTAGCTTTTGCTCTAGCTCTCCGGGGTCCATCTTAATGGCCAAACAAAATAAAGGTGCGGTCTTGAGGACAACAAAAGCTGAGGGGTTCAAGCTTGATCTCAAGAAGCATACACCAGTAACTGACAGCCAGTCTAAAAACATTGTTGATGCTGCACTGTTCATGGGCCGATCTTTTCGTGTAGGATGGGGTCCTAATGGTGTCCTTGTTCATTCTGGTATGCCTGTTGGTAGTGGTGGGACACAGAGTGTATTATCTTCTGTAGTGCACTTGGAGAGGGTTGCAATAGACAGAGTCGCACGAGATGAAAATAACAACGTTCAAAATGAGCTTGTGGACTTCTGTTTTGATACTCCCCTTGATCTCCATAAGGAAATGGATCATGACATAGAGGATATTCAAGTTGGATCCTTCAAACTGAAACTTCAAAAACCTGTCTGCGACCGATCATCACTCTCAGAAATTTGTCGGGGCTACATAGGGATTATTGAGAGGCAGCTGGAAGTGTCAGGGGTCTCTTCTGCCGCTCGAGTTTTACTAATGCACCAAGCAATGATCTGGGAATTGATAAGAGTGCTTTTTTCTTCAGGACAAATGGGCAGACCATTAAAATCTGCAGAAGTTGACCAAGAGGAAGACATGATGACTGATGTAAGGGCAGATTCACCTGATGCTGACCCTGAGTCACTTCCACTGAGACGCAGAGCTGAGTTCAGTTGTTGGTTGCAAGAGAGTGTTTGCCACCGGGTGCAGGAGGACATCAGTTCCTTGAGTGATTCATGTGATCTGGAACACATTTTCTTACTTTTGACGGGCCGTCAGTTGGATGCTGCAGTAGAGTTGGCTGCATCTAGAGGAGATGTGAGACTCGCTTGTCTTTTGAGCCAGGCTGGTGGGTCCATGGTTAATCGATCAGATATTTTTCGGCAGCTGGACACATGGAGGATCAATGGGATGGACTTTAGTTTTATTGAAGAAGACAGGGTAAGGCTTCTTGAATTGCTTGCTGGGAATATTCAAGGTGCCTTACAGGGTGTTAAAATTGACTGGAAGAGGTTCCTTGGATTATTGATGTGGTATGAGCTTCCTCCTGATACTTCGTTGCCTGTAATTTTCCGCAAATATCAACAGCTCCTTGAGAATGGAAGGGCTTCAAATCCAGTTCCTGTTTATGTTGACGAGGGGCTAGTGGAAAAGTCGGCTAACCCGAGTGTGAGGGAACGATATGATCTTGGTTATTACCTTATGCTTCTTCATTCTTCTCCAGGAAACAAGTTCGGTCACCTGAAAACCATGTTCAGTACCTTTGCTTCGACAAATGACACACTTGACTACCACATGATTTGGCATTACCGATCTGTTTTAGAAGCAATTGGCGCATTTAATTCAGATGATCTTCACATTCTTGATATGGGACTGATTTCTCAGTTGCTCTGTCTAGGGAAATGTCATTGGGCAATCTATGTGGTCCTTCACATTCCCCATCGTAAAGATTATCCTTGCTTGCATGCGATGCTTATCAGAGAAATCCTCTTTCAATACTGTGAAGACTGGAGTGCGGATGACTCTCAGCGACAATTTATTGAGGATTTAGGAGTTCCTTCTGCCTGGATGCATGAGGCTTTGGTGAGTATACATTTTCCATTTGTGGTTTTGTTATTTTATTCCCCAGTTTATTATGAGACTCGGAACTTTTGGTTGTCCTTATTTTTCAATCGTTTTTGGATATTGGACTTCCTATCTTATGAATTTTGTTTAGGATGATAAGAAGTAACCAGAAAGTTGTGGTTGTGATTTGAATGGTTTCCATTTTTTAAATTCATAATTTGAAGTCTTTGGGAGAAAAAAGTCAAAGTTTATGTTTGTTTTTGGATGTTTCATCTTTCTGAATATCTGTTCTTTTGCGTCACAAATGCAGGCTACCTATCTTAATTACTATGGAGACTCTGTAAAAGCTCTAGATCATTTCCTTGAGTGCGGAAATTGGCAAAAAGCCCACTCCATTTTCATGACTTCAGTTGCTCATTCCCTGTTTTTGTCAGGTACACAATTCATTCAGGTGACCCTTAAAATTTCTTCCCCCCACCCCCAATTTTTTATCCCATGCTTAAAGGTCGTTTGCTTGTCATCAAACATCTTGATCATTAGTTATATGATTTTTCCATTATTAAATATGTCAAAACATCTTGATTTTGCAGATAAGCACACTGAAATCTGGCAGCTGGCGTATTCCATGGAAGACCACAAGTCAGAAATTGAAGATTGGGATTTAGGAGCTGGACTGTACATTTTATTCTATTCATTAAGAAGTTCATTACAGGATGAAAACATTACCAGGAACGAACTGGTATGCCAATCGTGTTTGGAAGCTACTTACGTTAATTTGGGTTTTTTCTGTCTTGAAATGATTTTTTTTGTGTTAAAAATAAATTGGTGCACTTCTAGAATCTTCTTGAAATAATTATATTAAATGCATGAGTGGTTGTCTGGTAGAAAGTTATAGAAGTGGGGTTTTGTTTCATGCTTTGAACCAGGACTAATGAGCATGGTCATGGTTGCAGGACACTCTTGAGAAAAAGAATGATGCTTGTACTGATTTCATTAGTAGATTGAACAAGTCGCTGGCAGTTTGGGGAAGTAGAGTTCCCATTGACGCAAGGTATTGACAGTAACTTCATTTTTGGATTTCATGTTTATTCTTGCTCAGTTCTGTCATACATTAACTGAGCATCTGCACTTCTCTTCTTTTATTCTTTCTCCGAAGGGTCGTGTATTCAAAGATGGCTGAGAAGATCTGCAATCTTCTTGTGTCTGAAAGCGACGAGAATTCACCCATTGAAGTTCAACTGAGCTGCTATGCCAACATATTTAGAGCACCCCTTCCAGAAGACCTACGGTCGTGCCATTTACAAGATGCTGTCTCACTTTTCACGAGTTATATTTCAGAGGCTGCGTCCTAGATGTTTTGTTCTCCTTGCTATCCTTTTTCCTTGATCCAACCATGCGTCAACTTTATACTAGTATTATTGAGTTTCATGAAGTGCAACTTCCGGCCATCGTTCTTGTGTAGGGACTTTTTGTCTTTTTGGAGGGAGCTTTGAACATATGTATTCGTGTATGACTTACAAGGAGCAGCGTGGAGAGCACAAAGCCAAATGTGTATGACAATATGATGTTTGACTAATTATATTTCTTAAAATTCGAAAGGTAACAGAGTAATTTCTGCTGTTTTTCTTATTGTCACAGCAGTGAAGGCCGGGACTGAGACTTTTGTTAGCGTCATAAATTTTTGTAAGGCCAGTAATGAATGTTACAGATCATAGAATCTAGTCATTGATGGACCACATTGATCCGTAGTAGAACCTAACGGGCAAAGAGCTCTCTATGTTTCTTCTGGTTCCCTGAGCTTTGCTCATGTCTTTAATTATTACCCATATTCCCAAAGTTGATAGTGAAGTGAAGTCCTCCCTGTTAAGGTGGTGAAATCTTATTCGTTAGTCTTGCAGTACCGTATTCCGCATTTCCCCACAAGATATTTTATGATTTTTACCTCACCGTGATGTTACTTCCTCCAACCTTTGAATACGCGCTATAAATAATACTCCCTCCAAAACTCAATATAAATTATGTTTTTATTAAGACAAAGCTAGTATATAGTAATAGTTCTTATAGGTAATATAAAATAAATTTTTATTTTATTTCCTTTACAAAGGAGAAAGTACTAAACACTTAAATTAATATAAGATCACACGTCAAGAATGACAAACAAATGACGGATGCCAATTTTATTATATTTTAGCTATGATTTAACTATTATCGGTGTATTATGTAATTTCTCAAAGTTTTCCGAATTATTTACGGTTAATGTCGGTAAAACAACAAAATTAACTCTTCGATAGTATAATTTATCTCAATAATTCAATGTCTCTTTAGCGCTCGGATCAGTCCACCATGCAGAGTCCTTGGATCAATTCACTAGTTGTCGGAATGCACCGTGATGACTGATGGCAAACTTAATCAGTAATAATTTATTGAATAGGTGTCAAATATTTGACATAATATTATAGTAAGTGTAAGTGTGCAAATATTGCCACGAAATGTTTTTAGGGAAAAAAAAATAGTAACCAAAATGTTCATAAAGTGCTGCCTACTATAATTACCATAATAATTTTTTCTTACTAGTGGTAAAATTTTTTCCACATTAGTCCGCTTTGAATGAATTATTACAAGCATAACATTGAATTTAATAGAGACGTCATAAAGTCAAAATTTCAGGTAGGGAGATGTACACGCGCGCGTAAGGCAGTTGCTACCGTACGCCGCCCCTGTTCATCTGATACTATCATCATTCATGATACACAAATAATAAGCGGATTACGCTTTCCCCTGATTTTCTCTCTCTTCTGAACTTTCCCAGTCTGCTCTCCTTGCGCTTTCCACCCCCCCTTTCTCGAGCGACGACAACGGTGCCGGCGAAATTCTCAAATCTTCGTCCGCTCGGAAAGGTGTAAATCACCGGAATTTGCTGTATCTTCTTTTTTTTTTGTCCAAGCTATCATTTCTTCCCAGATATGCCTCGCACGTCATCCAAAAAGCTCCCAGCTGCTACCTCAACCAATTCGTCCTCGCCGGTGGATCTCTTTCGCTCAGGTAAGCTGATCATTTCTGATTTCTTGTTCCTTTGATTTGCTGCGATCAGGAGATCATTTTTTCGCAGGATTCATGTTTTTTTTTCTGTGGTATTTTTCGCGGGATTTGCAAATTCATCTTATCGTGTTGCTCTTTTTAATGCTTAATTTTCCTTATTTGAGCTGAATGATGGATGTTTTAGGCATGAATTTCCTTACCGTGTATGCGTGTGCTGTTGGCCGTATGTGAAGAGCTTGTTTTGGTTATGAATTTTCTTCAATTTTATAGAATAATTTTGGAATTTGATTTTTTGTTGGTTGGTCAAAGTTATACGTCGATGAAATCCAAGTTTGTTTTTCAGATTCAGAATTTGAGTATCTGGTCTAATGTAGTTTTACCTCCTGCTGCTATTGTTCTGAGTTGTATTGTTTTTCTTAGGAAATCTCTTTCATGAAATCCTTTGTGTTCACTTTTTTCGTAATTCCCTTTCAGCTACAGGTAAAGCTGCAAATAAAGAACTGGAGCGTATCGATCAACTCTTCTACCAATATGCAGAGAATTCCTCGGGCTTGATTGAGTTAGTGACCCATCCAGAATCATACCTCGTTCCCTTTTTTAACGTAGTCCAGTCTTTTTAATGGATGCCATTTACTTAGTTTGCAATATTTATTCCTCCAAACTATTTGTTGTTCGATTCTGGATACTAAGTTTATAGCCTTCTGTTTTCAAATCATAAATAAACGCACAAATCATATGTATTGTGGAATCAATGTGTTTAAAGACTTTGATTAGTATTTAAACTCAGTTCCAGCTTCTCCGCTTAATCATGGGAATGAATGGTCACTGTTGTCTAACATTTCTAATTGTTGGTATTTCTCAGTCCTGAAGGAATAGAGGCTTTGTGTTCTGACTTGGAGGTGGATCACACTGATGTCCAGATCTTGATGCTTGCATGGTAATTTTTGCCTTTTGTGTTCCATAGTTTTGAGGAGGTGATACAGCCGTAAATACTTGTGATTCTAATTTGTAGGAAAATGCAAGCTGAGAGGCAGGGATACTTTACTTTGGTGAGTAATTGAAGATACTGCTGGATGTTAACTATTTGTTACCATCAATGAAGTAGTGATTAGATTTCCATACATTTTCTCTTTTCCAAGTCCTCTAGGTCCATGACCATCTTTTACTCTACAGTCATTTAGCATTTGTGTCTTCTTAAGATTTGATAGTAATGAAAGCCATTCTTTGTCAGGATGAATGGAGAAGAGGCCTCAAAGCATTACGAGCAGATGCAATAATCAAACTGAAGAAAGCACTTCCTGATCTGGAGAAAGAGGTATATTTAAATATGGGTCATTCATCTCTTGATGCTCCTTGAAAAGGAGTGAATGGCTTTTTGGTTAATGAAGACATAACTTTCTTTCCCACAGGTCAGGAGGCCATCGAATTTTGTTGATTTCTATACATACGCCTTCAGATACTGCTTGACAGGTAGTTGTCAGTCTTATTTCGTTTACTCGTCCCGTTGAACTAAGCAATGACCCTTTCTGTGACTGACTTTTGAATTTCTGCTTCATTTAGAGGAAAAGCAAAAGAGCATTGATATCGAGAGCATTTGTTTGCTTCTAGATCTTGTTTTGGGAGATCAGTTTAGACTTCAAGTTGATTACTTGGTTCAGTTCCTAAGGGTGAGTACTGTTTGTCATTAATTATCCCATGGAGTCGGATATTCTCTTTGCCAAGTATGCAAATCTCTCTCTCTCTCTCTCTCACACACATGTAGTTGGACTAAATCATTTTGGATGTTTTTTATTGGGGTTTTATGTGTCTGTATTCCTAACAGAACTTCTCTCGGGACAAATTTGCTCTTAGATATAACCTAATCTCATGTTATTTCTCTTTACTATTCTTCTAAATCATAATTGAACTTTTGGCACTAGTTTTTATCCGATTCTACAAGCAAAATAAAATAAAATTGCGTTATAAGTCCTGCTAACAGTCATTTCGCGTATTTTCCTTTCATGGCTACAGGTGCAGACTGATTTCAAAGTTATAAACATGGATCAATGGATGGGTTTCTATCGTTTTTGCACTGAGGTAAGCACAGAGTGTTTGATCTGATTTGTTCATTCTTTCTTAGTTTGCCAAGGATTTTTTCAATTCTAGAACACCAATATAATAACTAAGTCTTCAACTCACCATGTGGGATAAACGTTGTTGCTGAACACTTATATCAATAAAGCATTGTTGGCACTTTATGCATTCCTTTACTCTCTGGTTATGTTAAAAAATTTCGATTCCCATGACTCTATCGAAGCTCTGACTCAGCATTTAACATTGCATAATCAGTGAAAAATATAGAGGTTGCAGATTACATACACATAGGGTGACTCTCAGTAGATGCTTGTAGGGAATTCCCAGTTTAATCAAGTCTTTATACATATCTTCGATAATCTTTATTTTAGTTACTCATTCCCTTTATGATATGCTTTCAAGATCGATACTTTCCGAGATTAAATCTTGTCTTCACTCGCCATCATGAACTTTCTTAATATACAAGACAAAAATGACATTCCTGCAGAATCTATTAAGGTGTTGCACCTCTTTTGTTGAGTTTATTCTTTGCACATCATATTTTGTAATAATCTGCAATGACTGCAATCCATACAGCTGTATGTATCACTTTCTACCGCATACGGGTACTGATCTCACTCGTTTGTGTGATAGATAAGCTTCCCAGATCTTAGCAATTATGACCCAGACATGGCTTGGCCCTGGATCCTGGATAATTTTGTTGATTGGATGAGATCGAAGCAGGGTTAGAGTAAGTTCATCTGCTAACTCAATTTTCTACCTTTAAGGCTTTAACCAGTTTCAATGGTCGGTAACGATGTTGCACATTCTGCTTTAGATGGGATTCTCATCAGTCTAGACTGTGACGAAAAGCATCATTGTGGCACAATCTAATGGCTGGGTGACTTCACATGTGTTGGACCACAGACCTCTCAGTTCTCAAACACAGGTGTGGCACCGAACGTTTAGAATCTTGTCACAGCAAAGCTTAGCCTATTAATTAGATGACATTGGGATTGGGGTTGGAGAGGGGGAGAAAGAAGATGTACTGTTTTGACATATGTTGGACGGCAGCGTGGCAATATGCATGAAAGCTGCCCTTTGTACCTTGTGTAGAATCCTTTATTTTTTTTTGGTTTTGTATGATTTTTCTGATTGATGATCCTGTCTTCCTCCCGATTCTTTTGTAACGAGCAGATATGAACTGAAGGAGCCTTATTCATCAAGAATCGTATACTTGTGTGTATCATGAATATAAAAGGTTTTTAGCTAGGGGCATATTGTTTCCCCCCTGAAACATTGTGTTGTTCTATTGCCAGCCATTGGTGTATGTGTTTTTGCAATAATTCCTTGGCCAGGTTTTGTAGTGGGATGCAGATGCCGTGATGGAACAGCAAGCTTCGTGGGGACAATGTTACTAATTGCTGGGGCATTTATGAGTTTAAGAATTCACAGAAAAGTTCTGGACATTGGGTTGGTAAATCAAGGAAAAAAGAGCCTCCATAATTCAAAAAGTAGGTTCAATACATTATTTGCTTTCAACATCCTAAAGAACCTGGTCTCCCTCACTTTATAATTGAAGCGCATTACTTGAGACCATGTTCAGTACCATAAATTAAAAGGCCTCAGTACCTCGAACCTGTATTATAGTACCTCAGTTTGGTTAGCTACTTTACAGTTAATGTACTTTTTTCTGCATAATCCAAAACCAAGCTAGTTCCAACCATAAACAACCAAATAAAATGTGGAAATTTGCGTCCTAAAACAACCTGCTACCGAATTTGCTAGCATATTTCTGGTAGTCGATTTGTCCTGGAAATGATAAACATAACATGAGGTGATGTTACCAACTCTATGAACATGTTTTCTGAAAGTCTAATCAGAGTCTGAAAATGAAATGCATAACGAGATTGAACGTACAAAAGGTAGGAATTCCCCCAAATTTTTTAGCTGCATTTTCTTGTCATTTTCATTGGTGGGGCTGTGAATTGAATGTACAAATATCTCAAAACTCTTGCATTGAGATCATGCGGGTTTTCAATGGAAAACCCAAAAAAGGAAACGGAGAAAAGTTTGGACAAACTCGAAAAAGATCATCTAAGAACTTGGCCTTAAATTCACAGGGGAAGGTGGAGGATGAGAGATTCTTCTATTCCTACCCCTACTGGAAGAATCCGGAGGTGAAGAAGAAGAGGATGAAGACGTTGACGTATTCGTAGAAACATTGGTCCTTCTCGAACGGCTTTTGAGTTGCACTTTCTCTCCTTCACAAGCTTTGTCTTCAATTGTATGATGACGAACTTTAGTGGTGTTTAAGCTCACTGGAATGATACATTTGCAGAACGAACCTGACAAAAAAGAACACGGAAGATTCTTCTAGTCAGTCAATTTTCTTTTTGAATTCCAAAGAATAAATCTCATCATCCTCGAAATCGTGATACAAGGAAACCCAAAGTACATTAGTCTAAAAAATTCAATATTCATAAGTAACTGTGTTTCAAAGGATTAGCAACTCGAGGGAGCTTCGAGATTCACAAAAACTACGTTCTTTTTTGTTTTTTCTCACAGAAAAAGGTACTTCAAGACTCACAACACTATTAAAACAAAAACAAAAATGCGCATAATTTCAGCTTTCTAACTTTGAAACAGGGAAAGATTCAAACTTGGAAAACAGAACAGAATTGCAGAAAGTTCAGAAATTTAAAGAATGGCCTAATTCACCTATTCTGGCAAGGCGATTAACCCAACTGGGGATGGGTGTACCGGTAAGCTTTATACAAGCATCATTGCAGAAATGGTTACAGTTCTTGGTGATGAGATTATAAGCATTCCCTTTGTACTTTTCAGCAAGCTCCTCCATAGCTCCCCTGACTTGCCCCGGTGTCATTTCCGTCCATCCGATCATAATCGATTTCCGAAACGTGAACCCATCACACTGTTTCGGTTCTCCTTCGAAGATTCCGGTGGTCGGATATTCATGAGCTCCGAATGCATATTCCACCCCATGAACTGCCACACCAATCCAAATAAAAAAAAAAAAAACCCAGTTCAGTAAAATTATCACAGTTTCACTACTCAATCTAAATCAGTTCCCCAGGTGGGATTTTGTTTTATCGACTGAATAATCTCAAAATTATATCAATGCAGATCTGAATTAAGGCAATTTGAACACAAAGACAAGTCTTTCAAGGCAAGAAAAGAAAAAGAGGGGGAACATGCTTCAAGGAAGAGTAAAAAGATTGAATTTTTATTCTTTTAATTACCTTGAACACCGGAATGATAAACTCCGAGACCAACCCAATAAGCATAGCCGTTGATTGGAGTCAGGTCATACACATTCAGATACACCGGAACAGTTCCACGTCCACTCTGATTGACTGAGGTTTTCCGGCACAACATTTTGATCTTTTTCTTCTTTTTTTTCAACTCAAAAAAACGTTACAGAAACGATGAAGAAAGAAAAAGATAACAGCTGGGCCAATTGCATAACCAAATAAGAAGAATAATTTGGGAAGTTTTGTTTGTTTGTTAGTGTTGGATGACAGAGGAAGAAGAAGAATGAGGGGAATAATTTTGTTGGGGGAGGATTATGGGTGAGAGCAGACCGGCGGCATGTTGGTGCCGCAACGTATACTTTTGGCGGACCAAATTTAGTTATATAAAATCTAAAATCAATGACTCTTTCTTCCTAGCTAGGAGAGAAGAAGAAAGAATGGGAATAATGGGGCCTGAGTTTTTAGAGGGAATTACCAGAAGGGCCCTCTTTCATTGGTTGGAATCCGAGCTGTATGATCTACTAATTTATAATAAATCTTTGATATTATTTTCTTTTTCTTTTTTTTTTTTTGTTTTTCGGAAAAAGTAACGTAAGCTAATTATGAGATGCAGTGGAAGTGGATGTTGAAGTGTGTTCATTAGTTTAAGAAAAGGCTAAGATTAAAAGAGGGTAAGTTAATGATTTAAAAAAAAGGGATGATGAACTGTAGACTTATGATTGAACTTAATTTGTCTGGAAAGAAAGAATGGGAGGAGGATGTTAATGGCGGATGGTGCAGAGCAAATTTGGTGGGATTAGGACCATTGTGGGAAGAAGAAGGGATGATTATCTTTTGATAATTGATACTAGTAGTTATTCTCCTTTTTCGGATTCTATAACAGTAAACCTCAGCTGAAAAAGAATCTGTATATCATAAGTTAACCAACTTTTTCTAGGACTCTGATTCTTTTATTTCATACTAGAGGGCGTCGTAGATTTGCATGTTAATAATTATATCAGAAGAAGGAGATGAAATTTTAATAATAAAAAAATTTTGAACGTCCTTTAATAGCTCATTTCACTCTCTAGAATAAATCAAACAAAATAATCTTAGCAAATTTATTAACGACAAACAATATTTTTGCCAAATTTAGTGTACGTATGAATAGCATTTCAACTTTGAATAAAAAAGAAAAAAAAAGTCAAACAAAATGAACAAGGGACTTAATTGATTTCTTCATCACAACTAAAAAGAAAAGGCAACGAAACCAACTAAAAGATAAAACACTATTAAAGATAAAAACTACAATAATATATCTTTGTAAAGGTTTTGGTGTTATTTTATTATAGTTTTTTAGAAAAGAGTGAAAACTAAATTTCAAAGAAAAAGAGAATGAAGAACAAAAACTAATTATTATTTACCTTCAAGGATTTAAGATCAATAGATCAAAGATGTACAGAGAATAAATGCGCTTGAAGTGAAAGAAAAAAGAGATAATGACAAAACTCGTAATGATTGAAAATTATATATATCCACAAAATTTATTTAGGATAAAAAAAACTTTTCATTTTATTTTTCAATTATAGATTCCTCAAAAGTCTCATTTATATAATCATTAATTTCAAAAAAGAGAAGAAGAAAAGACAATTAAAAATTCAGAATATTAAGAGTTGTTGAAACTTATAATGATTATGTGACTTATAAAATTCGTCAAATAATTATTTTTGTAATAAAGAACTTTTAGATTGTAACTTCTAAGTCTTTTGGCTACTTTTTAACACAAAAAAGAAAAAAAGAAAATGATATCGAAATTAATGCAAAAGAAAAGATAAGTAGAAACTAAAGCAATGTATAAGGAAGGACTACAAAACTACAAAAGCATATTATGCAATTATATATAATGTTGAAAAACTGCAATTTTCATATTTTTTATTCTTTCAACGGGTTATCAAATTGCGGGATTTTGCTAAAGTTTAGTCAGATCACGAAGCACCGGCCATTTACTACTTCAAAGAATCATCCGACCATGAAAATGGTTCTCTCTGTCTTAAAAAAAAAAAGTCATGTTTCTGGTAGAATTTTCTTTCTCCAAATGAAATTTGGTGGTACTTCTTATATAACTTGTAGTGGAGACACAGTAATATCGATCAATTTGATTTTTAATAATTTATCATAAAAATTATAAAAAACGAAACTATTTTGGATGGAACCATAAACATTCGTGGTGTCTATAAATTAGAAGAATACCCACATGCCAGCCCAAGCACAATGATTGTTGAGCCCCCTAGATCTTATATTATGTTTTGCATGTTCAATGAATTGGGGAATAACACATTTTATCTTATTCCGAGAGAAAATAATTACAGTATTTATAATCTTTTGTTTTATTTTAACACTTCAATTTATTTAAATTTAAATCCCAATGAAAATAGTACGACAAAATACACCATCAAAATGGGATGGAAGTTACCATATCAATACTGTTTATGATCCTTAATATAAGACATTTTGATTTGTCCTAAATTTCACTTAAGATGCATTTTTTATTGACAAAAGAATTTTATAAATATTTCATAATAATCAAGAAAGCACAACCAATATGAAAGGGAGGTGATTTTGCCAAAACAAAATCTAGTATACAGGGCAAAATTTGAATAAGAAGACATAATTACCCTTTATAAAAATGGGGGTATTTTTCATCATCTTCTTCACCTCTTTGCTCCGCTCCTCAAACCCACGGAGTTTTGCGGCCGCCGCCGCAAGGGAAAACAAAAAAGAGAAAAATTTTTGAAATCCAGAGTTCTCGCCTATCTCATAAAGAATCATGTGTTCCCATTCTTTATTCCAAGAAAAAAGAGAAAAACTAGTTTTTTTGCTCTTAGTATTACATACTTCGATCCAGTTGAAGCCAATAATTTAGCGCTAAAACAATCAAATAAATTTTTTACGATATAAAAAGAATCTCTAAATCCCAATTACAAAACCCTTTATTACAAACAAATAATAGGACGGTTAAGCAAAAACAAATGATGAAATAATCAAAATAAGATAGTTCATAATATCTTTATTCATACAAGTTACATTGATAGTAAAAAATTACCAGCCAATTAAAAATTATGATTTGGTGATTTTTTTCCAATCGCGAAAAATTTATTTGATTGTTTCAATGCTGAATTATTGGTTTCAACTGAATTGAAGCATGTAATACTAAGAGCAAAAAAACTAATTTTTCTCTTTTTTCTTAGGATGAAAAATGGGAACACAGCTCTGTATGAAATAGACGAGAACTCTAGATTTCAAAAACTTTGTTTTTTGTTTTGTTTTCCTTTGCGGCGGCGGCCGCGAAACTCCGTGGATTTGAGAAGCGGAGCAAAGAGGTGAAGAAGATGATGAAAAATGCTCCCATTTTTATGAAGGGTAATTATGTATTCTTATTCAAATTTTGCCCTAGATGCTAGATTTTGTTTTGGTAGAATCACCTCCCAATATGAAAATATATTTTTAAGAATTTTTTGTCAATTAAAAATACATACTATGTGAAATTTAGGACTAATCAAAATAACTTATATTAAGGACCGAAGGGAGTATGATGAAACTATTCACCTAAATAACACAACAATAATCTTCTTCGACAATAATAATCTATTTATGTATTTACTTATCTTTATATATAAGACCAAACGGTTTAAATAAAAAAAAAAAACTCTACAACTTTAGAGAAAGAGAAGCTCTATCCAAAGTTAAACTTCTAACAACATTAGGTGGAAGTGTTGATAAAATATGATTCTCGACTGAACACACGAAAGGTCAAATTTCACTAGCCCGTCGATAATCTTACTTCGATGCCGACATACATGAGCTACGGAGACATATTAGTTAAGACATAATAGTTTTCTAACTCTGTTAGTTATTTTCTCTGTCCTAAAAAAATTAAAAAAAAAAATAGAGTGCAATACTTTGGATAGAGTTAGACATACACTTACAGTTTGTAGTTAAGAGAAAAAACCGTGATCCACACACTGATCCAGGCCCAAAAACTCTATTGTAACTTATTGGGTCTTTTAAAGCGACTGGAGCCCAACTAGTTTACAATAACCCGTCCAGCTAAGCCCAATATAGTTTCATTCTCGATCTGTTTTTCTCCTGAAATTTTCATTGATTTTCACTGCCCGCCGTTCTGGGTTTTCTCTGTCCGGCGTCTCTACCGAAGCCCACCTACCTCCGCCGGTGATCCCAGTTCGAAACCTGCTATCTCTCAACGCAAAATTTAGTTTTGAAAACTTGGGATGCAGTTATTGTAGGAAGCAACAAATGATTTCAATCAAACATAAAAGGGTATCATAGTTGGGCGGTCTCTTCATCGAAGGTTTTTAGCAGCTGTGAAATGCCAATGAAGTAAAGAATGAGAAGCAGTAGAAGACTATGGGACCAATTTTTCAAGCGATTCAGACCCTCCCCAAGCAGGCCCTTTTGTACCAGCAACAAATCCGACAAACCCAACAGTGGCAACACCAACAATGGCACTGATGTCGGCAGGGATTTCGATGTCGAAGAGGCTTCTTCATCTATCAGCCGACAAGAAGCTTACAAGAAGCTTGAAAACCTCGATTTCATGACTGCCACCAAAATTCTCTTCACTACTCCCCCCAAAAGAAAGAAATTTGGGTTCGTTTCGACTATTTTTGGAATTAGTCTTTTTATCTCGTCAAAATGTTTCTTTGAGCTGTTTTTATTCTTTGGCATTTCGTATAGTCTGTCAGCGTGTGATCTGTTCCTGTACTTGAACTCTGGATCGTGGCAAAGTTTCATTGTACAGTATGTGACTATTGAGGAATGTAGATGAATGACCCTGCAATTAATGGTTGTTTCCACATTCAAGCATAATTTCCTCTTGCTTTTCTTTTGGTGCTGAAATTGTGTGTTATTTTGCTTGATCGCCAATATCTACGTTTGGCAAAAGTGGAACAAGCTTCTAGATTGTGTAGTGCAAATAAATCTGAGCTAATGGAGTTTCTGGCTTCTTGCTTCGTTATGTGATATTTTTCTTTTGGGGTTAGAGAGTTTGGTCAGTGTTTTTTCTGATTTCATTCTCCGCATCGTTTTATTGGAGCTCCTGCTATTTGATATTATATCCACATTGTATCTTGATTCTTACCGATTTTTCTGCTGGCCAGGCTTGATTTCCATCTGGTACAACTGTTCTTTGCCTGCCTGCCTTCATTCGGTATGCACACTCTCAAACTTTTAGTTTTTCGACCTTTTATTTTGGAGAATTTATGACTATGTTGCTTCTTACCTGACAGCCGTATATTTGGTGGCTCAGTATGCTCGCTCAGAAATGAGAAGAATGGAAGCGGTATGATATGCTTGTTTACTTTTTGTTTGTGTAACTCTTTCACTTTAATAGGTCCTCTTTTGGGTGACATTCCTCATAGTTGACTGTAGTTGTATTCTGCTATCTGATGCTGATCAAAATCATCCTTGATTGTTTGCTTGATGTTGAGTGATTTCCTACACTGTATCATGTTCTGATTGCAGTTTGATGGAGTTTAAAGGATGCTTACTTTTTGCGATGAATGTTTGTTTTTCCCCTTCAAATGTGAAACCCAGGTGAATTATAAGTTTGTCAGGATCCTAGTTTTGTTGAACATTCTAGAAGGCATTTGTCATCTTTCGATAACTGCTTCTCTTTTAGTGGCACCTGGCTATAATTAGGCTTCGACATGGTCATGGCCACAGAATGTTTGTATTTTTGCAATATTCTCATTCTTTTTTATGATGCATTGGGTTTTTGACATCAGGAACTGGAGGTGAAAAAGAAAGCTGAAGAAGAAGCGAAAGCGAAGGCTGAAGAAGAGGAGAAAGCGAAAGAGATGGAACTAAAGGCAGCTGAAAGACAAAAAGATCCTCAGATTTTAGAGGTAAAGGAGAGACTAAATAAGTTGGAAGAGGCCATAAAGGAAATTGCAAATGAATCAAAGAAAAAAACAACTGATTCGGGAGAAAATAGTGAGGCTGAAAAAGTTGAGGCAAAACAATACACGGCTGGAAAGCCGGAAAACATTGGTACAGACGCTAGACATTCTACTTCTCATGACACTTCGGGCAAGGGAGCATAATGATTGGAGCAGCGGCCCTTTCATGATTAAGTGAAGAGAGTTTTGGTTTACCTTAGGATACTGAGTTTTGTTTAGCTGCACAATTTCTATACTTGAAAACAATTGACTGTGAACACGGGATATTTGAGGAAGTAGATCTGTATAAGAAGTGATAGGTAGATATTTATGACAGTCCTCACTTCATTGGCCCCTGTAAGTGATGCGAAGCTTTGAATTTATTTTCCAGTTGGAGGAAATGGGGGAATTCTGATCATGAAGCCATTTTTCTGCTCTCAAGTGCTCATCTTCTCCGCATTGAAGCTTACTTTTATGGTCTGCCTATTATGTATGCTCTTCTTTGAGAATTGAATGATAGGAAACTTCAGTGAAATGAAACTTTTGAGAAAAGCATGTAGTTCTGTAGCTAGCCATATATGGTAAATCACTGCATTTGTAACGCAAACGACCACCTCTGTTTGATACTACTCCATTTCCAAAAGTAAGTCGATCTTTTGACCGTTAAAAAGAGGAGAAACTTCAGTTTTTCAGAAAATCCATTAATCTACTCCATTCCATAGAACATTATCATACTTGTAAATGAGAGATGTTCTTTCTTCTTGCTCAGAACACAATGCTATCTTAAACTATCCGCTGGTTAATGCATCTTGAGCATTCTCTATTTTGGCAAGCATCTAGAGCCTAGTTGCAAAGCAGTGATTGGGAACATTGTATCTACTATCTGCTACGACGATGCTACTCAACACTCAACAAAATTAAAAATCGTGATACGAAACATCCACTTAGGTCATTTATGATATAACCTTCAAGCGTTGTGGCTGCTTTCATATAAAAAAAAATTGTAAAAATGGTTTGCAATCATTATGTGAGATGGAATTTCTAATTGTTTTGATACTTTTGCAATTGGAAATGCATCCCTTTGTGTGTTTGTTTGTTTGTCTTTTTTTTTTTTTTAAAACTAAAATTTATGCGTCCATTTTTCTTGAAATGATAATAAATGAATAAACCAAACAAAAAATAAAAAAATAAAAACAAAGGACTTCTTTTAGTTTTAGGCCGAAAGTTGTACGATGTTTAGGCCCAAAAGGTTCGATTTGGGCACTTGAGCCCATCAGGTTCATCCACTTCTCGTCTTCTTCGTTTGGAAGAAGTCCCAAAAACCTTCCTTAAACCCCCCCCAACGCCATCGCCAGAAAGAAAAGACCCCGTACATACATACATACAGCACAAAAATGGCTCACCGTTTGGTCAGACCTTTGCGAGGAACTTTGGCGGGGCTTCATCAATGGCGGCAACCCAAAATCACCAACTCCGTCGCACTAACCACAAATTCAATCCGAAATTACATCTCGGAGATGCGCAAAGAAGCTTTCGAGGGCAACATTCTCAGACTTCTCCGAAATGAAATTCAATACGAGTTCGATCGATCTCCTCCCTCCGAGGTACTATTTCATGCTTTTATATCACTTTCTCTGCACCCTTCTCCCTCGCAGTACTTTCTGTTGGTGGACGAATTTTTGTACGTTGCAACTTGATTAGTGTTTTCTTTAATGGTTGAGTGATTGAGTAGATGGGATTTTGGCGCAATTCCGAAATTCTGAGCTGAACGATGGTAAATTGTGTTAGTTACGTAACTATGGAGTTGATTTTCATCTTTGTGCTTTGGATTTAGGTTTAGCTGTTCTCCTTTTTAGTCATCTAGCATGTACTTGTGTGAAGCGTGTGCTCGTTAGATACTGTATTTTGACTGTTGTATGTTTTGAGAAGCAAATTTGGTGTATAGAGTCAAAATAGTTAAACCTCATGAAGTCAAAGTTGCATGATGTTGAAGTTGATTAGAGGAATATACATGTACTCCATGGTGTAAAACCGATATATTGCTATTGTTGCGGCTTTTGAGACAGATGTTATGAATAATCCAGGACCAAATATGTGATTGTAACTGAGCATGTTCGTGAATTTCGTACATTTTAACTTAATAGGATGTTTGCAAACTTAGCCTCTCAAAATGACTGATTTTGTGTTTTCAGTTTGACTAGTTTGAAGGGAAGAATCAGTTGCATTTTTTTACGTGCTCGCATTTGCCATATGTATTTTGCTTTGCCTTCTCAGTTATAGTCTTATCTGGAACTACTTGTGGGATGTAGACCACGATATACTTCATAGCATCTGCTGCTGTTTACCATCTTTTTCTTCATTTTCTTTTCTTTAGAAACATTTTCAAGAATAAACTACAGTGTGGAAATATATTGGTTTTGGAACTGGATGAATTGGGATGTGTGCCTTTCTTTGGTGTGGGGAGGGAGACAGAATCACAGTCTGGACAGCTTCCCATTGTCTGCAATATAACAACTGCTGAAAAAATTGAACATTTTGTTGTTAATCATGTTTGAGAGGAGGATTTATAGAGACTACGTCCAGATTGATTTTTTGGGTATAGAGGGTCTCATTGTTTGGAATAAAGTTGGCTCATCAATGTGTTCCTGAAATCCAGAGTGGCACCAAAGTTTGCCTGCTGATTAATTGGATTGGCATTTGCATATATAGTATGGAATTCCGGACTGTCAATGTATGGAATAAAGTTTGACACAATGGATTGACATTTGTGCACAGTCTGCCTGCTTGAGCTCTTTCTGCTCATGCATGATGGACTTCTTACGTGATTTTTAAGTAGGTACTTCTTTTCATGGTTTTGTTTATATGCAGAACTTGGAAGTTATGTAGGATGGATATGAATACTAGAAATGACACATTCCCTTGGAATCAGGAAATTATGATGTTAGTGAATCTATCAAAGCAAGGAGGCTGTGACGTTTCTGCTGATATTTTGTTTTCTTGCAGCCTGTTCCAGAATTTAATTCGTTTATAGTTGATGAAAGGCCTGGAGAGCAATGGATTAGATTGAAGAAAAAAAATGGAGAGGGCGAAGAGATCAAAGTTGATGCAACCATGTTTGATGATTCCGTCCCTACTAAAAAATCAGGTGGTGATGCTGAAGATGATGAGCGGCTTCACATCACTATGATTGTCAGTGTTTTCAAGGAAGGCAGTGATGATGTTTTGGAGTTTGTTTGCTCCGTCTGGCCCGATACTATTGAGCTTCGCAGAGTGTTTACCCGTGGACGTGATCGGACTACAAAACATCCTTATACGGGACGTGTTTTTAAGTAAGTCTCAGGGTTTGCGTCTTGTAGCCACTATATTTCCAAGTTTTTTGTTGCTTTCTAGCTGAGAAGTTAATTGTCGATGGGGAAGTTTTATTGCTGTGCTTCCTGCTATCATGGAAATCGTTATGCAAGAGTTGGTGCACATATTCCATCTTTGTATGAAAGTAAAAGGAGGAATCTGTTGACTATTTCTACGCGTTACGTACATGTATTGGGATCTTTCCAGTCAAGAAAGTTAGGGTAAATGATTAATAATGTTATGTAGGACTTGGTTCTCATACCATGGCTGCTCTGATTGTTGATTTATGGTTTTGCAATTATGCAGGGATAAAGATGAGGATGATGAACTGCGAGAAGAACTCTACGGCTTCTTGAAGGAACGGGGTGTAAATGATGAACTAGCGATATTCTTGCATAAATACATGAGAAACAAGGACAAAACTGAGTTCATTCGTTGGATGGATAGCGTGAAATCTTTCATAGAGAAGAAACAGAAGAGATAGTTATGCTCAGGCTTTCTTCGCTCTGGAATCCTGATCAATCAGTTACACGATTATTTGACCAAGCAGTGCGACTAACTTTTGTTTGTCATTTTTAAGAACGTCATCTCCAGTTGTTCGTCGAGACTTGGAAAAAACCTCTTTCAACGTTTCTTGAAGGGTTCTTGTAATATATAGAAAGCAGTTCGTACTTGATTGGCTTAAATTAAGTAGTGGGGGGTTATAACGAGATTTCATCTGAGTAGGGGCTTTCCCACTGGAAGTTGATTTACTGCTTTGCTCCGTCCATCTTTCATGGAACAGTAACGTCCAACTTTGATGATGATACGATGAAACTGTTAGGAATAGAAGGATCACAGTTTCAACAGAGTACTCAATGTTCGATTTGTAATACGTTGAAAAGAAATCGATCTGATCCTTAAACACAGTTTTTCCATAGGTGAGAAACTATAGCTGACAGGGTCCCCTCAGGCCTCATGATCAGCAAACAACACTTCAGTTTTCCACTGCCCGGGTCCATGAGAACCTCGAGTAAAGCAACACTATTGCAAATCTTATCAACTTTTCCGATGTGAAATCTTCATCAAGTAGTCAATACATCCAAACTAGCAGAATGCATATTGTAGCTTCGCCGGAATAATATCGGAATGGACATGCTCGTCTCAAAATTATTGTGGTATTTATTGTATCACGATAATTTTCATTTTGGGACGAAGGAGAGTTACACGGTAGTGATTTCTATCCCAAATATGCAGGACTAATGACTATGACTACAGCTAATGCACAACCTGCTCTTACGCATGTAAAAACTCAAACTGGCATGACTAGAATCAACAAATCCTCCTAATTTACTAAAGAAACAAGGAGCATATCTTTTCTTATTATCACACATATGCATGAAAAGGTCAAATCTTATCAGCTTCAAAGCTTCCTCCGTCAATCTTTAGTTTCTTTGGCCGCCGCTCTTCATGACTAGTTATCAACTCATGATACTCCGCCAAATTTCCTAGTTCGTGAGGTATGGAATAATGTTTTCTTTTCTTGAACAAATTGATGGCCTTAATTTGGTTAGTGCAAAGCTAAAGTTTATGTTAGGAGTTAACCTATATACTCTTTGAAGTATGAATCACATCTTGAACAGTCTCATTGTGTTATGAAACTCATGGGCTTGATGTGGTGATTCTTTCTTCTGTACGTTTTATTTTCCACATTTACACTAATTATATACTCCCTCCGTCCCATAATTATTGTCCAGTTTGAGTTTTTATTTCTAGTTCAAATTGTACTAAAAGTGAAATCTCAAACTGGACAATAATTATGGGACAGAGGGAGTACATATTAGTCTCCCGTGACTGCCCGTTTAGGTGCTTTCACAGAGAACCGTTTAGAGTTTCGTCTAAAAATGCCGGATCGAATAGGGAAAAGAATGCACACCAATACTCGGCTTAAGAATCGTCTGTCACATAGTTTCTAGTATCTAAGCGAGTTGAAAACATTTTTTTCAAGAGTTACGGAATTTCTTACGATTATCTACTATTACCTCTGTCCTTAAAAATTTGTGTGACTATTTTTTAAAGGCAGAAAGAATATAATACTCCCTCCGGTTCTTAATATAAGTCATTTTGATTTGTCTTAAATTTAACATATACATATTTTTAATATAAGAAAAAAAATCTTAAAAATATATTTTCACATGCGTTGTGTTCTCTTACTTATTAGGAAGTACTTTTAAGGGGTTTTTTTTTTTCAAATAGAAATACATACTATGTTAAATTTAGAATAAATCAAAATGCCTTATATTAAAGACCGGAGGGAGTATATTTTACAAAAGAGTTAAACTGTATCGTAAAAATATTTGGTAATCAATATTTTTCCTCCACTTAGAATATCTTCATCTAGATTACTAAGTTTTCACATTTCTCATTGTACATTCTTGAAATTGGATATTACTCTTCCGTCCGTTTCAGTATAAATTTAAAAACTTAATGTAGACTAATTTTTTGGGCGAAAAAGTATTAATGATCATTGCTGCGGAATACGAAATTCTTGCACTTACGGCGTCACTCGGAAAATCTAAACTGGCTGTCTGAAATCTGAATAAGAATTGTACTCGTTAAACAGGTGCGTCTTAATCTGTTATCACATTTGCATTAAAAGGTCACATTTTGTCACATGCATTAATATGAAAAAAAATTATTATTATCAAGTTATTTAATGTGAAGTGTGAACAAAAGATTTCCTCAAAAAAAAATAAAAAATTCTCTCCATTATTTTTTGTTGTAAGAAAATAGTAATTTATTATTACATTATTTTAATTCGGAAATTTTTTTTTTCATTTTTTTTATTTTTGAGATAAAAAAAAAACTATGTACAGTAGAACGTCGGTAAATTAATAATCGATAAATTAATAACTTCTAACAATTAATAATTTTCTCCGGTCCCAACTTAAGACTAGTACAAAAAGTGAAAAAAAAATCGATAAAATAATAAGATAATAATATTTTAGAAAATCTCTATATATCTATAGGCCCCAACAATACCATAAATTAATAAATACACTAATGACATAAAAATAATAATAATTACTATAAATATTTAGTAGAATATGAACTATTCATACTTGTTTTTTTTTTATCCCAGAGATGATATGAACTATGTATGATTTTTAGCATTCAGAATAGTTTTAATACTTGATTGATTCGGATATAAAGACAACTGCAAATTAAGTAATTTAGTAACGGTTCTTTCTTTTCATATAGATTCTTTAAATTAATAATTTATTAATTTATCGATTATTTAATAATTCACTAAATTAATAAATTTTTGTGATCCCAGTACTATTAATTTATAGAAGTTCTACTCATATCTTAAAAAAGAATCAACATTAATAAAACATATACGTACTTTTTCTTTTTATCGTTCAAAAAAAAGTTGTGGAACATAAAATAGGAAAAAAGAAAAACACAGGAAAAGACTAAGTTTTGCCTTAATTGAAGCAGATTGAATTATCAATTTTTAAAATTGACTAAATAAATTATAATTTTAAAGAATGTGTAATCAAAGCACTTTCAAAAAAAATAAAATAAAAAAAGTATAATACTGTATCTTGATTCACTAAGACTAAAGTCACTAAAGCAATGGCTTATTTGATTTAGCCAAACTCAAGCATCCGTTTAGTGGTATTTCACGGGGGGACATTTATGGTGGAAGATTCATAATTATAGTGCCCAAATGCAATCATCGTCTTTGTACCATATCTCATGATTTTATTTTATTTTTACCTAGTGGCTTAAACGTATACTACATAATTATAATGCTTTGCTTATCTTCTCAATCTTTCATTGTTTGATTGTTTTCAAACAACATAAGTTATTACATACCACGAACCTTCTTTTTCGTTAAAATAAGGTATCGAACTAAACACTTTAATAGTGAATCGCTTTTTAATAATTCTAAACTGATATTTCTTTCGTCTCAAAATAATTATTTTGTTCTATTACAATTATTTTAGTTTATTATTGAATAAGTGATTCATAAATTAATGGGGAAGATGACAAGATTTATAAAGTTGGATTTGCATACACGGTAGTCACTTAGTCCCCTTAGGATAATGACAAGATTGATTAGATTAATATTTGACGTGCATCATGAGGTTTGTGATGTGGCCTCCCACCATTTTTCAAACAGGTAACTGTTTATGAGATCTTCTTTAGGTAGGAAATCAAAGTAATAACGATGGCAATAGTTATTTTATTAATTTCGATAAAAGCATATGTAAATTCATACCGTAAAATGATTTGATACATCATCATACCATACATACAACAAAATGCAAAATGCATTCACACAACTAACACACGGTGAATTCATTTAATGAATTAAAACACGATTCATCTAATTATGATATGTCTGAAAGATACAAATACATTTATTCAAGGTAATCTTGTTAGAAATAATGGAAAAAATAATGTGATACCTAAGGTCATATATATATATATGTATGTATATGTATGTATATACATATATGTATGTATATGTATGTATATGTATGTATATACATATACATGTATATACATATACATGTATATACATATATATATATATATATATATATATATATATATATATATATAAAAGAAACCAGTTTTCCGCATGACTTCACCAACCTATTGAACAAGACCTGTCAATAGATGGTCTATTTCTTCAACTGCACAAGTGGGTCAAAACCTCCTGTCTTTTTGTACACCAGCATTAGCAGCCCCCTTTAAACTAACACCACTCTAAAATAATTTGTAACTCAAATGTCAATTCAAAGTTTTTTATTATTTATTTATCCTAATTACTAATTCATTTAAATGTACGGACCAATTTGTTTATGGACAACATTGAAGATCATGATCCAGGAAATGGACAAAAGAAAAGGTCCTAAAAGAATCTTCATCCGCTTCAACAATTTGTTTTCAATCGAGTTTGAAATTGAAAACATGAAATAATCATTACATTAAAAGTAAATTCTGAATATCGGACACATTAAATTAACTTCAAGAGGATGATTAACTCTTCCTCCTGTCTGAAAACGTGTTCCTTGAGAAAAGTAGCTGTTAAATTTGATTCAAAAATGTAGAAATATTCATGAACCTCATCAAATTTGGAGATTCTTTCAGATTGAAACTATGGGGGCTTTAAAAGCGATGCATGAACTACCAAAATGTGAGCAATAATGAAGCAAAAAAACATGAATAATGAGAGTGGGAAAAAAGGACAATAATAAATTGACAAGCAAATAAAGAAATTCTACCAGCAATATCCTCAAATTTTAAAAATCAATTATATCGTAATAATCTCCTAAATACTAAAAATTGTCAAACAAATGAACTTCATCATCTACCAACAAGAAAAAAAAAAATCTGAATCCAACTAATAATAATAATAAGCAGAAATGAAAGCTATCACTAACCAGTACTTCTATTACTAATAATGCTACCTAGAGTTTGAGAGTCAAGTCAACTAGCTGATGATCTTCTTTTGTAGCTTTCTTTGCCGCCGGAGATGTGACACCACCGCCACCAATGCCGCCGTGATCAATCGCGGGTGAAAGCTTCTGATGAAAACTATCAAACCTAGCAGCCCAACCATTGGTGGATGACGACCCTACACCCGAACCCATATGATAATTCTCCGGTGCAAGCCGCCCGACAGCGGGCTGTTGATCAAGAGGCTTTCTAGAAGGCCACCCATTGTTCTGCCCGTACAAAGACGACAAACCAACAACGTTGGATCCAAAGTAAGATGAAGACGGCTTATGAATCATGGAATGTGCCTGAATCCCCAAGGACCGGTTGTAGGCCCCATGCAAAGGCAAAGAAGCCATGCTAGAGTACCGGTGGACAAACGGGTCGTGCCTGAAGAGCCCACCCGCGGATCCCGGGCCAGATCCGATGCCGTTACCCCTTTTGGCTATGTTCCTCTCCCGTTTATGAGCGTTTTGATGGCCTCCAAGAGCTTGGGAACTGAAGAATTTGCGCTGGCAATAGTTGCATGAGAAAACCCGGGGCTCCGATTCTTGTTGGGTATTATTATTGTTTGTAGTACTATTAGTACTAGAAAGAAAAGGGTTCTTGGATGAGGGTGGTGGTGGTGGTGGGGTGGTAATAATAGTACTAGTAGCACTTGTGTTACTACTAGAATTATTGTTGTTGTTGTTGTTGTTGTTGTTGTTCAATTGAAGACAATCTAAAAGATTGAGTTCAGATTTCAAACCGTGATGATGATTAATCTTCTTGGAGTCCTTACTTGAAAGGCTTAAATCCAGAGCAAGTTCATCTTGATTTGTGTTTTGTACTTGTTCTTCTGACTTGATGTGATCCATGTTGGAGTTACTGAACTTTGTGGGAGAAATCATCATGATGGTGGAGTTGTTGATAGGCCTCTTCTTCTTCTTCTTCTTGTTGTTTTTGGCTTCATATATGGATTGAAGAAGAAAGATAAATGATTTATTTGTGGGGAGTGGATAAATACTAAGGAAGATTATTGATTGAGAGGAATTTAATGCAAATGGGGAGCTAATTTTAGAAGGAAATATGCAGTTACAGAAATGATCATATTATGGAAAGATTATTTTGAGGGGAGATGCATATATCATGCATGTGTGTTTATTATGTGTGTGGAGCTTATTTTTGGGTTTGAAATTGAAATTGAAACTCAATGAACAACTTAACACCATGTATCTCAAATCTTACCCTGTCATATATATCCCCATCATTTATTTTATACCTTAATTTTAAAAACTTTTGGGAAAATTATTAAAAAGGACATCATTTGTCATATATATCTCCAATGAGAGCCTTGATTTTCATTAGGAACTACTTGCCGCAAGAAATTCGAAACTTCCGTACAACCTATATGCAGCAACATTTTTATTTGTAAACTAAAATCATCGATGCTTATGAATTAATTCAATTAAAGGTTTTTTTTTATTAACATTATTAAGTTTGTGATGTGCCGTATAAAATTCAGCATGCTTTTATACATGATGCTACGACAACTTTCAGTAAATGATGAATAAGGGTTGGAATCATAGCAATAACTAATTGATTGAGAAGACTAATTTTATGGATAGGAAAGGTAAATCAAATAGTAATTGTTACTGGCCAGGGAAAGGTTAAACTAGTCATTTGCAACATTAAAACTATTTTAACATTCATACTCAATTATAAAATGTGACAATGCTATTATGAATAATATTCATCTTTCCAATGCCCTTTTTAATAATTTCTCCAAAACTTTTTATTCTTCCTTCCTCCTTAATTGCTTCTTCCCTTTTTTTAAGTCCTAACCCATTTTTGGTAAACCTTCGGCTGTTTCATGGAAACAAGGCCTTAAAATACAGTTCATCTACTTGTATACCACAAATAATTCACCTAATTTGCTGAATATTTTTTTTCCTTTCTGTTTTTTTTCGGTGTATACAAAGGGCAGGATGCAATGAACGTGACGACCTAATGACTCGCGCCTACTAGGAATTCCTCATCGACGACCAATTAATAGGAGTTCAAATATGTGTGGTTCTGTACATTAGGTTTAAGGCTAAATATGTTATGAAAAAGATTGCGTACATATTCCCTAGCTACACCCTAGTATAAGATTACTACCATCCAAAGTTTTTACTAATATGACTTGGAACAATGACTTCCATTTTATTTATTCCTTATCCTTCCTCTCTTTGGAGTGTAATTTTCATTAAAGTGCCAAACATCATTGCATACGACTTCTTTGAAATATACATACTCGTCCCAAAATTATTGTGCAGTTTGAGATGTCACTTTTAGTACAATTTGAACTAGAAATAAAAAAATTAAACTGGACAATAATTATGAGACGGAGGGAGTACAAGTTAAATTATTGTCGGAGAATGAAACTTAAACGTCATAACTGATATTATATGTCCGGATCATTTTTAATCAATTTGCGTTGTTATATAAAAAAAGGATCGATAATATTTCTTGTGACTGTAACACTATATATAACTCCGGCCTGTCTCCTTTTTCAATGGTTGTTTTTGGATTTTTTTTTTTTTAAAAAAATATACGTTATATGAGATAATTAACTAGTACAATATAGTATATACATGGAGATTCCTTGCACATTTGTTAAAATATAATTATGCCAAACTAGCTATACTTTCTTGAACCCATTACCTAAATTCAACTCATGTGTTTCAGAAGGAACTAATGTAAATTTAATACACAAACCGTTGTCAAGATGTATACTAAGGAGTGAGTAAATTATTCAGACATGGAAAAAAACTTAAATAATCAGCATCAATTATGCAGAAGATTTGACAATTTAATTCCTATTACATACATATATAAAACCTTGTGCGTGTAATGATTCATGATGCCCTGGTTAAACTTTCAAATCTTTGTACCTTAATTAAACAGTCGTTACCTTACTGATATAAAATTAATTGCTTGACTAATTAGCACACGAGTTTGAATTATTTTGTGGTGTTAATTCATCATATGTTCAAGTTTATCGCCACTTCCATAGCTAACACAAAGTTTTTCCCTTCAATATAGCCAAAAATACCTCTAGAATTAATTCATTCAATTTGGACCAATTATTACATAGACTTGAACCCAAAGTTTGAAATCCGCCATGTCATGGCAGTGTAGGTCATAATTAATGACTTGTATTGTATTTTTTTTTATTTTTTTTTCAATTTTGAAAGTAGAAATTCTCTCCAAAAACTGAAAGAATATCATCTTATTTCTTGTCTCAGTTTTTGAGACCAATCATGCGAACTAATGAAAAATCTACGGTAATAAACAAACAAAGTTCAACTAGCTCTTAAACATGCACGGAAGTCGATGAGTTACTTGATCTTTTGTGCTGTTATAGCACACATAGCCAAAAATTGGCTATTGAAATTATCATATACAATGAAGCGCTTCCCCAAACAATGAATATATACAACTTAATCTGCATACCCGAAAGGAGAAATATCATGTGATTTAATTGGTTTTTTTGCTCTAAATGCTAAGATTAATTAGGTGAAATAAACAACATTTACGTATGCTTATCAAGAATGAAACTAATAGAAAGAAAGAAAATAAAATAAAACACACATGCATGCACCCGAACATATATATATTTGCTTACTTCTTGGATTGTAAACACGTCTTCCCTTATATTTCTTTGTAGAGGGTTTGTTATTTCATTCAAAATGAAACGAAATAGCTAAGGTTTAATCAATTAATTAGCTGACTGATGGATTAGAGTTTTAAATCTGTAAATTTTCACTAACCCAAAAAAGTATCGTTACATCGTTCATGAAGGTGCAAAAGAATATATGGATGATCATTAATTGATTAACGTCAAAATAAGAGCTAGCCATGCAACGGCTAATAGTAATGTCCTTTATATATACTCCATCCGTCCCATAATTATTGTCTACTTTGTCCAAAAAATTTTGTCTCAAAATTATTGTTCAATAATCAAGTTTCACATTTGTCCTTAGTAAAAAAACATTATCCATAAAATCTTAGTGGTTAAACAATTACTTATGTAGGGATATATCCGATTGTTTAAGGTAACATATAGTTAAGTTTGACAAAAAATAAAATTTTTTATTTTTGTAAAAATGGACAATAATTATGGGACAGAGGGAGTACTTAATTTTCTCTAACGTTGTTTTGTAGAGGGAAGCCTAGCTAGCTTTATGATCATCTTAATCTGAGTGGAATTTTTATCAATTTTGATAAATTTAGGATCGGGAATTGTTAGGCGCTACTCCACAGAGAAAAGTGAAACGAGAAAAACATATCAAATCAAGAACTACAAATCAAAAGCATGTCCTGATGTCTACCTGTGTTGTGTACTCTATATTCTGTTAATTTTTCCATATCAAAACTGAAGAGATAATCAGATACTGAGAAAAACCAATAGCATTTCTCAACCGTGCGCAAACAGTACGACTTTGTACAGTTGAATTATGTCAAAAACACACACACACACACACACACACACACAGAGAGTTTGGTAATTTGATTGATATGATATGATATGATGTAGCTTTTGGTATTTGTGGCGGGTCATACAAAAATGTGAAATACTTTGCTTAATAAAATTGGGATTGTCCAGATGCAATTTGGAAAGATGCGACAAATTAAAATGGCCGACACACCCCCAGAATGATGTATTTTTTTTTTTTTATAAGGGCCACAATATACATTATTAGTGCCATCCTACACTGAAAAAAATCGATCCTCTACGGATATCAAAAATCTATTTAGCTAGCTTTATTACGTGACGAATAGAAGAATTATCATGCACCCACCATAACATAATCATCAATTTTTAACATGTATTATACATTATCATCAAGTAAATTAAAAACAAAAGGGTTTACCTTAACTTTACTTGTAATTGGTGCAAGTGTGCCTTCTTATATAACTTTTATTTGTGGAGAAGAACCTTTTTGTTAAGTAAGTTGTATCAAAAGAAGGGGAGATTTTATGTCTCAACTTTTCGATACTAATTATTGTTTTCTTAAAGATTAATCTTAGTCTATTCGTGAGATTCAGATTGAAACAAATTAAAATGTCTCTGCAACTTGTATATTGATATGAATAAAAGATGAATTAATGTTATTACGTTAGAATCGAGATTTATTCAACTAATAATGTGTTACCTAAAACATCTTCTTACCAATGACATGAACTTATCATACCCGCTTATCTGCTAATTCATGATATGAACACACCACTCAAAAAAAAAAAATCAAAAATGTACTAGACCCTCTCACAATATATACTTTACTTATTTGCATAAAATATAAACATTAGGGCGATTTCAGAAAATATAAGAGAAACAAAATTTAACAAATTCACATGCATGCAGCTAATTGGGGCCGGCCAGGCCAGAAATGACATCATAAAGCATTGTGCAATGTAGAAGAACCTAAAAAAAGAAAAGAGAAAACTTAACAAAAGGTTCGTTGCTTGATCGACCTTGCTCATCTTAGCTTTTTTGCTTAGTCAAATCGTAACAGGAAGTCCAAAAATTAAAATATCTGCTAGAGATTTGTTTGTCTGAGTGTATATAGATCCGTGATCAATGGTGAAAGAAATAATTAATTTTGAATAAAATTAAAGCTTTTTTTTTCCTTTCTTTTTTTTTTTTGTTTTTAAAATGCTTTTCCATCACTGTCAATCTATCTCAAGTATAAAGGAAGATCATAAAGAAAAGGAAGGAATAAATTTCAAAAGTCCAAACACCATGAACACGTACCAAAGGGTTTTTTTTTTTTTTTTTTTTTCCTTCTTCCTTTTTACAAACTTAATTGTTTCTTTTCAATGTCAATATCAAAATCTCCCCAAACTTATGTCCTTTTCAGTTCACTTACACATACACATGAATGAATCATCTTAACTAATTAGTGGGAAGAAATGTGAATCATGCACAATAAACTACAGTTTACTATTTTATTTTTAGTATTTTTACAATCCCATATATTTACCAGTTTTTCACAAGGGGAGTGTTTATTTTATCATTTTAAGAGTTGACAATTTCACTCTATCTGGATTTCATTTTGTGTATTTCTTTTACTATAGAAGTTGACACGAATATCCATTTCATAGTGAATTTCAATTTTGACCTCCAGATGTAGTGGATTTTGGAAAGTTTTGTACGTACCTCACACCTCACCTATCTTGACACATGGAGGGTAACAAGAAATGGGGCAAATAAAACAATTGTGCAAAAAAAAAAAATAAATGGGGAAAATAGTACAAAGAAAATGATAAAAGGAATGAATACCAAAGTCTAATCATCCCCAAATATCAACTTTTATACCCGAGGGTAAAAATGAAACTGGAAGCCATGAGCGATATTTTTGGATGAAAGTTAGTTTTCATTCCAATTGAATATGAAGTAAGTAAAGCCACCGTTACTTGTCAAAAAGACCCGATATTACAACTATACAATAGCTGCAACCATTTTTTTTCCGAAAAGGATTAAGCTACTAGTTAGTAACTAAAAAGATGGCCTCACAAAATTATCTTTTGTTTCATTTGAACTTAATCTTGTTGCACCACATTCTGTTTTGCTTAGTATTTTTTATCTTAGAAATTTTAGAAAAACTCAGCTTCAAAGAAAACGAGATGTTCTGCATCACTTCTACTTCATTCAATTTTTCCTGACAGAAAATGATAAGATTTCTTACCTCCCAAATGTAATAAAGTCGGTTACCATCACACCTCTAGTGATCTCATCTTTTGACGATGCCTGGGATTGTATCTCTGGCTCGGCTGTGGAACTCTGACTAGGGTTTCCTGTAAAAAAGAGCCTCGGGGGTCTCCCCAGGTTAGACACTCTCATACTTAAGTCAATCAATAGGGTTACGGAAGCAACATGTGTATGTTGATTGGTGATTAAGATAGCTTACTTCAATTATGATGCCTTTGTCCCTATTTATAGCCATAAGAATACCTTCAGGGAACCCGAATCCTCCTAGGGTTTAGTTGTGCTGCCGCCCCGTTAGAGTCGGTCGGGCCTCCTGCTCGGTAAATAGGTCGGTCCAATATCGGGAGTGGATATAGACTCATCAAGTGTCCATGTCAAGTATTAGTTATATAAAATAAACAAGACTTGACAAAATGTAAATCTAACCTGGACTCGGCCGAAGTTGATTGCCCAGTCAATCGGCCCAAAGTGTTTTAAGTAGGCTTGTTGGTACAACTCGCGGGTCTTGACCCGATTCGGGACCATCTTTCACGAAGCGTGATCCATACTTAGATAGTATTTCCTCCCTAAGAGTGGGCACTGAAGTGAGGAGACATGTACATCTATTAGAGCTAGGGCTTTGATGATTATCTGTATAGAGAATAAACACACAAATAATATACTCCGTCCGTACCGAAATTATTGTTTAATTTGGATCTTCATTTTTTGTACGTTACAAAACGAACTAAAAATGAAAATTTAAACTGGACAATGGTTTTGGAACAGAGAGAACATGTCAAATAGTTTCTTTCTCCATCATACACAAAGCAAAGAACGATTTTTATGAAGAAGAAAATTAAAATTTATATGAACTTAATTATTGTAATTTGTTTTAAAAGAAGCTGCTCAACTAAAATAATCCTTAACCAAGATTAGGTATTCAAATATCGACTGGAGGAGTATAGATCGGTGTAACAATCATGGACCAGCCGTCTCACCGTAAATTATTTATTAATATTATAGATGAAAAATATATATTACTTTCGTCTAAAAAAAATAATTCACATTGAAATTGAACATCAGATCAATATTAATTTGAAAATTCATTGTGAAATTTTTTTTAAGGACGAAGGTGAGTATAAGAAAAAAAATATTAATTTTGTTTTTATAATTGCAGAGTCGGAAAAATATTAAAAATATGAAAAAAGAGCCCAATAGAATAGATGGGACAGGCTTGAGCCCAAAAAATATGCAAGGAGTAGTAGGTCAATATAGATAGAATAAGTTTTAAGGGACCAGCCCAGAAAAGAAATGTATAACATCTTTCCCTAAAGAACGGAAAATCCCCCGGGGGCTGGTTAGTTAGTAGCACTCCTCCTTTCTCCTCCGAGCTCAGAAAATCTCCGTCGTAATAACAACCGTTCTGGTCTCTCCGGTTAGTATTCTATTAGCCTTCCCGAGAAATTTGACTATTTAATCGCGGTCTCTATCTGAAACTATTTTGCCTGCACTAAATTTTTTTTTTTGTTTTGCTTGTTTGCTATTCAATATAGGGATTAAAGTAAAGATTGAAAATGGCGGAAGTAGAGCCAGAGATATTAAATTCCATACCAGAGACGATATTTAAGAAGAGGAAGAACAATGAGGAGTGGGCTCTTCGGAGGAAGCTGCAACTAGCTGAAAAAACGAAAATCAGGGCTACTAGTTTTACTATAAAGAAGCCTGAACAGTTCATCAGAGAATACCGGGATAGGGTAATTTCTCTTTCTTAACTGATAGTCTTGCATGTCTTTATTCCCTTTCTGGTTTGAGTTTGAGACATATGAGGTGTATTATTCCGTTGCTGGAGTAATTTTATTCCGTTTGGACAAGATGTTTTCTTTTATGAGTTGTTCCTTTGCTGGTGGTTTGGCTTAGCTCAGTCAGATATTTTATTTGGGTTCATATCGGTTTATGTCTTCCAAATACTAGGTTCTTTCATGTTGGTTAAGATGAAGATATGGTTTGGTTTTGTTAAAATCCTTGTTTTTATTCTTCCGTCTGTTTGCTCTCCTAGCACCGTTGAATGGTTTGGTTGGGATGTACGGTTTTGCTTCTAAAGTTGAGATGGAGAAATGAAATGCCATTCTATCCACATTGACTTCGGTTTTATAAAATTTCAAGCTGAAGCTTATTTTTGGAGGGGGAAAAAATAATTTAGTGACAGAAGGTTGATAATTTACGTTCTCAATGTTGAGGGTTCACATTACTGTAGAGTATTTCTAAATTGCAGTGGTTTTGGTTGCTGAATCATAAATCAAATCATTGGATGCTTTTAAATTGTACTTGCTATTAAGCCTGTCTTTTTTGGATTGTTTTTCAGTAGACTGTCTGTCTTTCTGTTCATTTGATATTGTTTGTCCTTAGATAATCTAAGCTTGTTAGTTGTGAGTACTTTTTATGTTACTAAAGCAGAATCATCTTTCCATGTAATCCACTACCGGACCACCACCTTCTGTTGCTGTCAGGATATCATCATCCAGATAGAATGCAGATGTTTTCTGGCAATTTCGCCCAAAAAATAAACATAAAAATAAAAATGATAAGATTGCTAAATTTGACTACCTATTGGCATCTTCCTTAGCTCCAGAAAGGCTAGCGCATTTCACTAATGATGAAGTTTACTGTCTATAGGAGATTGGAATTAAATTCGCAACCTATATTCTCTGAATAAAGATGAAAACAAAAGGCAGAAATGTAAAAATTACTCAGTCGAATCCCTATGTCCTTCATTTTAATCTCCGTTCTTCACTCACATTTCATTGGTAATTCAGTGGTATAATTGCACTATGACAATCATGTAGAAACGATGATGGAGAAAATGATCAACCATACCTAGCAGCACATTAGTTAACCACTGCCGTGTGCAATGTCAGCTTGCTTTTCGATCCAGAATAGTTTGGTTTTAACATGTTCAGTTATCAAAAGAAATCAATTAATGTTCAGTTGATTGTCATCAGATTCAAGATAGAGTTCAAAGTAAAAAAATAAAAAATAGAAAGATGTGACCAGTGAAGTCATAAACAGATTCCTACAGAATAGATTATGAGCTAACCAGATGCATGAAATTGGATTTATAGATCGTGCTATCTATAAAGAAGTCCGAACAGGTTATCATAAAATTCTGGGATAGGTCAATTTTCCTCTATTAACTGATACTCTTGATATCTTCAATTTCCTTTGCTAGTAAGTTGATACCGTTTTATGTTTGAGATTAATTGTCAGTGCTGATAGTTTTATTGGAGAAAATGCAGTTTAAGCAAGAGTTCTTTCAGTGAGTTGTTTGTTTGGCGTGTTTTTTCTTAGCCTTCTCATATACATGTGTTCATATTCAGTAGAAGACTTCCAAACGCTAGTTCTTTTATTGTGATGAAGCAATGGTTTTCAGAAAAGGTCCTTGCTTTTATTTCTTTCATAACTTTGTTCTCCCACGACTGTTGATTGATATAAATGGGATGGGCAATTTTGTTTATCAAAATTGAGATGGAGAAACCAAAAAGCCAATTTGCGGAGCAAGTTCATCAGATTACCAATGTTGACACTGGCATTGAAGGTTGGCGACAATAACAGTGATTCTCCGTGCCTTTCAGATTAATTCTATTTTGATTATGGCCTCGAACAAATCAATACATGTTCCACAATCACTCTCTTTGAGAGATTTTCTGTGTTGTTTGCAAGCAAGTTTAGTTGTCAACAGCATGTAGTTTCTCATCTTTTTGTGTTGTTGTTTTGCCCGACATCGTTAAATTTTAGAACAGCCTTGCCCTTGAATTTAATAATGGTTTTGACGTATCTATGTGCAGATAGTCTAATAAGTTATTGCTTTCTTTGTTGGCCAGGAGATGGACCTTGTCCAAATGAAAAATAGGAAAAAGCAATATAGACGGAGCATGGTGATCCCGGAATCCAAGCTCTTATTTGTCATACGCATAGGAGGGTTAGTAGGCAAATTTCAATGTTGTTAATTCTGCTAAATACATTTGTTCCATTATCTATCAGGTGTAGTCCGCAGGTGTTGAGTTCATATTATCTCAGTCTCAATTTAGCATTTATAGCCATGTATAATCGCTGCTAGCCTTTCTTCATGATTTGTAAGTTTGAATTAACATTATTTTCTGCCATTCCATTTCAGGAAGAATGATCTTCATCCAAACACACGCAAGATTTTGTACGCTTTGAGATTGAGGAGAATCTTCAGTGGGGTCTTTGTTAAGTCAAGCAAAAATCTAATGGAGATTTTGAAAAAAGTAGAGCCTTACATCACATATGGGTATGGCACGCTGACCTTACATCTATTGTTTGATGTGAGATTTGTTTCATTTCGGGTTTTAGTGGATTCCAGAATTTTGCTTGATGTGTCTCGCAAAAGCGATTAAACTAGCTACCTTAGCTTTAAATGTCATTAGTATTCTTGTCAAGAGCCCCCATATTTTATCTGTACCAGTTGTTCTTCATTCCTACTTTTTCTGGAATGCAATCCTGGCTTGAACTAAGCAATCAGACTTGTCTAAAGAACTATGAAACTGTTTTGAATTTCTATTTATCTTAATATTTGATTTTAATGGTTATAATAGTGGGTAATGCTTGTGCTAAATAATTGAACAGTAATGCTTCATTCTCTATCCAAGTTATGGAGAAGGAAAGTCGTTCTGGTTGCTTTTTCTCATCCAGTGTCTATGCTTTTAGGTATCCAAACCTCAAGAGTGTGAAGGATTTGATTTACAAGAAAGGTGTTGGAAAATTTGAGAGACAGAAGGTTCCTTTAACTGACAACAACATCATTGAGCAGGTTTGATGAGATATCAGGAATTTACCTGTTTTATATGTGTGTTTGTGGATCAAAACTTTTGATAACCGTTTGAATGATCACTTGGTAGGTATTGGGGGAGCATAATATATTGTGCATTGAAGATATCGTAAATGAGATTGCGACTGTTGGTCCACAGTTTGAGAAGGTTTCCAGTTTTCTGTGTCCTTTTAATCTTGACAAGCCAGAGAAGGCACTGCAGGGTAAAAAGAAAAGGTTCACGGACGGAGGGGACTCAGGTGATCGAGGGGATCAAATCAATGAGCTGATTCTCAAATTGAATTAATTGATATATCGATTATTAGCTCTTTCGGTAGAAACCCAGATATTGAGTTGATGTGTAATGAAACCAAATTCAGTCTTTTCCAGTTTTCAGGCATTACTTATTTTATTTTATTTTTTGAAATAAAATTTATTAATTTACTAGAAACCGTTCAGGCCAGAAAAACACAACTTACAATTGACTATAATCATAGTGCTTTTGTTGTGTTTCATATGGATAAACTTATATAGATCTATCTTATCAAGCAGTGGTTGTATCATGTGCCGAAACAAAGATATAACACTAAAAATAAGTATAAGTTGAAATTTTTAAATCATAAATTTAACAACTAAATCTATAATGACTGAATCTTTTAGAGTCATACAATGATACAACACTAAAATAACTTGAAATTCTCAAATCATAGATCTAACAACTAAATCTATGATGACTGAATCTTTTAAAGCTATAGAGCGAACTCCAACGGATCCGCCATCATACCTGCAAACATTACCGACAAAAATATCGTCCTACCAGCGAATATCAACAGGGAAATCGCTACCATATCTGTGAACATTCATAAAGAAATCGCTGTCATACCTAACTAGTAGAAGAGATTAATCTCACTTATTGAAAATAAATTAAACAATAATAAAAATTGTAAGGATCAGGACAGAATTATCTCTCCATTCTTCCATGGTGGAAAGACGGGGAAAAGAGAGGCATTACTTATTTTGTAAACGTTGGCACAATACTAATTCAGCGGAACTAAAACATTGTCGCATTTTTGGTGAATTATTTGTGCTTTGATCTTCCAAACTATCTTTATTCTGTCGTGTGGGCAAAAGAAATGGGAATTGCATATAAATTTTTAAATTCCGTTTACTGATATATAAAATAATGCAAAATGTCCTAAGCCGGGAAGCATTTAACTCTAGGGCATAATTTTTATTTTTCAAGGCAAATAACAAACAATTTTGCTCATTTTCTATTCCTCGGAATGGAAAACGGCGATGACTGGTTTGCCTTGGATAAGCTGTACCACTTAGTTTTTGGGTTCTGCACTGCAATCGTCTTCACTCTCTTCGCTAACAGAACCCGTTATGCTTTTATCCGGACCCGTTCTATCTGGGTTGGATCCATACTGTCACTTCTCGCCGGCGCCGCCAAGGAAACTGCGGACGAGATGGGCTACTTCAAATCCGCCGGCGCATCGGTCAAAGATGCAGTTTTTGACCTCCTTGGTACTCTAATGGCAGCTTTAGCTCTTTCTATTTTTAGATCGTACAACATGATCCAGGTCGGAGGCGGACATGAATACGCCGGTCAAATCAAGAATGCCGTGGAGATGGTTTAAGTTGATTTGCTTCAAGCGTGCCAATTGGAGTCGCAATTATTAATGAGTTGCCGTCATCCCAAGCTTCCAACAACTAGTACCTGTCACCACCAGAAAGCCGGAAGTCATATCTGAACGCTAAAAAGTTGTCAAGTTTGGACATAACAATACTAATAATACTAACAATTTTGTCCAAGGATATTTCATTTTTGTGTTTTTGGCAAGAAAACCCAAATGTGCAAGTGCTTCTAACGATGTGGCGTAGGATACTCTGCTCCACATTGATTCTGGTTTTCGTAATTTGGTAGTATTTCAATAGACTACATCTCTGTCGTCTTTTTATTTGGCATTGTTCATCGTTAGACAATTTATGCTTGTAATTATCAACTTATCCAGTTACTTTATGGCGATTATATTAATTTCTGTCGGTCGGCCAAAGATTGCAGCAGCAATCAGCGAACGGTTGATTGATTGAGCGGCTTAGTGATTATTGAGGTGAGGACGTGAGGTCTATACGATTCCAGTGGAGTTTTTGAGCACTGATATATTCATACGCGAACCGATTTCAAAAATATTTACTCGAACTCGAAGACTTCAAGTAGTATATATGAATGAAATATGGTTAATAGAGTTGGACTCCTAGCATAGACCGAGTTGAGTATCTGGAAAATTAATTTTAAATTCAAAAAATTATATGTTTTTAAAATTAAAATTTTGTTTGTATTAAAGTATATACTCTATAATAATAATTGAATAAATAACATCTAAAAATCAAATCGAGAATTTTGGTAGAAGAATCGAAGACTCAAGTCAAGAATGCTAATTAGGGTTAAGGAGAAGAAGAATTAATTTCTGATGATTAAATCGTATTAATTGTGTAATGAACAAAGATAAAGATACGGCTTTAAATAATAAGCAGCCGCTACAATATTTACACCATTAGTCGCTATTATTTACACATCAGGTCAATTGAGTCCCTGATGACTAATTTCTAAGTCCCTAATATATAAGTATAAGGTATACATTCATTTACAACCTAAATTCTGTATAGTCCCCCCTCAAGCTAATGATTGAAGGAAATCCTTCAATCCAAGCTTGACCAATAATGCTGCAAACTAAAGATAAGGGAGAGACTTAGTGAAAAGATCAGCTAGCTGATCCTTGGATGGAGTGTAGAGCACAAGAAATCCTTGACTATAATGATGCCTCACAAAGTGGTAATCAATCTCAAGGTATTTTGTGCGCTCATAGAAAACCGAATTCTCTGTTATATAAATGGCAGAAGAATTGTCACACCAAAGAGGGATAGGCAGGGATAAAGGAACTCCAAAATCTTTCAACAAGTAGCTAATCCAACATTTCTCTAAGATTGTATTTTGAAGTTTAGCCTTCCGGGAAATCAAAAGTGACCCTAAGAAGATGTAATAACTTGACACAACTCTTCTATGCAAAGGATTAGAACCCCAATCTGCATCACTGTAAGCCTCCATTTGCAAATGATTGTCATCAGGAAAGAAAAGTCCTTGAGAAGGTGTACCTTTAAAGTATTTGAGGACATGAACCAGTGCTTCCCCATGATCTGCACAAGGATGATGAACATGTTGACCCAGTTATTGCACTGTAAAAGTGAGGCCAGGCCTTGTAATTCAAGTAAAGAAGTTGTCCCACCAGTCTTCTATAATTGGAAGCATCAGACAAAAGAAGTCCTAGATCATCAATAAACTGATGACCCTTAGGCAAGGGGGAGGGGTTGCAGTTGCCTTGCATCCTGACAAGCATGTATCTTGTAGTATATCAAGGATATATTTCTTTTGATTCAAGTACTATCCCAAATCCTTTATAGTAAACTTGTGATGAAGATAGTCCTTAACCTTCAAAATGATCCCCTCATCAGCTCCAGTAATGAGAATATCATCTACATATACTAGAAAAGCTGTGAAATGCCCTTCAATAATACCAATAAACAAGCAGGTATCATTTGCTGATTAAACAAAACCAAAAAACTATATCTAAGTGGTAAACTCCACATTCTATTGCCTTGAAGCCTGTTTAAGGCCATACAAGGAATTCTGTAGCTTGTAAACCTGACGTGATTGGGCCTTCAAGTATCCTTCTGGTGGTTTCATGTAGACTTCCTCTTCAAGGTAACCATACAGGAAGGCATTATTGACATCCAACTGATGCAATGGCTACCCTAAAGATGTTGCTATAGCTAAGAACAGTCTCACAGTAACAACCTTGGCCACTGGAAAAAAACAATCATAGTAATCCTCTCCTTCTTTCTAAGTAAACCCCTTTGCAACTAGATGAGCTTTAAATCTATCCACTGATCCATCGGAATGATGTTTAATCTTATACACCAACTTATTACCAATAGTCATTTTGCCTGGTGGTAAAGAAGTGACAGTCCAGGTGTTGTTGTGCTCCAAAGCTTCTATTTCTCCTTGGATTGCCTTAATCCATGCAGGACTTGTCTGAGCCTGAGAATAGCTTCTTGGTTTTGTGAAATTACTGATGTGTGCTAAGAAGGACACATGATCTGGAGAAAGGTTTTCGGAAATATGGTAATGACAGGTGTTGGGAGTATGTGGAGAGGAAGTAGGATGACCTGCAGGGATAAAAAATTGGCTTTGCCTGGAACATAGTCTTGCATCCATTTTGGTACCTTGGTGACATAGTATTATTCTGTGTTTTTGAAAAGGGGGCAAAATATCTGTTGTTGGTAACATGAGGATGGAAATCGCTGAATTAAGGCCGGCAGCGTCCATCTTCTGTATGACTTGCGTGCTTGAGTTTTCCACCATGTTGTATTTAGCAATCTTGAAGAGTATATTGTTAAAACATATGGCATTTCAAAGTTATTTCTCATTCTCTATCAACATCAGTAGTTCAGAGAAATGCATTTCCTGAAACTAGTTGATGCTAGTTCGTGAACACCAATCAGATTGACCATAGCTAACTATTGCTTTGGTTATTTGGTACTTCATTGCGTAGTTCTTTTGTGCTGATATAGTTGCTAGAGAACCCATCTACTTTCCTCAATCCGTTACTTGCATTTCTTTCCCTGGATCCAGCTCTTTGTTCTTGATAGGCGAGATGGGGTGCTCGAGTTTGCAGAATGGAACAAATGAAGGTATACTGCAATGTTGCTGGAACATAGGTAATTGAGGCTTGTCGAGGTAATGTTGTCGCCTCTTTTACTTGTTCTTCTCTTATCTCTATAACTTTGTGGATTTTCAGCAACTTCTCTTTTTTGTATGAATTTCCATTTGTTGTTGCTAATACGGTATATTGATGGGCAATTTTATTGTTTTTCTGACGGGGGTTCTGCTTTTTTTGGTGATTGAAACTATTTCAAGTCATCTTGTTGAAGAATGATTTTTCTGCTACTATTCCAGTATTTGATTGTATGATTGATGGACACTGAGGATTTAATGGGGGTGGAGATTTTTTGTTGTTGTTATTTCCTGTGTTTTTGTGTGTTAGAGGTTGTGGAAGACATTCTGGTTTTGCCTTCTACTTAAATGTTTTTCTTCATCCAAACTGTATTGATGAAATTCCTGGTTTTGGGGTTATCCTATAGATTTTCTATATTTTCCTACTTAAACAAAGTTGGTCATCTATAACTATCCCCAAGAGTGAGCTAATTTGTTAAATACAGCAGCTACCAAGTATTGCAACTGTAAATTTGGGACTGGAGATCTGGTTTTGTTCTTGAACCATGTTCTTGATCTTGACTGTTCTTCTCTGTGTCGTGCCGCCTTTATATTGTTTTAAATTCAGTTTGGCATATACTTGAGCGGTCAATAGCTGTGACAAATTTTCTGTTTCTGGTACCTAACAGAGAAAAAGACTAGGGACAGGTTTAGAAAACATGCATTTCTTTCTTTTGAGGCTGAAATTCAAGTCTGACAAATTTTCTATTCTTTCCTACTTCAACAGAGTTGATCATCTATGACTATCCCTATCAAGTAATGTAATTGTAAATGTGGGACTGGTGATCTGGTTTTGTTCTTGAACCATGTTCCTGATCTTGACTGTTCATCTCTCTGTGTATTGCCGTCTTTATATTGTTCTAAATTCAGTTTGGTATATAGTTTATTGGTCATAGCTCTGATAAATTTTCTGTTTCTGGTACCTAACAGAACAGAAGAGTAGGGATAGGTTTGGAAAACATGCAATCTTTCTTTTGAGGCTGAAATTCAAGTCTTACAAATTGGATTATGGACTTTCATTAATATGGATTATGGAAGGATGGTATTAGTTACTTTTTTTCCCCTTGTGGTTTCAGCTACCTGTTTCCATTGTCCTTTGGGAATATAAAGGGAATGCCGCTACGCATAACTGAGTGTCATGGTATAGTCGCATATATTACAAATGTTCCTCCTTCTTTGAGGGTTCTTTTGAGCAAATTCAAACTAGTTTCTAAGTTTCAACTAATTTGGCAAGGTCCAAATGTCAAAGCTTCAATCTTTCTTGCTCAAGACACCTACTTCAACAGTATTCTTTCATGAAATTTTGACCCCGTTTTGAAGTGTGATTGTACCTTTAATGATTTGAAGTGTGATTTACACTCCTTTAATGTGTTCGAACTTTATGTCATAGCCGGTTTTTGGTTTGGTTTCTACAATAGCCCTGTAGCAGTACATGCCTTCAAGGCACTTTTTGTGTTGCAATGATGCTCCGGGCAATTTGTTATCTGGTTTTCTATTTCCCAATCGCCACATATCAAATTTTATATATTCTTTTCTATTTAGGCTGCTTGTGGTTCGTTGCGACGTAGTAGCTGAGCATGTTAAGTGTTCACTGAATCTGCTCATCTGGTTTTGTCCCTTGTTGAACAGCTAAGGAAGACTTAATCGAGTATGGCATTGTTGATGTCGTTATTAGTGAAGAAAATACAAATAAATTAAGTCAAACTTATCCTTTTTCTAAGTCAAACCTATCATTTTAATCCGAAATTCTTTGGAATTTGTATCAGATTTTTTCTTGTCGTAAATTTTGATGAATTGTTTAGAAGCGTTTTTTATAGGACTACAACTGAGTGATATTTTCGGATCAATAAGATTAGTGGAAAGGATTAGCCTTTTGAAACTGTTTGTGATTGGTGTCCATTTAGTAAGTGAATTTGATTATCAAAATCCCTATGTTAGATCATCTATATATAGATATTTGTTTTGATATTTGGAGCATCAATAACTTTAGGTGGTAAATGTGGTTGAAGGTGTCATAGACATCCATGGATAATAAACTATTTCAGCACCTCTTGTTCATTGGCCAAGGAATTGTCATCTAGTGTGTGGAATTAGATGCTGGTAAAGTGGTAAAGAATGTCCACAGTCATTGCACCAGATGGCGAGGGCTATTCTTCATTTGGTGGCAGAATAAAAAGAAACAAGGGCTACTAGTTGCATATCAGCAGATATCTGCCATATTTGGCTAAACAGAAATGTCAATATCTTTGAAAACAGGACGAAAAATCGTAAAAGAGGTATTTAGAGAGATCCAATTAGTGGCTAAGAATACAGATGAGCATTTTTGATTTGTGGTTTCTTGTGTCAAAAGGGTGTAATGGGTGGTGACATTGAGATGTGTTTGTTCTTACAATACAAAGGTTCTCATTTACCCCAAAAAAAGAAGAAGATACATTTCTATATTCTATAGAACAATTATTCGTGGTTGTCACTCATTCTCCAATGGTGAATCCTGATCTTCACTTCGAATCATTCACTTCTCCTTCGCTTTAGTGCTGTTCTTGGTCTCTAGCGGATGAACTTGACCCAGCAGTGCATGGATTTCCAAACCAGTCTAACTCAATGTTTTGTACTTTACTTCGCTCAACCCAACAGCACTCGAGTTGCTCTGGCGTGTTATCAAGTCTTGAACTCACGAAGTCTTGGCCAAAAGTTCGAAACTTCTCATCTTTCATGGCATAAAATACCCCATAATTTCCATGAAATCTTGGAAAGTATATTTTATTCTTCATATAATCTCTTGCACTTTTTTGCGAATGATGTTGGCTCACTCAAAAACAGCATGTATTGCCCCAAATCCTCCGCGTCTTGCCAGTCATTAGTCGAATGATCCTACCTATATACAGAAAGATAATATCCCATTATGAACACGGACATAATGTCGCCTTCAAAATCTATTATGTAACTCCCGTATGATGCGTCAGCTCCTATTCTGAATGAGGGTTCTAAAACTGACCAGCTTTTGTCAATTGGATCAAAAACACCCAACTCGCTGTTTCTAGCCAAACAGTAAAACTTTTCATTGTGAAAAACTGTGTTACAAAGAGGAGGATAGATGGGTGGATTTATGGGGTCGAATATATTGTCACACCATTCTTCTCCATGAGAAATTGTCAACACTTGAAACTTTTCATCATAAACTGAGCGGATCACAAAAACCGTGCAATCAATCGAAGTTGGAGTAGATGTAAATGTAGCACATTTGATATGGTGGTTGAAGTAGATATGTGGCAAGTCAAGCAATTTTATTTTGGACTTGGAAATGGATTGAAGAGAAATATTTCATGAAGTCCTCTGATCATGAGTAGCCAGCCATCCTTACAGAAGAGGATGGCCAGCCATCCTTACAGAAGAGGATGGATGCACCTCGCAACTCAAGAGTATCGACGGAATGTGAATCACCTGAAATTGGGTGAAACAATTTGATGGTAGATCTCTCAGACCTTTTTTCCATGAGAAACTGTGAACCAAACTCGAGATGATCATCCTTTGCATTACCAACTGATCACCATATTTTACACACCCCGTGGAAGGCCTTGATATCGTTGATCAACTCTAAAAGCTCTTCCGGCAAACGAGACCAATCTCCCCCCTTTTAGGGTTTCATGTGTTGTCATCTTTTATGGCAAAGACAAAAAATAACGAAGGGAAGAAATAAAAATAAAGATGATATGTTTCGTCTCGTCTCACTTGTAATAACGATGGAAACCAAGAACTTAATAAATATTTATAAAGCCACGAATTTTCTTTTACGTAATAATGTTTCCTTAAAGGATTCGAAGATGAAACCAATTCAATCTCAGAATATGAATTGATTTGTGGCCTCTATATATAAGAAAATAAAGTAACATTACCTAATTAACTTCCAGGCATTAATCAATCAGTCAAAAAAATTCAAGCCAGCCAATCAATGTCGACGAGGAGGAGCAAAAAGTGTTCGCGCAAACCACCAAGTCCACAACCATATCCGTGGTTGATGCTGACCCATGGAAAATCATCAAGGGTGTCCTCTTTCTATAGTATTCAAGAGAAACGTCACTACGTCACAAAAATCCCTGATGTTTCCAACAAAAGCCTCCGCACCAGCTGTCAAGGTTGGGTCGTAGTGACCGATTTCAAAACCAACGAAATTCTTCTAGTTCATTTGTCTTCATTGGAGCGAATCAAGCTACCACACTTAGTCGATTCAAGCAACTATATTCATGGATCTTGTATTTTGACAACACCACCTAATGCCTCAAATTCTATGGTTGGGCTTTTCGCAAACGACAGACCTAGTGCCATGATTTGGCATCTAGGTCAAGAAAAATGGATAGAGCAAGAATATGGACCAGATAGACTTGAAAGCCTCATTGTTTGCGAGGGGAAAATTTATGGTCAAGCTGTTGATTTACCATGGTTTGACGTGTATGAGTTTGTTGGTGAAAATTTAGTAACTAGAAGACTAGTAACACTGCCTAGGGGTCTAGATCACGGAGTTCCTTGCTCATGTGATTATTTGGTTAGATCCGGTGGTGACATTTTTGTGGTGCAGTCCAACCCAATGGGTGAAGCAACCAAGAGAATTAGATACATACATGTTTACAAGTTTAATAAGACAAATTCCAAGTGGATTAGGGTGGAAAGTATCGGAGATCGCTCCTTCTTCATCAATACCAAGTCTCCTTCTTCATCAATACCAAGTCACACACCATTTCTTGCTCCACCTCAAACTCCGATCTCAAAGGGAACTGTATCTATTACACTAAGGGTAAACAAGATTGGAGCTTGTACACCTACGACATGGAATCAAATCACATTCACCCCTCGTATCTTGCCCAAATGCAGTCAACAATCGATCACCAGCTCATTTCGTCATGATAGTTTAGTTAGTAGTTAAACATATAATTTGAGGATGATCCAGATGTAAAACTATGTTACTAGACTCACACTTTTATGATTCGTGCAACTGGCTAAATCTGTATAGAATATTACTCCATCTAGCTTCCTAGCTATATTGAAGTTCGATTCTTACACAATCTTCTCTCTCTTTTCCTTCAAAAGTAAAACAACTTGTTAAAAAGGTGTGGAAGTGTGTGGTTTTATGGGTGGAGTTCCAATTGTGTCCTTGGGAAATGGCAGTAATTGGTAGTTTCGTGGTTGTGATCAAGTGTGAATTTGGAGAAGAAGGAGATAGGTAGGAGAAGAAGGGATCAGGGATAAAATTGTCCAAAACGAATTATAAGTGAATAATTTGTGAACTGCGAAAAGTAATTCAGTTGAGGAATTTGTTTGCTAAAAAAAAGAAAAAAAATACATGTTATAAAATAAGGAAAAAAAATAAAAAGAATAGAGTCATCTATGATCTCATCAATATTAGAAAGCATATCAAAGTCGGGCCATACACTATCCCAATTACTGGGCTGAAAAAGCCGACTGAAACTGGGTTAAGCCCGAGACGATTCAAAGTCCAACAGGCCAGTATATTCGGAAAGGGGCAAATTGGTAAAAAAGAACGAGGTATACTAGGGTTTCTCCACCTTATATTTGTTGCCCGCCCTAAAACCTTCAGTCACTCCCATCTGTAAAAGAGATTCGAGCTATTTCTGCCGCCGTGCCTAACAGAGAAATTTGGAGCTTTTTTGATCAGCGAGCAAGAAGGTGAGCGAAAAAATGGCGACCAATTCCGCACCCAAACCGCTTTCGACCAGGCAGGCCGATATCCAGATGATGTTGGCCGCCGAAGTCCATCTGGGCACTAAAAACTGTGACTACCAAATGGAACGTTACGTCTTCAAGCGCCGGAATGACGGTCTGCATCCCCACTTTTCGATTTCTTTTCCTCTTTTTCTTTTTCGCTTGTTAAGGATCTTATTGTTTTTTGTTACTGAATGTTAGATATGTATCTGTATTTGTTTGATTTTGATGAATACTTGTTAGAATTTGTGAATTTTGATTTGCAAATGGAGAAAAAGGTTATTACTTTTTAGGTTTCTATGGTAGTCTTCATGTTGTCCGGGTTTTGATTTGTTTGAATGTTTCTTTGGCCTCTTCTTCGGAGGCTGTCGACCATATGTACTTAGACTATGTCTTTTCAGTTTCTTAGCCTCTAGTTGATTTGGTGTGGAAGTATTGGGTAGGAAATCTGGGGGTTTGATTGTGTAATTTTCTTTTATGCAGTGCGGATTTGTGATGTATGATGTAATCTTATGATGTTGCTTCTCGTTTTTTTTTTTTGGCCTTAGGAATTCACATCATTAACCTTGCCAAGACATGGGAGAAGCTCCAAATGGCTGCAAGGGCTATTGTTGCTATTGAGAACCCTCAGGACATCATTGTCCAATCTGCTAGGCCATATGGTCAGAGAGCTGTGTTGAAGTTTGCGCAGTACACTGGTGCTCATGCTATTGCCGGTAGACACACTCCTGGTACCTTCACCAATCAGCTTCAGACTTCATTCAGCGAGCCTCGTCTCCTCATCCTCACTGACCCAAGGACTGATCACCAGGTCTGTTCTTATGCTTCACTTATGTCTGGTGTCTTGGCTTCTAACCTTACTTATCTGTTTGGCGATTGTGATTCTGAAACTTGATTTCAATTGGTTGCAGCCTATTAAGGAAGCTGCTCTGGGAAACATCCCCACCATCGCATTTTGCGATACTGATTCTCCTATGCGCTATGTTGATATTGGTATCCCTGCAAATAACAAGGGGAAGCACAGTATTGGATGTCTCTTTTGGCTCCTGGCAAGGATGGTGCTGCAAATGCGTGGTGTGATCCCTCAGGGCCACAAGTGGGATGTGATGGTAAGTTTGTTTACCAATTTCATCTAAATTCCTTCAAGTTTGAATCAGGATTTGGATGCTCTATTTTCGTTCATGAATTTGGGATTTCGGCTGTTTTTTTTGGGGGGGGGGGTTAATTTTTGTACAGTTTTGCTTGCAAATTCACGAGTGTTTGTTTGTTTATTTTGATTCCAGGTATGGTCCACTGATAGGTTTATTGTCATTTTTGCAGGTCGACCTGTTCTTCTACAGGGAGCCTGAGGAGGCTAAAGAACCACAAGAAGAAGAGCAACCTGCTGGCCAAGATTATGATTATAGTGCTGGTGCTCTCGGAGGTGCGGGAGACTGGGGTACCTCAGCTGCTATCCCTGACGCAGACTGGCCTGCTGCTGTTCCACCTGCTATTCCTGCTGCTCCTGGCTGGGATGCTGGTTAGTTTTCTCATTAGATACTTGTGGTTATTGCAAATTTGTGTGCACGAACCATTGAGTTTCTCATGCTGTAGTGTATTGAATTGTGATAGGTGATAGTTAATTATCTATGTTACTATGAGCTGCCTATGTCAGTATAGATGTGAACTGCAAATTGTTCCAAGTGCTTTTGTATATTGTAAACGTAAATATCTTGATATGGTGTTCTCATTTGCTCATTTGCAGCGCCAGTTACAAATGACGGTTGGGAGCAAGCTGCTGCTCCACAAATGATGGTTACCGCCCCTGATGTATCACCTGCTCCTGGCTGGGAATAGAAGATGTTAGAGAAATTATTTACATTTAAGTCTTGCAAAGTTTGAACATCTATAGCTTATTTTCTTGAACATGGCTCAGTTATTTTTGTAGTGGTCTAATTTGAAGAGTTTTTGCTGATAGTCTTAAACTGAGTTAAGAGTTGTCTGGAATCTTTGATGATGTTATCTTAAAATGTTTAAATTAATTTGCTTTATTGGTGCTTCATTTTATAGTTTTTGCTTTCCAGTTTTATTTGATAGCCAGTTGGATGCGAAACTTGGGACTTGTGATATGGTTTCTCGGCTAGAATGAGAAGCTTTATCAACGTCCATGTCCATCCAAGTTTTGATTGGTGCTGTTTGAGATGATTGTATTCTTCGTTGGTACTACCCAAGCCGTAGTATTTCATACTGATTAGGTTAAGGGGTTAAGGACACTGGGGATCAATGAGTTTTATTCTGGTATTTTGAAATGAAATTCTTTCTCACAATTGTTGAAGCCACCAATTGTTTACCCTTTTTTCTTCCATTTTGAAGGACTAATAACTGCTTGAATGTAGATAAGTACTTGGCCTCGGATGTGTGCAAACTTGGTTCATAAACTTCCGAGGCTGGGCTATTCTTATTTCAACTTGAAATTCCATTCCCTCTTTAACACCAGTAGATCAAAGATAAGATAATATTTTCTCTCACATTAGCTGTGGATTGATGGTTTGCAGAATTATGATAGTGAAATAGAAACATCTTTTCAGAGATGAAAGTACAACGAAGCAGCTAGTGTTCTACAGAGTTTTCCATTGCAGAAGTAAAGTATCGTCCATTTTGCCATATGCCAAACATATTTCAATAGAAAATACACGCACGAAAAGTCGAAAACTGAGAACCATATCACAGGATTAGATTCGGCCTGTGCAAAACTCCTACTGACTATACAAACTTATCTCAAAATTTGCAAACATCCCCTTTTACATCCAAGCCCTTTTCACGCGCAAAGCTAAAAGTTCTCTGCTCTGCACTTGCAAGTTTCATCTTCTGAAGCTGGGTGCAGCAGAGGGCTTATTCAGGTCACCGTCGGCATCATCTCCGGGAAGTTTTACCGCAGAATAAACACCTGCCCCGGCTAAAGCTCCCATTATGGGTGCGGTTAAGTAAATCCAAATGCCTTTGAAGTTGTTTGCTGCAATTGCCGGTCCAAGGGTTCTTACTGGATTCATGGATGCTCCTGTTGATTCCCTGTTTTTAGAACAGTGAAAAATCATTACAATGTTTGTACCTTTCAATTCATCAGTCAGATTTTTGATTGATTTCTTGTTTTCATAGGACCCCCATCAATCAAAGCTAATAATGCTGTGAGATATGACAATGGTTGACTCAATAGTACTGATCATTCTAAATCACTCATAGTGTTTCTATTTTCATTTATGCATGCATTTTTTTGTCACTGATCAACTTTTGAGTTGTCAAATTATTAAAAATTTCTTCTTTTCCTTTTTTAGGAAAAAGAACAATTCCTACCTCTCACGTTCATGTTTGCCACGACGCCGGTAGAATTTTATTTTCTATTTTCTCACTTGTTTTCTTAAAGTGAAATTACTTTAATTGCATGTGTCCTGCAGTTTACACCCTACATCCCATCCGAGTTTAATAGTTCACCAACATCAATTTCCCTTTGTTTTTAGCCCCTGCGGAGTTCAACCGCTGGGGTCCGTCATGACAGAATACCATACTGGACTGCCACCATAATGATTCCCTTAAGGAGTATGAATCAATTTTGCAACTTTTTCCAATGAGCTTCAAGAGTTCAGACCCAAGAATTAAGAAGTGAAAAAGAGTTTAGATTTAACAATTACCCTGCAATGAGTATATTGAGCATGACAGTAGCTCCAACCGCGATTCCTGCAAGCTCCCCAACCTGTACAGTGACCCAAAAAAAAAAAAAAAAACTCACGATCCAACGTCTGAATTAAAGCCATGCATCATGTTAAAAGATTCTACAAGCTCCCATATAGTAGTTTTCCATTTTGGTGGCTCAATGGCGCATGTTCTTAATTATAGCAATAGAAATGAAACAAGCTAGAAAAGATCTTGAACTCCTGAATAATTTCATGTGATCCATGATACTATTATATTGGTGAAAAGCTGAAAATGAACATGTAGCTTCCATATATTTATAATTGACTCCTGTCTTTTCTGCTTTGGAGCAATAAATTATACTAAGTAAGTGGTGTTACTTACAGCTCTGGTGTCAGTGGCAACTGCAGTAACAACAAACATGAGGTTGAAGCTAATCATGAACTCTAAAGCAAAAGCTTGGCCATATGCTCCTGAAGGAACGGTCACCCCCCCACCCATAATAGGGTGAAATATTGCCTTTAGTAGAAATGCAGCTGATATTGATGCCAATATCTGTGCTGCTATATATGCTGGAATCTGAATGCAAAAAATTGAAAAGTAAAAACAAAGATATGAATCACTGTAAAAAAAAAATGTGGCTTTGATAAATGGTGTAATTTTTAACCAATCAATGTTAAATTGGTTGGTTACATGTTTCCAGGGGAAATGCTTGAGAGCAGCAAATGCAATGGTGACTGCTGGATTGAGATGGGCTCCTGAAATATGACCAGTGGCTAAAATAACAATCATAACTGCAAGACCAGTGGATCCAGCCAATCCAATCAGTGTTTCTGCACCACCTGTCTTTTGATTCACAATTGCAGTGGCTGTCCCTGAAAATATCAGTATCAAAGTGCCTATAAACTCTGCTCCAACCTGAACTCCCCCAAAAAAAAACCAACAACAGAATCCATGATGTCAATACAGGAAAAAGTTTGGAATTCAGGAAAGAGTTGAGTGAATGTAATAGATTTGATTGAAAGTTCGAAACTTTGCCTTTCTTGAGAGTGAGACAGGAGGAGGAGGTAAGGAACAAGAGACAGGTGGCAATGTCCCTTCTTCCAAAGCCCATGCTTCTTCAACACTGAAGCATTTGCAGCTTTTGAGAAGGGATGATGATGATTTCTTGCCATTGCCATTTCTATCAGGCTTCAACCCAGCAAAAAGAGGACCACCAGGAGTTCCAGGGGTCACTGGAGTTGAAGGGGTTGAAGGGATATCTTCAGAATTCATGATCCAAAATGGTAATGCAATGAGGAAATAACAGAGGACCAAAAAGAAGCTTATTTGTACGTAGCACAGTTAAGCTGCTAATACTATTTGGTGCTTCTGAGACCGAGATTTCATTCCCATGGATTTGATTTTATAATGGGTGCAAAATATAGTTGACTATAGGAATCCCAATGAATAAAGAAAGCCACAAATTGAAGTTAGTGGAGGATGTTTAAGGGGGGGAGAAAGAATTAAAGTGGCTTTGGAAGTGGACGGTGGGACAAATCAGATTCAGAAACCTTCCCTTCATTTGTAGCTGAAAGAAGCAAATAATTAAAACCAAAAAAAGAGGGCCAAAAAAGCATAGAACTTGAGACATTTGTCATGGCTGTACTGTCCCTTCCACTTATATCTGCTGCAGCATTCTCTCAATTGATTCACTGAACTCAATTATTGTGAAGACCAGTGTCAAAGGTAATGCCTGTGGTTATCAACGTTTTAGAAAGTTTAACAAGGAAGGAATGATTGAGACTTGAGAGAAAGAGAAGAAACATAGAGCAGGTGACATGCTTCAGCAGCACTGTTATTTACCTATTTTCCTTCCTTTATGATGGAATCATCCATGTTACAAAAGTAAACCGCTTTATTTTTTTGCATTCTTCTCATCTTTGATTACAAAAAGGCGGTAAGAAAGGAGATCAAATAGAGAAATACTTACAGAGGTGTAAAATTTGCTTATTTTTCTCATCTTGGAGGGTCATTTTATACACTCATTATTGACCATGATGACCAGTTTTAAGAACTGTTATTATGTAGCTGATCACTATTACTATTTGAGCTCCATTTTCCCCAATCAAACTTGACAAGTACAGCTAAAGAAAGCTATCATCATATGTAGATATTCTAGGTAGCCATTCTAGTGATTATACTAATTCAAATCCTTTGTGACTTTTGTTAGGTGTCTTCTTCGAGTATTTCAGTGCATGGACCAATTTAATTATGATCCGACTCGAAACATAGCAATATAATGAATTATGAAGATAATGTATGTGTATGTCATGCGGGTTCGATTCAACAAATCCATCGATTCCGTTTTGGAAGTATATTCTCTATTTTGAATTGTGACCTTCATCATCAAATTTATTTTAGGTGCAATCAACTCAGGAGAGAAGAGATGTATGCAGATGACATTACTATTTGAGGAATCTTGGCGTACGTTTTGATCAACACATTTTCTTGTGATTGCGAAGCTTATGGCCAATATTACTGAACAAGTATAATCAAAAGAAAGAAAACCCACGAATTATCTGCATCAGAAAGTTGACAAACTTTTTTATTCCTTCTTTAGCTTCTTCCGGTGGAGAATTGCAGTTCAGAAAGGTAGATAAAATGCCCCTATTAAGACTATATAGTATAGTCTAGTAGGTCTGGAACCTTGTTCTTTCACCTTTTAATTTTTTTGTTTTTTTTGTTTTTTGGTTAAGTACTAGTTCCTAACGTTCTTCTTTCTTAGTACAACTTTTACTTATACTCCCATTTTTCAAGGTTTTTCTTAGTAATTTAACATTATATTGTACGTGTACAAAAGGACGGTATCAAAACTTAAAAAAAATAAAATAAAATTTTGATGGTAGCAAAATGAAATTAACACAAGTAGGGCATTTTTTGTTTTGCTTCCTATGACCGATGGTTGGCAGAGAAACGTTGTTCTATTCTGAAGTCATATATCATATCATTGTACAAACATTTTTGTGTATTGTTATTTTTAAACATTTTTTTTGTCTTTTTCTGAGAGGAAAATATCACATCTGTGCGATGCATTGCATTATTTTCATTTATTTGGATAAATCATTTATTTATTTATTTATTTATTTTCAATTTAGGCAAGGACAATTCCACCTTTTTGTCTTATCAAAATTGTCATCCTGTTTGGCCGGTTCCCATCCTATGTCAATATGATCCAACCATTGTTTTGATACAAAAGAACTAGTTACCCGTGAAGATGAATAATTCATTAAAAAAAAAAAGTATGCACCATATTAGAAAAATGAAGAGAAGGCCGGGCCTCAAATGATCTAAAATTGTACTCTTTTCCTCCGCTCCTTATTATATATTTTGATTTGTCTTAAATTTAATTTTATATATTTTTTAATTGAAAATAAAACTTTAAATATAAATTTATTATTGTGATCGTCTAATTATCCAATTAACAAAAAATATTTTTAAGATTTCATGTTCAGTTTGCAAAATTCAGATGAGATTATGAATTGGTACATGAGTTTTTTTTAGGAATTTTAAAACTTGATTGATGGTTGGAAGTTTTTCCTCTAATCAATGCCAAAAACAAATAATAAAAAATCATTTGAAAAGCAAGGCAAAGAAAACCCTCTTCCACGTATAAAATATCCCCCGATTAAAGAGGGAACGCAAAACCTTACCAGAAAGAAGTACATGTATACGTACATTAGGAATGCCGATGTCTAGAAATCTATCACACATTAGTTTTTGCATCGAGGTTTTAGTTGACCTTAGTTGATAATAAAGTAGACGTGCGATATATACAATATCTTTTATTTTTTACTTTTAGATTGTGTATTAAAGATTGTGTCATTCCAACTCCTCATCCTAAGTTTTTTTTTTTTTTGTGAGGAAATAATTTTAAGTTTCATTCTTTTTTATAGTATTTTATCATATTGTGTAAAACAAAATATAAAATGGTAGAACAATTCAATACATAGAGTTCCTCTATCGATTCATATTGTTAAAATCATTTAACTGGAACAAAAAATCTATTTAATTTTAATCTAATATATAGTATTGATCCTAATATTCGATAAGTAAATTGTCCAAAAATAAATAAATAAATAAATAATCAACATATAGTTTTCAGATCGTAATAAAAATATTACAAATATATAAATTCAAAGTGAACTAACTCTTTTTTCTTTTTTAATATAAAGAGTAATTTTCTAGTTCTGCAGAATGAATTTCTTTTATTTCAGAATGAAGGGAGTATTTTATCATCTTCGTCAATGTATATTTGGAAATTTAATCAATTCATCAAGTCTTCCATGTAAGAATCAACAAAAGTGGCCTTTGAAAAGCCTATTCCGGTTTAATGGCCCCAAATTAGTCGGCTTTTTTACATTATTTAATTAGTATGTTTTTCTCCTGATTATTTTTTCTTCTTGTTGAGAAATCTCTGCCAGATCTTTTTTTATTTTTATATTTTTTATTTTTTGTTGTTGATATTCTGATCATTTTTGTCTCTCTGTTTGATTTATGGTAGTTTACATGGTTACTTATAAATTTTCATTTATATATGTGAAATTTGTAAATGACTCGAAATAAATGCTTGTTGATCAGAAACACTGCACTCTCAAATGGAATCTGAGGTGCAGAGACAAGATGATGAGAATGACAAAATGTTGAAGCTTGTTCAACAACAAAAGGTGAATGACATAAAGAGAAAAAAGCAAACATGGTTATACTGTCCTATGTGATCTGTTCATTTTAACTATCTGACTTTTGGATATATATATATATATATATATATATATATATATATAATACTTCTGATTAATTTGCAGAGGGACAAGGAGGAGGCAACAGGAGATTCAAGAGCTTGAGGCAAAAGTGAAGGCTATGGAGCATGTGGGAGATGATGCTTCTGTTCATAAACAATTCCTAGATATGTATGTGCAGCTGAAGGAGAAGATTGAGGACATCCTATCCACCGAGGAAGTATGTGCAATTTTGGTCGCTAGAGACCGGAAAACCAGTGATGAGCTTCAAAACGCTCGGAGAGAGCTGATTTTGGTATGAGTTTTTAAAACGTTCATTCTGTCAAATCATACATAATGTCGTTTTTTTTACACTGATGACGGAAAGAAGTATCTGATAAGCTCCCATTGTTGGTTCCAATTGATATTGGGACATGCTTAGAAGTAAGTATTGCTGTCTTATCTTGTGGGGGGACTTACCGTTCCTTTTGCTGAAAACCTTATTGTAGGTAGGGTGTTTCCTGAGATATTGGTTTTTTTGAGTCCTTATATGGATTTCTAGGTATCACCATTCTGTTGTTTCTGCATACTGAATGCAATCTTTATTTTCAGAGCTTTTGTAAGATGGGCGAACGTAATCGTGGTCGTATTGGGATTAAAAGAATGGGTGAACTTGATCCAGAAATTTTCGAAGAACAATGCAAGCTGAAATTCCCTGATGACTATGAAGTTGCGCCGCCTGGGGGACGATAGGTTGAGCAATGTTTCTTGGCATCCTTTTTAAAGTTATCAGGACTAGCGATCTGAATGTTATGGTATGCACTAGTTCATCAGTCTTCCTAGACCTTTTCTTCAGAGGAATAACTCTTACAGGAGAGACAGTTTAGTAAACACTCAAAAAGTTAAAATGTGTTTGTATTTTGTTTCTTATTTTCAGCAAGAAATAAATGAGGATGCTGAGGGAACTGAAGCTAGAATGGGGGGATTATGCCTACACAGCTGTAACAAGAGCTTTGAAAGAGAGGAGTGAATACCATCCTACTAACAGGAATCCGGTTGCGGAACTCTGAGGGAAGCTCGCAGGGCTACTTTGAAGGAGGGAATCCGTTTCTTCAATAGATGCAGTATGAATGTGTGAAACTTCAATACTTACTTTAATAAGTAATACATATAAGCAACGTTGACGTCTCAGGTCGTTGTTTGACTTCACGACTTGAGTTTTGGGCTTTGAACTTGAACAGTGGTTTACAGCTAATGCGTAAAGTCCACAGCTAAATTGGGCTTTTAGGAAAAATAATCCAAACTTTTAGTCCAGCATTTACGATAACGGTCAACATTACGATTACCAGAACATGGTTTGCATTTGTCACCAGTCCGAATCCCAGCAGTGGGTCCCACCCACATTTGAAGAGTGTGAAAGTCCAGTGGAGTGGAGTCAACAAAACCTGAGAAGCAGACGACAATGTACTACTACTAAATTAAAGCTTTCATCAGAGTCAGAGTCTTTTTTTTTTGTGATTAATCACACTGACTACTCAGTTTATCAAAGGACCATCATCAATTCCAGTTTTGGTTTCCCAAATTTTTCCAACTCCGATTATCGACGATAAACCTCGTCCTGTTCGCTGTGGGTTTCCGGCGGTAGCATATCTCCTAACGCCTGACCTTGCCAACCCTGTTCTTTGTTTGTTTTTGAGGTTAGGGCTTTACTTTGAATTCTCTCCCTCTTTTACCGGAATTGGTTTTATGTTTGTGGGTTTTTTTTTTTTTTTGTTTTTGTTTTTTGGTGTTTATGAAATGTATAAACATCCTCTGCGGATTTAATTTTGAAATGCTTGTGAAAATTGGGAGAAAGGCTAGGGTTTTGTTTGCTGTAATGCGGTTTAATCGGAAGGGGTTTTGTAATTTGCATGTGGGTTAGTCGGTTTTACATAGAACCTAAAGTATGTTTATCTTATCTTTCTGTCTCTATTTTAGGTTTCCAGTTGGCGGATTTTTTTTTTTTTTTTTTTGGGGGTGGGTGGGTCTATTGCTGACATGCTTGCTTGCATTTTATTCATTTTTGGAGGAGTAAATATGGTGTAGAGTCACTTTTGATTTGGAGGAAATAAAGAACCTGGTTGTTCATTCTTTGTTTTGTTTCTGGAATTAATTTCAGTGTCCGTGGTTTTACATGAGGATCATAATGAGATATTCTTAGGTTACAAAAGAACTTTGAATTGGGTATCTTATCCTACTTTTGAGTAGATCACTGTCTAGTCCAATGCATGTACACTTACTATATTTTGGTATTGTTTTTGGGTCTTGGATCAAGGGCAATCAGCCTAAGATTGGCCTTCATAACTTACCCAATCCTATTAGATTATGTGACCAGAAAATCTCAGTAGATTGTGAGCTTCTTTGTTGTTCTTCTGCTGTTGAGCATTGCTAGTTATACCGGATGAGTCATGTCAGCCTTTTACCATTCAGATAATGTCGATTACCCTGTTTTTCACTTGTTGATGGTCTGTCATTATTGAAATATCTCTAGAAAATGGGTAGCAGCAGCTCAGAGGAAGAGTCTGATTTCAGTGACTCTGAGATTAGTGACTACAAAGAGAAGCCTTTGGAGGAACTGAAGGCTGGAAAATATAAAGTGCTTGGACCCAATGGAACACTTCGCTGCCCTTTCTGTGCTGGGAAGAAGAAGCAGGATTACAAGTACAAGGAGCTCTTTGCACATGCTACTGGAGTGAGCAAAGGTTCAGCCAGCAGGAGTGGAAAACAGAAGGCGAACCATTTGGCGTTAGCAGAATATATGCAAACTGAACTTGCCAATATGGCTGAGCCACAACCGCAGCGCGTGACTGCACCCGTAGCTGTTATTAAATCCGAGCAGAATGAGTTGTATTGTTCGCCATGGACAGGAGTTGTAGTTAACATCCTTAGTGAGCCAGAGAGTGGAAAACCTGTGGATAGTTCCTCATACTGGTTGAACAGATTTTCTAAATTTAAGCCTTTGGAGGTGAAACTATTCTGGGATGAGCAGCATCGGACTGCCCAAGCCGTGGTAAAATTTGAGAAAGATTGGACTGGCTTCAAAAAGGCTATGGAGTTTGACAAGTTCTTTGTAGCTGATCGCCATAGCAGGAATGAATGGAGTTCTCAGAAGACTTGCTTGGGTCCAGATATTTATGGATGGCTTGCGCGTGATGTTGATTACTCGTCAGAAGGAACCATTGGAGAGTACCTTCGTTCGACTGGCGAGCTGAAAACCATTGGTGACCTTGTTGAGGAGGCCTCTAAAGGACGAAATGAGAAGGTGGCTGTTCTGTCCAGTGAAATTGACCTGAAAAATGAAGACTTGAACCAGCTAAGGGCGCGTTATACTCAGACGACCATGTCTGTTACTAGAATGCTGCAGGAAAAGGATGACCTGCATCGTGCTTTTGCTGAAGGTTTTACTTTCTTTCTCATTCTCGTTCACCACTTTCTTTATGGTACTTGCTGTTTGGAAGTTAACATACAAGCTTCTTGTCCTGCGTCATAATATCTCTGTTTGTTTTAAGTAAATGATGGACACAATTTTGGATTCTGAATTTGACATTTGATCTTTCCAGAATCTAGAAAGATGCAACGAACTGCGAGAGAGAATATTCAGAGAATCCTAGATGAACAAGAGAAATTGAGTGCCGAACTGGATAGCAAGAAGCGAAAGCTGGAATCATGGAGCAGAGAGATAAACAAGCGGGAAGCCTTGAATGAACGTGACAGGCAGAAGCTTGATGAGGAGAAGAAAAAGGTGATATTGCCTTTGTCCACTGAATACTCGTTATTTTGGTCAGTCCTTTGATTTTCTCTTTGTTTATTTGATATGTAATGGTTTCAGAATGAATTGAGAAATACTAGACTGGAGAAGGCATCTGAGGAGGCGAGAAAAGCAGATGAGAATGTGTTGAGGCTTGTCGAAGAACAAAAGGTGAATGACTAAAACCCTAGGTCATTCTCTGTATTTTCCTAGTTAGTATAATGACTCTTGGTCTATGTGTGGAAATTGCACTTTTGAACTTTCATATTCAAAAATTCAAATTTCAGAGAGAGAAAGAGGAGGCTTTGAAAAAGATTTTAGAATTGGAAAGGGATCTAAATGCCAAACAGAAGTTGGAAATGGAGATTGAAGAGCTTAGAGGAAAACTGAAGGTTATGAGGCATATGGGAGATGATGCTGCGGTGCAGAAGCAAATTCAAGAAATGACTGATGAGCTGCAGGAGAAGGTTGATGAATTGAAATCAACAGAGGAGTTACATAATGCTTTGTTCACTAAAGAGCGCCAAACAAACGATGAGCTTCAAGATGCTCGGAAAGAGCTGATATCGGTACCAGTTCTAGACTTTTATGCTGGTCATTCAAACAGAGCATTGTTATTTATTCTGACTGAGCAGTAGTCTTATGGTAAAGTAGCTTATATTAGGCCAATTTCTGGTGTGCTTCTATTTTGTTCTAAGAAATCATAGCCAATGGATCTGGGAAAATATTCTTGAAGTTGCTGCCTTATTTATTGGGAACTTATGTTTTCTTTTTGTTTGGAACCATACTATAACATGTGTTGTGTAAACTCCTAATGGTTTTAAGTCCTTGAATAGATTTCCAGGAACCATTTTGGCTTTTCTGCGTATTGACTATGATCTTTGTTTTCAGAGCTTAAGTGAAATGCTTTCAAGTAGTCGTGCTCATATTGGGATCAAAAGAATGGGAGATATTGAGGCTAAGAATTTTGAAGAACAATGCAAGTTGAAATTCCCCGATGATTATGAAGTTAAGGCCTTAGAGTTATGCTCCCTTTGGCAAGAAAGGATGAAGGATCCTGAGTGGTATCCTTTTAAAGTTATCAGGATCAGTGATGACAATTTTATGGTACATACTGGTTCCTTCACTAGTAATTTCGCCTGTTTCTTTGCTTCCAATTGAATCTTCCTATGTTACGTCAATCTTGCTCTGTTTTTTTCAAATGAATAATTTTCTCAGGTCATAATTTAGTTTACTCAAACTCAATATGTACTTGTTTTTTGTTTCTTATTTCAGAATGAATTGAATGAGGACGATGCATTGCTCAAGGAACTGAAGCTAGAATGGGGGGGTAAAATCTACACAGCTGTAACCACAGCCTTAAAAGAGATGGATGAATACAACCCAAGTGGAAGATATGTGGTTCCGGAGCTCTGGAACTTTAAGGAAGATAGGAAGGCCACTTTAAAGGAAGTCATCAGTTTCATCTTCAAGCAATTAAAGACACTCAAGCGCAAGCGATGAGTAAGTTGTATTGTTCTTGTTCTCACCAAATCCTGTGTATTGTTTTGTGTTGCCTCCGTTACTTTACAATGCATCAAAGGTATTGGGTCTCTTAAACAGTTGGGGATAGAGAATGGGGTTTGGTACAGTAGGGTAGTATAGTATATGTAGGAACTTTTGGTCTTCTAGTGAAGATCCTCCCAGTTCTCTGGTATTAGGATGCTGTTTGGAATTGACTGGGTGGTCTTCAGTTATTATGAAAAGCTTTTTTTTTTTATCCCCTTCTTATTCGAGAAGATTGAAGATTTCAGGTTGCATTGGTAGTAACATTTATAGTGTGTTTCATTCTCTTTGCAGGGAACAGTAGAGTATGGGAAATGGACAGAACTCAAGATGGATCAAACATTCTTGATGATTACAAGCGTCCGTAGCTTAAATTCCCTGTTTGTCCCGATATGCTCTTCTTATTCATTAGTAGTACTATGGCATGTTAACATATTGTAACCAAACTTTGGGAGATTGAAATGAACAATTCGGAAAAACACTGCTTGTAGATTCGCATTTGACTATGTCAATAGTCGATGGTCGATACTACATTTTTATAGTAAACAATGTTATCGCGGTTATCCCAAAATTTTGTTTGTGCTCATTCCTAGATATCTTTTGCAGTTTTGCCCCATGAATGTCTTTGCCAATTTCTCCGGCAACATATACTCTCTCCGTCTCATAATTATTGTTCAGTTTAGATTTTTATTTTTAATTCAAATTGTATTAAAAGTGAAATCTCAAACTGGACAATAATTTTGGGACAGAGGGAGTATATGATAGCATCTATAATGGTTTACATTATTGTGAGTATGTATCTATAAATTTTTAAATAATATTTTTATTCAATTTTTCATTATATTCTATTGTAAAAATATAATACAATGAAATAATTTTCGTATTATTATAAATTCACTTGAATTATATTTTAATCTTAAAAAGTATATTATACAGTATAAAAAATTTTATACTGTATAATTTTATCACACTCAACACAATGATCAATAGTATGATAAAATAGTTATTTATTAATTATTTAATGATAAATGGTATGATAAAATGATTATTTATTCACCATTGTGGTTTGTGGATGCTCGGATGAATTGTAGCGATCTTTAGAGTGGCCATCTTTGCTTAAAACACTTCCAATATCTTCAATTGAATTCTTCATCCTAACTTTTTCTATTACATGCTTCAAACGACGTAAGTTTAAAGCTGACACTTGTTCATGTTTGATATACATATGTTCATTGGTATGATTATCTTTTGCATTATAACTACTAAACATGTTGGATATTTTCATAATATGGCTGTCAATCAAAATCTTTTATTTTTTTATTTTTAGGAAAGAAGAAAGAGAGACATAAATCTTTCGTTGTTCAGAAATTTATTACACAGTTTACACTCCAATTAAAGGTTCTTAGTACTTCTTCCTACTATATTCCTCTTAAACGTGCCCACAATAATGTCTCATAGCTTTAATGATGATTTATTAGGCTGATGAAGCATTCACTTTACTCTAAAAAACACAAATTTGGTTCAACAATTTAGAAATGGACCCAAAATATGTATTCCCTCCATCTCATAATTATTCTCATGTTTGAGTTTTTCATTTTTAGTTCTAATTGTACTAAAAGTGAAATCTCAAACTGGACAATAGTTTTGGGCCATGGGGGAGTATATATGAATGAATGGAAGCAATGCGGAGTTTGAAAGAAATGTGGAATTTTATTTTTGTTTTATTAATTCCAAATGTAAAACAAAATGATTATAACCCGAAACGATTATAACGAGATTCATCACCTCTATTATAGAATCTCTAATCCTCTTCAGCTATGCACTGTATGATCTGGATGGAAGATGTTTATGGAGCTCTAAGTATAGCTTGCTTCCAATCAATTTTATTTACTTTTGTTTCGAATTCAGATCCCACCAAGGTCCAGTAACATGATAAAACTAAATGCCTAAGTAAGTCACAAATCATGACATAATGAAGTTTTTCAAATTAATTCAGGGAGTTTGTAATCCAGAACCATTTAAGTGGTCGCTTAAAAGTTACAAGGTATCTTAATTTATAAATTAGCCTCAAATCATTCTTCATCATTTTAATGTTTAAAGAACACACAAAAAAAAAAAAAGAAAAAGAATCGAGTATATGTTAAAGACACGAATAATAAAATCAATAAAAAGACACGAATTATGATGACTTTTAAACAGATATGTGTTCCTCTATTCCAATAATTTGGATATAGACAACACTGCAATGCATTATTACAAAGTAAAAAATAAAAAAATAAAAAAAAAGAAGCCATAAATGGTTTACAAAGACAACACTGAAACAAATTAAGGGAAATTTTTTTTGGTTGATGGATATCTTCAAACCATTTCTATTCTTCTTTTTTATCTTCGCCGGAGGAGGACTTGCCTTCAGCATTCTCCGGCACGTCACCGGACTTCCTCTTCTTCGCCACCTGCATGGCAGCTTCAGCGGAGGGCCAAATCATCAGTTTGCCGTCATTGGGATCGCGGACAAAAGCAGCCACTTTGACGTTGAAGTCGGCCTCGAACTCCTCAATTTCCTTGATTAAACGGGCAACCCTTTTCTTTATCTCAGTTCGAGCCTTCTTCGACATGATCGATATCCAGAGAGAGATTTCTAGTTTGTTTCAAAGTATGAACTTGTTTCATGCATTCTCGTGTGTTTGATTGATAATGCCTATAAATACTATACGATAATGTCTACAAGATTTTCTTTCAATATCCAAGTTACTAAAAAAAAAAAAAACTAATTTCTTTCAATTTAGTTACATTGAGATTGTGGAGTTTGCTTGAATTTGTATCAGCTAAAATTACCAAATTAATGAATCCTTTACGTATAGTATCAATCGATCAGAATATCAATACAAAAGAGCGTGCGTAACAGTTTTTTTTAAAAATAAATTATAAGTATATACGGACGTATTTTATGAAAAAAAATGTTAAAATTCTTTTAGATGTTTGAGTTGTAATTGCAAAAATAAGAAGAAATGATCAAAGAATTACAAGGTTGTCGAAAGAAATAAATTAAAAAAAAAAAGAAAAAGAGCATCTAGAAAATACACGTAACAAACAATGGTTAAGTACTGGGGTAACACATCCTCGAAATGTAATAGTTGATAATTAGGCTTTATATCTCTCTCTTTGTAACAAAAAAAACAATGGTTAAGCACACAAAATAAAATTAGTTCATCGACTTATACTTAAAAGAAATTAGCTATGTGAAGAAAAAAAAGATTAATAAAGTAGGGATTTGTTTGGAACTTACAGAGGAAAATGATCGTGTTAGCGACACATATTTGAGATGATGACATGAAAAATAAATTGTGCAAAAGCAAAAAAGGAGAAAATGAAAATGTTAACAAAGAAGGATAAAAAAAATTGTGTGTTTTTTAGAACGATGAACGTCGCTTTTTATAGACGTTAATTATAAGATTGTACAGAGCGGGGTCGGTAAAATGTTATATCTTTTTCCTTGTATACTTTCAAAAATATCCGTGTCAATGGTAAGAATATAATTGCATATTGTAGGTGAAATTTACAAATTTTAATTTACAAACAACCTTATATCCCTCTGTAGAATCATAGATACCATTATGTCACATTTCAAAAATCAACAACTAGGCGATTAAAAATTACCATGCATGTGAATTGTGAAAAAATAAATAAATAAATAACACTACATTTTATTTTTTCACTGCTTTTCATTTTTTTAAAAAAAATGCAACAAAACTGTTTGGATATCACATACGCACATACTCATTTATTTATTTATTTACTCTTTTGTAAAAAAAAAAAAAAAATTACAGCTCGTACAATTATTTGTCGATAAACCGCTTCAAAACTATTATCTGAGGTAAGTAGGTAGTACGACAATAATGCAATGCTAACGACTCTACGTCTGAAGATCATTCCCTCTTTTCAAAATAATACAAGAATATTATTACAAACAGAAAATCAATTTGAATGAGGTGAAATAAAATTCCAGTAGTCTAGTAATATTGCCTGACAAGGTCACAGTAGAATTATGATGCCATGAGAAATAATTTCTGCCGTACAGAACTAGTACAAAAATTAGCTTTTAGAGAAAAAAAAAATGTCTTACCAAAATTTTCCGCCTAAAGTAATCGAATTCCCTCCTAATTACTCAAATTACCTCATTATCATCTCTTCTGCCCTAATTTTGACACCAACTTAAATGCTTAATTGCCAAAGTTCACAACCACTTCTCTCATCTCATCAGTTCCGACCGCGGAATCCATTTTCTTTAGAAACTAAAAATTCATTCCTTTTGTCCATAAGAACTACTCCCCGGTTCTTAATATAAGGCATTTTTATTTGTTCTAGGTTTCACCTAATATGCATTTTTACTTGACAAAAAAATTTTAAAAATATATTTTTACTCAAGTCGTGTTCTCTAGGTTGTTATGAAATATTTTTAAGATTTTTTATCAATTAAAAAGACATTCTAGATGAAACTTATGACAAAATCAAAATGTCTTATAATAAGGACTGGAGTGGGTATTAATTGCTTCCGAATTTCGTATTAGAAAAAGTTAAGGGATGAATTCAAAAAGATTAATTCCCGAATCTTTCTCATCTAAATTCAATTAGTACAAACGGTCATTTACCACTAAAACCTCTGTTCATTTTTCTTTGATTATTTGGACACGAGGGGGGAAAAAAAGAAGAAAGAAAAATCGGTCATTGGCCTAACCCGTAACCCAGCCGCCCCCGTCAAATTTGTGGCGAAGAACGGAAGAGTGAACGGCCAGAAACGGAAGAAGTGAGAGATATGATGTTGAGATAATTTGAGTAACTAAGAGGGAACAAAGACGCTGAAGAATTATGGGTTGCGGTTTTAAAGTGGAACTGGCTAAGTTCGATTCAAGTATAAGGTTAACATTCTGATTAACTTCATCATCTAGACATTTGACTGGGGCATTTTCCGCCAAATGAATGAGGTATCAGGCTACATTCATCACTCTAGACTAGACTATCAGACAATAGTATTTTCAGCCAAATTGATGACATCAGCCACAGATTATAAGTATATACGGACATAAACCGTATAAGAAAGGGGAAAAGAACAGGGCCTTTTCCAAGGGCTTTGCTTGGCTTGGGACCTAGGGTTCAGAACATTGGAAGCAGAAGTTGATAATCGACCCATTGTGCAAATGATCGTCCAGACAGAGCGTCCTTCGTGCAAGCATGAAGGATTATTGAGAGCAATCAGGGAGCTGTTAAGTAGGGATTGGAATGTAAATCTAAGTCATGAGTATAATTTTGTAGCAGACGCTTTAGCTTCTCTGGCGGATGCGAATCCAGGAGTTTTGACTCGATTGGATTCGCCTCCACCAGGAGTCTATCCTTGGTTGTACCACAACGATATAGGGGTATCATACTCGCGTCAAGCTCAAATGAATTTGAGAAGGGTCTGATTATTTGGCCCATTCAGTCACATAGAACATCGGTGTCATGTCAAACAACTTTAATAGTGTACCATCCAGAGAACAAGCATGAAGCTTCATACATCTAGATCCAAATATCTCCATTTATCTAAGAAAATAAAGCAAATATCTATACTCAATCATGAGCAAGCACTAACAACATTTAAATCGCTAGTACGTTCTCTTGCAACCTATTGAATCAAATTCATCAGGAGCAAAACAGGGTTTCAATCTCTGCTATATTTCTCCCATTTAGCAAAGTACACAATCAACTACGCACACAAGGAGGAAACGATGTTCGACCAAAGGATGTAGAAGAAGATCTCTTACCATCATGCCAAACAATGCAATTCCTAATGCAAGAGCCATCATCTTCTCATTCAGATGGACTACACAATTCATAACTTACAGACCAATTATCTTCTCATTAAAATCTGACGCCAACTCTAATGCATACTCTATATTCATCTAGTAGAAGATTTATAAATCAACGTATAGAAATCAGAAACAACAGTTATTTAAATTGAACCAGCAAAGCACAAACAGTGGCAACTAAGGAAAGCAGACTGCAGATTCTATTGATCTAACAAGCTGCTAAAATCTCATGTTGATCCCTTATCTTCCAGAGATCGGCAAGGACAGTGCAAATAGTTGTCAATGTTGCAGACTTTAAAAAAGATTAATCAATTTGACTTCACACAACTCATGGGAAAGAAAAGGGGTGTCACAACATTTGTACCGGAACATCACATCCAGAAGCAGACATTATTGATGAACTGAAACTGATCTTCAACAATACATCCAAGTCAAGCATATATTATCACTACTTCAAATTAGCAGAACCGAAATCAAGTTCCCATAGTACCAAGAAACAGGCTAAAACCGATCCCGTGTATAGAACTTCCAAAGAACTAAGTATAATATAATGACACTCCCTCCGTCCCATAATTATTGTCCAGTTTGAGTTTTCATTTCTAGTTGAAATTGTACTAAAAGTGAAATCTCAAACTGGACAATAATTTTGGGACAGAGGGAGTACAAAATAAGTTCTCAAAAACTACTTTCAAAGATACTATTATGCAATGATACAAAATAAATTCTCAAAAGCAAAATAGGCACACTCAACTGCAAGGATAGCTAACACGCAATCTGTCAAAAGATATGATGAAATAAATCTTCCACCAGGTTGCAGTCAGCAGCCTTTAATTTGCTCAAATAATCATAACTCACTGGAGCAAACACCAATCAAACTGGAGACATAAACATGATGATTGCCAAAACATACAAGTCCTCGCATATTGATCACCAACAAATTTGACAACTTCATAAATATATTATCGTTTACGTACCAAAACACAACTTAAGCTAATTCATACCCCTGAGCCTAAGCCAGCGAGAAAAAGAACGCATTCAGAACCAGTAACAGAAGATGACAAATGCAAATTAAGATTAAGAAATCATCATCGATTTAATTTAACACCTTTATCTGAAAAGTTTACAGAAATACATGCAGGTACATCAACATCTACTGCGGTTCCTATCTTTTCACACACTCAGAACTTTTTTTCTTTTTTCAATTTTTTCCTTTCTCAATGAACATTCTGTCCATTCTCTACACCTAGACCATACAAGACGCCAGTGTACTTCTCCAGCGAGCCACTAAAGAAGGTTTCTTTCAGCTTCCTGAATGTACAAGCTGTAAGCAAGCTATCTGAGCCGGCCTGGTGGCAAATGCCAACCCTCTCAACTTCCAAAAGCTCTGCCAGCTTGTTTAATCCACCATGGAGATGGTTGCAGAACTTCATCAAATGCTTAATATCATAAATAACGGGGAAATAAATGTTAATCAAAGTGAAAAACTCTGCCTGACTATCAGGCAAGTCCTGACAAGTCAAGAGCTTCAGCAAATAACCAAAATCATATCCACTGTGGAACGTAACCCAATACACATTATCATTCAAAACAATCCCGGATGACATCAGTAGCTCACCAAATCTCCTGGCATCAACACCCTTTTCATTATTCTTGGCGAAATCAATGCCACTTTGCCGCAACAATTCAATCGAATCATTGGCAAAAACGTCTTCATTTGGATTGAATTCCCTAAAATTAAACTGCCAAATGCAATACTTATCCGTCCCGCACTTGGGCAAATTCCCTTTCTCGTCAGAAAATGTGAGACCTAACTGGATCAACTTCAATAAGTCAACGTTGTCCTTCAAGGTTTGATAGTGGAAATCAGTATTACTCTTGAAATTGCCCACAGGCCTGAGAACAATGCCAGGAAACTCCGTATCCATAGCCACGTACGGGAAATCATCCACAATTTCCCGGATCAGCGCAAACTCTTCTTCAAGGTTGTCATTCCACACCTCCCGAATTAGAACCGAATCGCTTTTGAACAAAAGCGACATCTCTTGAAAACAGATCACAACAACACAAACTCTTCGAACAAAAAATTTCAAAAAACCTGATCATAAAACAGATCAACGATGATGAACGACCCTCAACCCGATCTATTGAACCTGCCTACAACTTCAACAGATCTGCAGCAAAGTCAAAACCCAGATAGAATCAGCCAAATAATCAATAAAAGAACACCAAAATCCAAAAAACAAAGCCGGAAATAAGGAAAAACAGATCCAATCTTACCGTCAAATCAATCAAGATCGAATCTTTTTCCGTCAAAGGGATCTGGGATCGAAGGTCCAACCAGCAAAACAATTGAAAACACTGTTTTCAATATGTTCCTTATTTACCACATACATATCAAATCTGTATATATTTAATATAAAATATCTAGAGCGAGAGAGAAATGAAGAGAGCTGGGGGCCTAAGAAAAAAAGCTTGAGGATGTGGGACGTATGGCGGCTAGGAGAGGTAATAAGATTAAGTAATTTTTAGGGCAAAAATAAAAACACTGAATTTTCTTTTTTTCTCCTCCTTTTTCAGATTTCCCAGTTTTTTTAATGTTTAAAACCAGAAACAGAGATGCTTCGAGAGAGAAAGGAGGCTTTGGGTGAACGCGGATAGGTTAATTAAAGGTTACCTTTCCTCGTTCAAACCTTCAGCAAAGGGAGGAAAAAAAATATAATCGCCTGTAAATCTCTTCTTTTTTTTTAAACTGCAGTTTCATGGATTTATTTATTTATTAATTTTATTTCTGATTTTTTGCCTTTTTTTTTTGTGAGTATGAACAGGACAGAGAGATACAAGGGATGTGGAGGGGAAATGGGATCTTTTTGTTTGATGCAGAACGAATAAGTCAAGGGTTTTTGAAGGGTCTAATCTAAGCATGAAAATCTCAAACGATGGGATTGGGAAGATATCCCTAATTATGCGTATTATTAAACACCTAAATTGAGTAATCTATTCAACATTCAGGTGAATATAAGGAATCATTGCTCAAAACAAGAAAATCCCCAATTTAATTAAAAAAATTAGAGTTGGACTATTCTGTTAAATTGGAATGAGACATTTCTTTTCCTTTATTTGGACATTGAATTTTGATAGCAAATTTGTGATTTAACTCCAATTTGGTAGGATGAGGAGAAGGACCTAAACCTAACACAATTATGTTTTCATGGGGGGACCAATTTAGGCCTAATGATGATGGATGTTAATAACTGCAAATTGTGGTCAGATATGGAGGCCTTGTTGGGCCCGTGACACTTTTTAGGAATGGTCCAATTTCTTTTCCACAGTTTTCTTGTAATGCAATGGACAGATTGGAACCAAAACACAAACGTAACCGAAGAAATCAGAGCTTGAAACTGGAAAATTAGGGTTCGAAGGAACGGAGAGATTTAGGGATCGACTACTTTCTGATTAATCAAACAAAACTTAATTTAAGCTAGTCAGGACTATATATAGTCGGTAGTTTGCATAATTACATATTAACCCCTAATCTATTAATTTAAGCCAATTGAGCCCGTTAAATCCTAACAATCCATGACAAATTCCCACTAAAAACAGTGTTGTCCCCAATACTGTTTTCACAAGTTAACCACTCTAAACTGGGAAATAAGAACTGGCAAAACGCCTTTCTACAGCAACTACTACTCATAATATATATCGCAAATGAAACGATATTAAATAACAAAACTCTACGCCGAAAAGAACTAACAACCAATCCAAAACAATATTGAAGAAACACCAATTCAACAACATGAAGATAACAGCAACAGGAGTCTCGAAATCTGCCACATAAGGTATCACCTATGAGGTAAATCATTCAGGTCCACCATTTCGCCATCAATGGTCCACAATGCATTCTCGGGAACACTTGCTTTAGCCATTTCTTCACAGAGCATCACGTTCACATGTCCAAACTTGCAAGCATGTCCCGGCTTGAAGTGTTCACCACACCTATATGTCACGGTCGTGACATTTCTAGAAATATTTATAAAGTTCTAGAATATTATAGATTATTCAAGGCATGCGTAGAACATCGTGGAAACATGTAGAATTTTTTAGAATATTGTAGAATTCTTTAGAATCTTCTAGAATCTTGTAGAATATGAGACAATGTGGAATTATCTAGAAGATTCTAGGTACTGCTAGGTTAATGTTCAAGAATAATCTAGAAGTTTGGAGGTAATTCTTGTAGAGGAGGTGGAAGAAACTTCTAGGACTGTAAGGGTTTGCCTACAAATATGACAAGACTCCTCATTTGTAGAGGGGTAGATTGAAAAGGTTCTAAACAAGTTGTGAAGTTTCCTTTGAATTAGGTCAAGAACCTTTCTTTCTTCCTAAATTTCTCCTTCCAATACTTGAAAATTTGGTTTAGATGCACTGAGCTAGCGAGTTTTTGACCTAAACAATTTTCTTTAAAAAAAGGTAGACCAAATTAATTTTTTTTGAAATTTTTGTGGACAAATCTATATCCTTCGGATTTCAAAAATCCGAATCCGGGGTAAACTCGGATTTCGGAAATCCGAATTTAATAGAAAACAGATTTTGAAAATCCGAATTCATTTTAATTAAAACTAAAACTAAGTAAAATTTTCATCTGTCATAATTAATCATAATTCAGATTTCTGAAATCCGACTTTATGATTAAAACATTAATTTTTGAGGAAAATTTTTTTTTTGTACAAGTGTTGGTAATTTTTTGAACACGAATCGGATTTCCGAAATCCGAATCTTCCATGTTTCCCTGATAAACTCGGATTCTAAAAATCCGAACCTAAACCCTAAACCCTAAATCCGAGTATATGTTACACTCGGATTTTGGTAATCCGAGTATATGTTGCACTCGGATTTTGGTAATCCGTTTATAGGTTACACTCGGAGTTTGGTAATCCGAGTATAAGTAACACTCGGATTTGGGAAATCCGAAGTTAAACCCTAAACCCTATGGCCTTATTTTGAAAATCTAATTTTTTACTTGACTCAGATTCTGAAAATGCGATTATTTGCTTAAAAGGTACATAACAGTAGTACATATAGATTATAACTGAATTAATGATAATATTTAATAACTAACAGATTTAATAATAATAAATAACAGTAATACCACTTATGTATAATGAGTATTAGTATTAATGTACTACATAATACTAGTACGTACAAATAATACATAACACTAATACAGATGAATTATATTGAATTAATGATAATATCTAATAACTAATGGATTTAACAATAATAAGTAACACTAGTACCAGTAATGTATAATGGATAATAGTATTAATGTATTACATAATATTAGTACATACAAATAGTACATAACACTAATACAGATAAATTATATTAAATTAATGATAATATATAATAAAGAATAGATGTAATAGTAATAAGTAACACTAGTACCAGTAATGTATAATGGATAATAGTATTAATGTATTACATAATACTAGTACGTACAAATAGTACATAACACTAATACAGATAAATTATATTAAATTAATGATAATATCTAATAAAGAATAGATGTAACAGTAATAAGTAACATTAGTACCAGTAATGTATAATGGATAATAGTATTAATGTATTACATAATACTAGTACGTACAAATAGTACATAACACTAATACAGATAAATTATACTAAATTAATGATAATATCTAATAAAGAATAGATGTAACAGTAATAAGTAACATTAGTACCAGTAATGTATAATGGATAATAGTATTAATGTATTACATAATACTAGTACGTACAAATAGTACATAACACTAATACAGATAAATTATACTAAATTAATGATAATATCTAATAAAGAATAGATGTAACAGTAATAAGTAACATTAGTACCAGTAATGTATAATGGATAATAGTATTAATGTATTACATAATACTAGTACGTATAAATAATACACAACACTAATACAGATAAATTATACTAAATTAATGATAATATCTAATAACTAATAGATGTAACGGTAATAAATAACACTAGTACCAGTAATGTATAATGGGTAATAGTATTAATGTGTTACATAATACTAGTACGTATAAATAATACACAACACTAATACAGATAAATTATACTGAATTTATGATAATATCTAATAACTAATAGATGTAACGGTAATAAGTAACACTAGTACCAGTAATGTATAATGAGTAATAGTATTAATGTGTTACATAATACTAGTACGTATAAATAATACACAACACTAATACAGATAAATTATACTGAATTTATGATAATATCTAATAACTAATAGATTTAACAGTAATAAGTAACACTAGTACCAATAATGATAGGTATTAGCATTAATGTATTACATAATAATGAGTAATAATATTAATGTACTACATAATACTAGTACATACAAATAATATATAACACTAATACATGTAACCTGGATTACGGTATTCCAGTTCTTTGATTTCAAAATTTCGCGCTTGATTTTATTTTATTTTATTTTTCTTTTTGAGAACTCGATTTCGGAAATCCGAGTACTACTGTTTATTTAATCCTTATTTCAGTTCAAATATTTTGCTCCTCAATTTATTATTTTTTAATGGGACTCGGATTACGCAAATCCGAACGGCACTGTTCATGTAAGATTTTTTTAAAAATATTATTCAACAAAATTTATTTAATTATTATTTTATTATTAAATGTAGATTCGGATTTCGGAAATCTGAGTTCTCAATTTTAATTATAACTCGGATTTCGGAAATCCGTGGGATATATTCCTGTCCACAAATATTCTGAAAAATTTAAATTTGTCCACCTTTATTTTAATTAAATTTTTTTAGGGAAAATACCCCTGAGCTAGCATCACTTTTTAGGGTCATTTTTATAAATTTTTAAAATTAGTAGGATATTTTTGTAATTAAAATAAATATAATTCTGTTAATTTAGACGGAAATTAGCAAATTATACAAAATCGGCTAACGGTTGGATAATTTAAAATAATATTGGCTAATCGAAAAAGAATAAAGTAAAATTAACAATGCATGTAAAGTTTTAGATAGATCGGCCAATTTTTCCTCGTGATTGGCTGTGCAGACAATTCCCTCTATATAAAAATAGGGGTAGGGAGTGTGTCTTCTTTTGGGAATGAATTTACTCAAACAACGGTGTTCTGGACGATAGACCTCCTGAAAAAATATATTTTGTATGTTAAAGTTATCATTATGGCCCTTTGAAGTTCGTGTGTCTACTTAGATAATTAGGTGTTCATGCTAATTATATATTGTATAATTGATGGTACCATATTGTTTAAATTTTTCTAAAGTGGTTTGAGGTCAAAGGGACCCGAAAATCATCATTCAAATAAAATAGAATATTGGAAAATGATATGTATAGTGAAAAAAAAGTGAAAAATAATAGCGAGTGATGTGGAGTATTCTTGGTCCCTACTTTTTTTGTTACTTTCTCGTTAAAATTTTATCTTTTCCTGAAAATTATATTTTTACCCCTACTTAATAACTATACATTTTAGTGACCACGGTATATTTATTTTGTCATTAGTCACTATTCTATTTCACTATAATTGCTCACTGTCTCCATTATTGCTATAAAATATTTATTCGGAACAGAGTGACAACGCATGTAAATATGAAATCTCATTATCCGCCTGAATAAAACTTTCTCAAGTGAAAAAGAAAGACATTAAGTCATCAACTACCCAAATTTTTTTGGGCCACATTCCAAGCTTTCTACCCCAAACTTTGACTATCAGAAAAGCCTATACTTTTCGGGCTTGACGGATTTTGGCCCAAATGAGAGAATTCAGTACTGTGAAAGGGAATGGAGGACAAGATTGTAAATGCAAGTGAAAACTAGGGTTTTGGTGGGTTCTCGTATAAGAGCGCAAAGTTTTCCCACCGTCGTCTCCACTCTCCACTCATCTTTAGCACAGCCTGCGCTCTCTTTCTCTCGCCACCAGCCAACTTCACTCAGGTCAGTCGTCGCCGCCGCCGTTTTCTGTTAAAAAAATTGTTATTTTTATTTAGCATTTCAGATTTCTATGTCTTGTAAATCATTGTTTCATGTAGAAGGGAGTTGGGATGGTCTTAACATAATTGGTAAAAACCAGGAAAATGATTTTATCTGAAATTGAGTCTTCATCAATCCTTGCCAATTTCTCATACTAGTTTGTTAACTTTAAGATTGAAATCACGCTGTCAAATGAAGTGCTAGTCTTTTTTAGGGGTTTGCTATTAGATTTCTAGATTACACCGGTGGTTATATTCATTTCGATTGCTGGGTGTTAAGTTTCATTCTGTAACTTTTTGTTCTCAATTTCATGTTTGCAGGTCCCAATCAGAAGCTCGAGAACAAGAGGCAAACATGTCTGGGTATGTATAGTTTGATTTCTTCCGTCTTTTCTATTTAGGTTTCTTCTTTTGTTTTTTAAGCTTTACTAGAACTTAAGAATTGAAATGCTGTTTGGTTGATCTTTTTCACCTGTTATTATTAAAATTTTGAAGCTTTCTGATGATTTCGTATATATTAATGGCACCTGCTCCTTTAGTTGAATCGCGTTTGACTTGTTGATTGCCATTTTTAGCTTCTGCTGCGCTTAGTATATTTGAAGTCTTTGAGTTGTCTCGTTTTTAACTACCCTAGCATGCAATTTTGTATTAACATGGGGATTATGATGTTGTCATTTGGGTCTGAGGGTTTTGTTTTACATCAATGTTTTGAAACTGGGAAAATTCAGCTAATTTATGACTTTCTTTGTCTCATTTTTCTTCTACTTTGTTGAAATATCTTTCTGTATTTTTTTCTTACTTTCCATCCGTATTGCAATATTGCAGTGAAGAACCTGTTGCTGCTGCTGCTGCAGAGGCCACCCCTGCCCCAGCACTTGGGGAGCCCATGGACATAATGACTGCTTTGCAGTTGGTGCTAAGAAAATCTTTGGCCCATGGTGGTCTTGCTAGAGGCCTTCATGAAGGTGCAAAGGTGATTGAGAAGCACGCTGCCGTGCTCTGCGTATTGGCTGAGGATTGCGACCAGCCTGACTATGTCAAATTAGTTAAAGCACTTTGTGCAGACCACAATGTGAACTTGATCACTGTTCCAGCTGCCAAGACTCTTGGTGAATGGGCTGGGGTAAGTAAAAATCTGTTGAATTGCTTTTAGGTTTATGTTTGCTTCTTATTGACATCTTGTGAAGTTTTGGATCACCCTAATAATTTACATTTCTACCGATCATGCGTCCTGTAGCTGTACCAGACAGCTACTCTTTCTTATCTGCTCCTCCCTTTATAGTTTTACTTATAGTTGGGCTTCATTCTGGGAACTTCGGTTTGCTGTATGACATAAGGTTGCTTGATTTGGTAGTAGTACAGACCAAGTAGATTCTGTACTTTCAGCGGAGAAGTTTTGTTTAATGTTTGATATACTTTATAAGTGTGTTTTTTTTTTTGTTGCTTCTCCTTGCGTAGGAATAATAAGATAATCTGGTTATGAAGAAGTCTAACCTTTGTTTGCATATGCAGTTGTGCAAAATTGACTCCGAGGGAAAGGCAAGGAAGGTTGTGGGTTGCTCCTGCGTTGTTGTAAAGGATTATGGTGAGGAGACTGAGGGTCTTCACATTGTCCAGGAGTATGTTAAATCTCACTAGGACAATTTAGATTTGATTTTGAGTTGAGTGGAATGGAGAAACTGTTTCAGTTTGTTACCCCGTGAACCTTTATTTAGAAAAGATTTTGGTATTGAATGAGAGGTGTTTAATTACTTTTCATATGTACTTTAACATTGATACTCATTTTGGCTCGTTCATTAAACTAAGATGTCTTTCAAAAATGACAAGTCTTGGACTATATTGATGAGTTGCCTACAAAAATGATGTGGCCTGAACTAATTTGAATTTGCCGGAGATCAATTTTTTCTTGCTTGTAAAACAAACTGTGTTAGTAAGCTCTTCAATCAATTCGATGAAACAGGAAAACAAGGGGTATGGGCCATGAAGGCGGGACAAAGAACTGCGAAAGCAAAATTTGGTCTTCTTGTTCTTAACATTTTTTGTTTGTAGTTTCTACAATTTGTTCTCTGCCATCTTCCAAGTAGCACCTCTATATTCTTAGCCGTAAACATGTGAATGTTGATTCGACAAACCTTCTCCATTATTCAATATGCTTAGCTTCTCAACATTTAAACACAATTCCCGACTTGTCCTTTCAATCATATACAGCACAAAGCCTTCAAAACAAAAAAAAATATATACAGCATAAAGAATGACGAGATGATATATAGATAAAGAGTAAATTAGAACATGTGATGAAAGTATACTTGATTGCATAAACCCTTGTTCGATTACGATCTTAATCAGGATTTTATTCTTTGGTGTGTATATAATTGTGATATCTTGGATGCAGGGTTAGGAATCACTGGCACAAACTTAAACTTCATCAATCATCACTACATTTTACCAAAAGTAGCTAAAAATTAACTGGAATCGTGGTTTTTCCTTTGATGGTGGTCTACATTCTTGCTGTGACCTATCTTCTGTTTTGCAAAGACTTGGTATATAGACATCGAAAGAGCCACAAAACTTTGATCCGACAAATATTCTCAACGTGACATAAAAATAGAAGATAACTAAAGTTTCTTGTTATATATGATGATAAAACTGACACATTGGTCATATTGAACAACTATTTCTCCTACTAAAGATCTTGGCACTCTAAACCATGATTCAAAATCTTCTTACTACACGAGGAAAGCAAGCATAACGTCACAGCTACTGCTAAACTTCCGAGCTTCATTGGGAACAAAGCAGCAAGTGAAGCAAAAAGTGAATGGACTATGTGTGGACCTGGACAGCCATCAGTGGTGCAGGGAAAGGTTAGGACAGAACTACTTGCTTCAGACTTCTAAAATCATGAGGAAGCATGTTTGCCATCAGATACAGGGAGATATACACCCTCGGCTGCCAGCCAAACATTATCAGGTTTCTTTTCCCGAACACCACAAACCTGAAGGAACCAACAAGCATCTCGTAAACAGGAACAATGATGTTTTGCAGGGAATGTTTAAAAAAGACATTCATCCCTCTTATTTTCCTGAAATCAAAAGCAAAATTAAAGGACATGGGGAATGCAGCTCTCACCTCCTGCTGTCCACCGGCTATACGCTGGTATTTCTTATCATGACTATGAAGATAGCCACCTGTATCTACATGATGAAGCCTCATCCTTTGGTCTTGCCTCCAAGTTTTCCCGCTGCCTTCAATCTCCAGTCTACATATATTTTAAAAAACACAATAAATAACCACTATAAACATCAATCAATCGATAAAAACCATGGGAAGAAGTTCACAGAGCTAATGCATCACCTCCAATAATCTCCAGTATCTGATTCTCCATCTCCGCCAAAACAACTAACCTGTAAAGTTCAGTTAGCAGATCAGTTTTCTTAGCCATTGGAGAGTCAAAAACACAACATAGATCAGAGCTGAACATATCATGAGGAAAACTAGTTCCATGGATCATAATGCATTTTACACATAATACAATGAGGTAAACAGCCTGTTCATTTTTTATTTTCCTCATTAAAACTCCCTGGAAGAGTTGAAAGATTCCAGAGAAAAATACACATGTGACACAGTCAAAACATGTTGGAAATGATAGATTCCAAGAGAATATCAAATAGACAAAAGAGGTAATGAATGTGGGCACTAAAAACGAAGACACAGCAAACAAATCACAGACGACAAAGAGCAAGGAGAAAATAATAACTATAACGGGCTTCCCTGAAAGGCAATTCATTTACTTATTTACATTACCAAAGCACGTGAGAAATGGTGTTTGGATACTACTTCACATGCTCAATGACTAACAAATTATACAGATCAATCTCACACATCACAAAGCTTACAAAGTACTACTAATAACTTCAAAACTGAGGGGAATTTATTTTCCATAAAAAATCTCCTAGATGGAAGAAGCTTGAATAACTAGCAACAAACATCTTACTAACCTCCATATTACCAGAGATTGGAGATGCATGCAGATGGCTATGAAGCCATTTTCGGGTCTTCATATGTTGAAGCCTGATAATGCTTCCACCTTTGATTGGGTCCCCTTGTTTGGCATTTGAATCTGGTACAGGTCTAACAATCTACAAATAAGTCGAATCACGTCAACCTTCATCAGACCACATATAAAGGACAAACCAAAAGAAAAATCTATGATGAAGAAACGTACCCAGTAACTGTTTGCATCATCGACATTGGGAAAACCAGTAACAGACTGCTGGCCACTACCAGAGCCATAGGGCACATCATGCGAATGGAGTCTAAATTTTGTCCTCTCATGCATCAATTTGATAGTTGAGCCATAAGTGATCTGGGAAAAACCACCAACAGAAAATTGGAATCATATATTGGAAATAACAATTCGACACCCTACCGGAAAGTAATGTATCTAACCTTCCTGTATTAAATATCATCACTCAGCTGTAAAATGAGTAAGAAAACAGAACCAAACACAACGCAATCATGGAATTCCTAGCCTTGAACCAGATTACAACCAAATGGTTTCACACCAAATGCCTTTTTTTTTTCTAAGATAACTACGGGCATCATCATGCTACACAGTGGCAGACGGCCAGAATAATATTACAGAAAAAATACAAAGTGGCATTTCTATCCACGAATTCAGGCCAAAAACAAAAGAAACCTCTCTCTTTCCATTTCCCCCAATATCACATTGCAGCGTATTACCCAAACATCCAACGGCGTATGCAATGATAACAACCCACAAGTCAAACAATGCTGTCTAACTTCTCGAAAAAAAAAATTACCAAACTTAGCTCAAATCTGAAAAAATAGATGAATCAAATCCCACGAGAAGCAAAAAGCAAAAAAAAGAAAAAATCATAAATAGGGCTTAGAAGTTATTATAATTACCTGAACCCCTTCGGAAGCAGCGGAAACGGGGGTTGAGGCGAAATCGGGGTCAAGGGTGAGATAGAGGAAAATCGCGAGGCCGAAGAAGGAGACAGCCATTAGTAGAAGTAAACCAATAAACCAGGTTTTTTGCCAAAACGGCAAGTGCAGATCGGACCTCGCCGATTCTCTGTAAACTATTCGAGTCGGAGCCGCAGAAGCTTGGTTGCGGGTCGGATCCGATGATGATCCGGGTGCAGACTTCCTGCGGGTGAGATTTTGTTGATGCTGTTGGCTTTGGCCGCCTGAGGGAGCCACGGTGGAAGCTTTGTTGCGAAACACGGAGCTCCGATTGCCCGCTCCGACCGATAATGTATGGGATTCTTGTGATGACAGTGATGATGATGATGAGGGTTTGTTGTTGTACGTCGTTCGTATTGCGAGATTCTGATTATGCATTTCAGTTTTCTTCAACCCAGGTCTTGTGCTGTTACGTGGCAATGAAAATTTGGAACCAATGACGAGTTGCCAAGTGGAAACTTGATGATGTGGAACTTCTTCATTGGTCAGGTAACACATTCCCTGCAGTCACAAAAGTTTAACATTATTTCATTATCGTCGCCCATTATTATTACTCAATTTTTTAAATGTGGAATTAGTAAATTCTACATGTAGAGATGTATGGATTGATTTCAAGTCGGATTGTAGTTTTGATTTGGCAACCCCCTCTTTTTAAAAAATAATCCATTCAAATATACTACTAGAAATTGACCATCTAGGATTGTCAATGATGAGAAGTAGTAATACATCAGCACTCTTTACTATAAGGTATTTTAATTTATCCTAAATTTTACTTAGTATGCATTTTTAATTGAAGAAAAAAATATTAAAAATATTTCATAACGATCAAGAGAATGTAATAAATATGAAAAAATATATTTTAAAGTTTTTTCGTCAATTAAAAATGTGTACTAGGTGAAACCTATGAAAAATCAAAATGTCTTATATTAAGAACGGGAGGGAGTACTATTTTTAGTTAACACTTAACACTGTTAGCTCGTGTGGTATTTTGTTTTAATTTTTTTTAAAAAAGCAGTGTAATTTATGTGAAAATTCACAAAAACTCTAAATGTTGTCTCCTTGATGAGTCTTGTTTAAAAGAAAAATCAAATTATTGTAACAAATCAAATTATTTTGACACCCTCTGACTCACTATCAATTACTAGTATCAAACAATTGCAAATGTCATGGGCGGTTGTACGTTTTAGAAAGGTTTCATTAGCTATCATCCTAAATTGTTGTATTTTCCCTTTCCTTTTTCTTCAAAATTACTTCTGTATGAATCAAAATTAAACATGCCAAAAAAACCAAATCAAATAAAAGGTGGTTCCAAAGTATAAATGAACTAGCCCCAAGTAAGAACATATATTAGTACTTCCTTTTTTTTTTTTTTCCCTCCAAAATCTTTGTGTAAGTTGAGGAGGCAGCCAGGCAGGCAATAATGAAGCCCGTCAGCAGCAACAAACGACAAAACCGAACTATGGGATGTAAGTGTATATATATAACCAATTTAAACATTGGAAACATCAATCGGTTTGGTAGACACGAAAAATCAAAGACCAAAATCGGAAATGATCTTACGGATGAGAGATAAACGGACTTCAAACCCGGGAGTTATTACGAGGGAAAATGTGCCACACCAAGAATCCGAGAAAAAAAAAAAACTGGAAATAGAAGACAAAAAGGCTCTGCATGCAAATTAATGCGGTTCCAAATGTGTAACTTGTTCAATTTCGTCTTATAATTCAATAACAGTACTAATAACGTTAGCAATGTGTAACTTGTTCTATGGGAATTCGGATAATCGAATGTCACTATATTTGTGATTTTACTTATAGAACATGATTTGTGTGTCTTCTCGGTAATAAACATACAACAAGGAGAAGATTATTTGATTATCTAATCAGTTCAGATGAAATCAACGGGTTCAAGTTCAACACTTGTTGAGTACAGTTCAGCACTGACACAAAAACAAGTACCAAATGCACTGTGCTTTCTTACGTCTTCCATTTATTCCTTCCTACCCAAACTCTTTTCTTCCATGGCTTCTCTCTTCCTCTTGTCTTTTTCCCTTCCTTTTTTTGTGAGGGTAATTTCAATCGGCTGATTAATCTACTTTCTCAACTCCATTTTCATTTTTTTTTGTTAAGTTCTGGTAAAATTTCTTGAAATCAGAGCATTTGCTTGGTGAATTTTAAGTTTGGGGTGGTTGGAAAATAAGTGAGTTTTGTATGATTGTTTGAGAGGGTAATTGGATAAGCATTTTTCTGGGTTTGGGCATATGGGGAGAAAGGAGGAAGTCGACATAGAAGATGAGGTCCATGCTCTGCTCATTGATGAAGGGGTGAAGCTTCTTGCTCCCCCTAATACTGTTGATCGACTCCTTGCAATCCTAGATGTAAAGTTCAAATTTTTATCCCCCCAAGCTTCTTCTCCGATTAATGTATCAACTTTTTGTTTCATGTTTATGTGTTGCATGCATGCCATAAACTCCGTACAAGATCACGATTTTGCTCATTTGAAGTTTTATTTATTTTGTGTGATTAATGACTGTTGATGGGTCGATTTTGTTGGATTGGTTTTTTTATTTTTTTGTATCTCTTCGGCAATTGGAAAAAGACTGTTGTTTCTGATTTCTGCGTAAATTAACAAAGCTTGATCACAGTGCACGCACGGCAGAAAACATTTCTTTAGTTACCGTTTTCTATGATCAGGATGCCATTTGCTAAAATAGTTGTTAAGGGGTGAAGCTTCTTGCTCCACCTAGTACTGTTGATCGACTCCTTGCTGTCCTAGATGTAAAGTTCAAATTTTTAACCACCAAGTTTCTTGTCCCATTAATGCATCAGCTTTTTGTTTCATGTTTATGTGTTGCATGCATGCCATAAACTCTGTACAAGATCACGATTTTGCTCATTTGAAGTTTTATTTATTTTGTGATTTAAGACTGTTGATGGGTCTAATTTGTTGGATTGGTTTTCTTTGTTTCCTCCGCAATCGGAAAAAAGACTGTAACTTGTTTCTGATTTCTGCGCAAATAGCTTGATCACAGTGCACACATGGCAGAAAACATTTCCTTAGTTACCGTTTTCTAACATTAGGATGCCATTTGCTAAAATAGTTGTTGACGGGGTGAATTTGCTGTTTCCAAGTGGAAGAAGTTAAGAATGAATGATTAGGGGCTCAAACTTATTAGACCACTCTCATCCCTAAGTTAGTTTTTAAATTTTTTGTTGTGAGTTAGTAATTTTTCTTGTCTCTTATTGTTTCCTAGGATATGGAGATTATCTTGGGGAGTTTGGGGCAAGATCCTTCTCCTTCATTACGTGATGCACTCCTGCCTACCAAAATGGGGCTGGTATCTGACAAGCTCTTTAGACATCCTGATATGGATGTTAAAGCTTCTGCGCTGTCTTGCATTCACGAGCTTATAAGAATTACAGCTCCTGAATCACCCTATCCGAGTGGCACAATGAAGGTCAGCCGAACCCCTGGCCTCTGTTCACATTTAGTGCGTCTATTCTTTTCGGGATGGTTTGGTTATGAATTGAGTTTTGACTTTTGCCATTTCAATGGCTCACAGGAAATCTTTTGTCAAACGCTTGTTCTATTTGAGAAGTTGATTTCGTACTCTGGTCGGTGTTATACAAAGGCTTTGCACGTTCTTGAAACTGTGGCAAAGGTCAGATCGTGCTTGATTTTACTGGAGATAGGGTGCGATGATTTGATATACCAGATGTTTCAACTCCTGCTCAATACCATCAGGTATGTCTGGAATGTTGTGTGAAATTGTTAGATTCTTCAATTTAGCTGGCAAAATTTTGTGAATCACTTTTGTTCTTTGTAGTTTGTACACTTTAAAATTGTTTCGGTTTTCTATAGATATTAAATAATGTCTTCTATGGAAGTATGTACAACTGAATACCGGTAGGATTTTGAAGGTTAATTCTTTTCCTTTTATTGTTTTTCCCTTGTGTTTTCCATGTCCAGTTCTTGGGCCATGCAGTTTAATGGTGGAGATGTCAAAAGCTTTATAATGTATTCAATGATATTTCACTGATGTTTGCAATTTGAAATTTGTGAAAAAGGTCAAACCATCCAGATGCTGTATTCTCTAACATGGAGAGAATCATGACTTTGCTGATAGAAGAATGTGATGAAATCTCAATGCCTCTTCTGAAGCCTCTTCTAGCTAGTGTGGGAAAGGGAAATAAGGTGTTGAATCTTTGATATATCTCTTAATGGTTATCTTCCTTCTACTGTTTTGTTTGGATGAATAACCTGTTTTTGCTTTGATTTTTTGGTTCTTTTGTTTTTGTCTCAGAACTTTTCCCCGATTTCCTGGAGATTAGGGGTGAAGGTACTGAATAATTGTTCTGTCAGGGTCAAACCTTATCTCATCAAAGCAGTGGAACAAATGAGGCAGGACATTGAGAATCATACTGATATAGTTGCTTCAATATGGCCTGATGCTACTGTTGTTAATGTAATGGGATCTCTTTTCTTTCATTGTTCTTTCTTTTATTTTATTAGTTTGTTTGGAATTCAAACATGACATGCTTTATTTATGGTTATGTTGACTGATCAGGTGATGAAAAAGGCAGCAACAGAGTCCAATAATCTTGTGCAAAATCTGTCCAATGGCAGGGCTGAGAAGACTGGCAATTTTAAAAGTGCAATACCGGACGATGACCCTTCAAAGGCATTAGTGATCCCAGGACACTTTGGGCCTCTACAAATAATTGCTAATAAATCTATCAAACCTGAACCTTTAGAAAGTGGAGCAACTCCTTCAAGGAGAAGGGGCAGAAGGCCCAATGCTATGAAAACACTCGATGAAGTTGGTAAATATTCAAGGGTTAGTGGAGGTACTACTTCTTCAAAAGCATCTCCGAAAAGGAAGAATCACGGTGGAACAATAACAAAGCATTCATCAACAGAAAAGTCCTCTCTTCAGCCAAAACGTGTCCCCATAGCTCAAAATTCTGTCCGCAGATGTCAGCCAAAGAAGAAAGTGAATATGAAAAGTTCACGTGTAAAGAAAGAAGTACACTCTCTGAGTGATAATGAAATGAAAAATGAAAGAACTGCTTGGAATCATGATGCTGAAAGAACTCCTTCAGGGGTAAGAAACATTAAGTGTTTGCATTCATATTGCATGATAGGTACCAAATTGGTCTGACATAAAGTTTCCATTTGCACTACTTGATAGGAACAAAATGGTGATAATGAGTATCGTGAAGAGTTGATAGGTCTAAGGATAAAGGTCTTTTGGCCTGTTGATCGTCAGTAAGTACCTTAAATGACTTGTAACTTAAAATTATGCTAATTTATTGCTTCAGTTATGTCTCAGTTAAGACTTTTTGTTCAGTTAGCCCAGTTTTTGTATTGCTTTGTAGTTCATGTTTGCGTTCTTTTTCATGCTTTGATATTGTGCTTATCTTCGGTAGCTCTTTACTTTATACACCAGTATCATTCTAGAATTTACTTGGACATAGTGGGAAAAAAGGCTTGTAATTGTATTGTGCTTTTCATACGTGGATATTGCTCATGTTTAAGTTGCTTTTCATATGTGGATATTGGGCTTATCTTCCGTAGCAGTTTAGTTTATAGTGTCGTTTTAGAATTTAGAGTTTGTATTAAGTTATCCCCACTTCTGCATTTCTTTAAATTAGGCTTAACTAAGTCTTCAGTGTGTATGCTAACTTTTTGTTCCCAATACTAGTATCATTTGGGACTGTTGTTCAGTTTGCCTGTTTCTGCACTGCTTTGCACCTTGAGTTGCCCTAAGTATTCTGAAGCTATGGTTTTCTCTGTAGCTCTTCAATTTGAACTACTTTTTGGGATCAGTACCACTATCAATTTACGCTTTTCCGTTGATGATGTAAGCATTTGAAATCTGGCGATATTTTTTTTTTTTAGAAATTGTGGTGTTACATAATTATTTTGTTAACCTTTATGATTGAGAACATGTATATCAATTGGGTTATGTGGCTGAGTGATTGATTCAAGGTAAAGATCTTGTGGCCTTCTGATCATCAGGAAGTAACTTAAGTTGCATGTAGTACTTCAAAACTATTCTTACATCCTGTTGCCCTCAGTCTGTACTAAATTTGCTTTTTAGTACCCGTATCGTTTTATTGTCTTTTGTTCAGTTAGCCTTTTCCTGCACAGCTTAGTGCCTAGTTGGAGGCATTTCTCATTGTTGATGATATGCTTAGAATCCGAAGCTATATCTTCCATTGTGTTTTAAGTTTATTAGTCTGTTTGATGGATTCATTTCTAGCATCAGTTGAATCCATTATGCATGTACGTTAACTTCCTGAATTTCTTTTGGTTGAATGAGATTCACTCTTGTTATTGCCTGTTATAAACCTGAGCTTAGCTGTGTATTTCAGTTGGATACTTAATATGTAATATTCTGATAGATGGATTATCTTTTGTGCAGGTTCTATGAGGGTATTGTTGAATCCTATGATTATCACACAAAGAAGCATGAGGTGCTATTTTATTCAGCATTTAAATACTGTTTTCATTTAGTCTCCCCTCCAACCCCCCCCTCCCTCCTCCAGTGCTCTGAAGTCTCCTTACCACTGGTTTGCTTCTTGATTTCTTTGTTGCTTTTCCCTTTTATGCTCGACATCTATCCTTAATATGTTTAAGTTGTTTTCTGAAGTTACCAAAATTGCTTACTGTTGGACGGACCTTGAACTTCAAACTTCTTGCTGCTAACTGATTCATTATCTTTGTCGCTGTCATCACATTCTTATTTGGCCTTGACTATTCCAGGTTGTTTATTTTGATGGTGATGTAGAGAACCTGAGACTATGCAGGGAGTGCTGGCTACTGCTCGATGACATACCTGCTAAAATGGTGAGTATCTCTTGGTTTTCTACCCATGTATACTACACTTTCCAGTCAAAATTCGGATGAATATCCTTCATGTATGTTTGAATTAGTGACAGAATATCTGGTTTGTGATGCATTTACAGGATATTAAAGAGGATATTTTTCCAATTTCTTCTATTATGCCTGTCAAGTAAGTACTGATCCAGCGCTTTTCTTCTTGCGCCTCTTGATGAACCTTTATAAATATGTTCTTGTTAAGAAATTCCCTTTATTGAACTTTATATAAAATCAAGAAGCAAATTTATAGTCCCTGTTTGCATTTCTCTGTAAATATGAATTTATCAGAACTTGGGGTGGCATGGCTTACATATAAGCTACATTATGTTGTTTTTTCTGCATCTTCACCTTTTTGCCTTTACAGTCCACAGTAAAGTCTCTATATTTTTCTATCGTTTTATCTTTAACTCATTGAATCGATTTGTATTACTTAACAAGCTATGTTGTGGGCAACTAGTGAAATTTAAGATTAATGACTTAATTAACCACAAAAATGAACTGAAGTACACGACACAAAGATCATCGTTGCATGTTGTTGACCATCTCTTTGGGACTACAGAATCATGTACAAGATAGTCAGAACCTATATTTGAATGTCCTTTTGAGTTCTTTAGCACAGTCATGATAACAAGTTGTTTACTTGGACGATTATAAAAGAATTATTTGAACATGCTAGAATCTTTGTATTCACTAAGGCAGTTGTTCTTCGGGGTTGTACATTTGATTAGGTTGGAGAAGGGGGAAGCAAGCTCGCAGCGCAAGGCAAAACAAGGAAAAAATGGCTCGCGATCAATAAGGAAAGGCAATTCTAGCTCTTCATGGAGAAGGTTTGTAGTTAATAATTCAGTAAGCTTTGGAAACTCGTAATGCAGGGATTAGCTGATGACTTCCTACCAAATTTGTGATTGGGTTCAGTTGATAATAATAATAGTAAGTATTTCTTCCATCAGGTGGAAGCCTAAAGCCGGACCTGAGACCAGAGAGCCCTTTTCTACTCAAGAGATTCTTGCGATAAAGAATGAGCCGTATACTGGAGATGAGAAGGAGGATGCTGGAATTCCACCGACACGCGATGAAATAATCATGTACACTCGGAGACCTCGCCAGTGGTCGTTTGGCTAGAAACAGGGTCTACTGAAGAACTCAATGCAGTTCATGCCAAGAATATTGCTCCAACATCTTGGAAATTGTTATCGTAGGTGTTTGATAAAAAAGGAAATTGTGGCTCTAAACTTGATAGGGATGACCGGATGTGCTAGTTTTCAACTGTTTCTGTTAGATGACATCGGTAATGATATATACTCCAAATTTACGTATGTGTATAAATATTGGTGCGACGGAATGACTAATTTCGTCTTAAATTATATTCTCCCCCTCTCAATTTATTATCTCAAAAAAAAATTCTACAGAGGAGTTTTTTAGAGACTGGAGACTTTTTATGAACGTGATGCTCTTAACTATTTCATTAATGTAAACATTGTTGTCTAAAAGTTTTCTTAATTTGTCTTCTATTGAGGAGATAATAAAAGGGGAAGAGAAAAATAAAGCTTTTCAGTATACCACTATTTAATTTGAAATTTGTAATTAATCAATAATTCATTAACATTCCTCATCAAAAAAAGAAAAGAAAGAAAGAAAATCATTCATTAAGTTTTGAAAACCTAATCGAGTATGGTTTTCTGTTTTTGGAAGGGGTCAATCTATTTATTATTTTATTGTTTATATTATAGTATTACTGATTATTATTACAAGGCTAATTGTAAACCAAATCAAAGTCGGTTTTACAAAAGTCGGTTCCATTAAAGATAAGATTTCTTTTTCCGATTTGCACGATGAAAACTCACGTTCCCTCTCCTTGTTATAACTATAAAACCCTAAGCTTACAAGAATTTGGAACGGAGAAAAAACGTATACGTATAAATACGTGGCGGCCTGATATTTCGGACGGAGGGAAAATCAAAAACCCCGCAAAAAAAAAAAAAAAAAAAATGGTGGTGATGAAAAAAGTGAATGCCAGTAATCTGGCGGAAGAATTCCGGGTAATCGGAGAAGTTTTACGGCGGAACAAAGGCTCCTACGTGGCAGTAGATACGGAATTCCCGGGCATTGTACATAAGCCCAATAAACCTTATTTTCAACTGACTAACGAAGAGCACTACTCTGTTTTGAGGAAGAACGTGAACGATCTTAAGCTGATTCAATTGGGTCTCACAATCTCCGATCACCAGAAGAACATTGCCGCCGTTTGGGAGTTCAATTTCAGGGAATTCGACGTCGAAAACCACCCCCAAGACCTCGATTCCATCGATTTGCTGAGGAAACAGGGGATGGATTTCCGAGCTAACAGAGAAACAGGGATCCGAGCAGAGGATTTCAAAGAACTGTTTCTGAATTCCGAATTGGGGTATCATTCATCGAGAATCCATAACCGCGAGAATTGGGTTTCAACTGGGATTGAACTTGAAACTCGATCGGATCCAAAATTGACTTGGGTTTTCTTCCACTGCAATCACGACATTGGGTATTTGATCAGAATGTTAACCGGAAACCCATTGCCGGCGAAATTGGAAGATTTCATGGACCTGGTTTGGTGGTATCTGGGAGACAATATATACGATCTGAAAGAGAGGATAAAGGCGGAACCTTTTGGGGTTGAATGGGTCGGGCTTGACAAAGTTGCAGAGATTCTGAATGTGAAAAGGATTGGGGGAGAAAGCCATCAAGCTGGATCCGATAGTTTACTAACACTCTTATGTTTCTTCGAGTGGAGGAGGATCCGACAAGGTTTAAGAGGGTGGGAAGATTTGCAATTCAACTACAAATTGCATGGACTTGAAGTCCCTGATCTCATCAAGTCCTCCACTGAAGCTCATCAACGCTCTTCTTCTTCTTCTTCTAATAATAATAATAATAAGCTGCAGTTGCCTCCTGTATATCTTCGTCTAGGCAGTTTTATTTTTCCATATTTCAATACAACCATAACTGACACAAACTTGTTCTCTAACTTTTAGATTTTCCTTGATATATATCACACAAACTTACAATTACTACTCTTTTTCTTCATTTATTTGTTGCTTGAAAAAAGTTATCAGCAAATAAGGTTAGTTCTTGTTAAATGGCTTTGTTCTTTTTGTCCCATCGCTATCGAGGAGGGTACGACATCATCTTCCTACACGTTCAAATTGTGCAGGCTAGTGAAATTTTCTATATGGTATCAAAGCAGATCCTACCCATAATCCGACAATATATCTAATGATTTAGTTCAAACTTTTTGGGTTTAATATTGGATTTCTGCGAATTATGTCTTCATTGCTAATTGGTTTTTATAATTATGTCGGCTTCCAGGCCGATTTAATTTTTTCAATAATAATGTATATATAAGACCAGAACACTAGGAAGATTAAGAAACAAGAACAATATATTGTAAAAGTGTTTTTAATCTGATTAGTATTAAGAACAAAGATATTGTAAAAGTGTTTTTAATCTAACTAGTATTTTAATATATTATATATTAATTTAATAATAAAAAAATGTACTATTTCAGTTTGGCTAATAGTTGAATGTAATCTCTGATTTATTTCACTTTGTATTTTGGTTTGACTATGGAGTTTTTTTATTTTATTTTTTTTATCATTTGTATACGTATATAAGTATAATTTTTTGGTTTTTTAAACAGGCTTAATGGCTAATTTTGATTTAATTATCCTATTTTAGAGTGATTAATTTGTCCCCGACTTTTATTTTGTGTTTTAAGAATCAAATGAAAATCATAATCTATAGTTAAATTGAGTATTATATAAACTACTAATCACGCATGAAAGGAAAATAAGACACGTAATTGTGTATGATTTCATGTACAAAAAAAATAAAAAAAATATGGTGGATCGCAGAAAAGAAGGATAATTTATGGATCAAATGGATCCATGAATAGTATATAAAACAGGGGAATTTCTGGCAAATGCAGCCTAAACAAAGCTCAAGCTGGCAATGGAGAGGGTTACTGGAGCTTAAGAAGAAAGTGAAAAACGAGTTCCAAGGCACAAAATGGAAACATACCTTAGTCAGGTAAGTACTCTGTCTCTTAAGGATACAATTGGTTGAATGGGCATGATGCAGAATGGACAGCTGCGAAATTCATTTGGGATAAGGCTAGTGTGCCTAAGCACTCGTTTATTTTATGGTTGTTCTGGCAAAATAGGTTACTTATAAAAGATAGATTACTGAGGTTCAATATGTTGAAAGATAGATTAGAATGTATGTTCTGTCAGGGGGAACCTGAAACATCAGTACATCTATTTTTTGAATGTGCCTTCTCAACTGAATTGATAAAAGAAGTTGGCAAGTGGATGGGGATTCCAGGTATTGCTGTTGATCAGTTACAATGGATAAGTCAGGTTTTGAATGCTTGGAAGTCTCAGAAGCTGAAAAAAAGAGTGTTAAATGCGGCAATGGCTACTGTGATCTACCATATATGGGAAGAAAGAAACCAAGGGATTTTTACTGGAAAAGAAAGAACAGTTGCAGGGGTGGTGAAGCTGATTAAACTAGAACTACTTTGGAGATTCGAACACTGTTTGGCCAGAAAGGCAAATTGTAAAGTTGATAGAATGATGACAACTCTGGTTAGGTTCTGGTAAAATTTTGATGTACAGATATAGAGGTGATAGATAGTCTCTGAACATGGAATTTGGTTGTAAATATGCTCTGGTTTTGGAAATCAATATATTTATATTTACAAAAAAATAAAAAATAAAAAATTTGAACCATTTTTTGGGATAATAATAATAATAATAATACAAGTAAATACAATCAATGAATAATTTTATCTTCTTTTTTTTTGAGGGAAAATGAAATAAATTCCAGATAAACTTAAAACCATTCCATCTTTCAAAAGACAAAATAATAAAATCTCTATCCACCAGAAGTCCAACATTAAAATCTGAAAACACTACGCAAAATTTCAAATTCCCTTTAAACCAGATAGCCTCAAGTCTAACTTAGACCCTGTTTGATAATCACTTAATATAGTGACTTAATTTATTTAAGTACTTAATAAAATTAAGTGTGTTTGATAATCGTTACTAAATTGTCTTAATGAATTAAATTTTGAACTAATTAAGTACTTATTAATTAAGTGCGTTTGCTAACTAAAATTTCACTATCTGAATTAATTAAGTGCATCTGAATGGTCAGTTCAATTGAGAGCCAAAAAATAAGTCATATGCCTACCACTTATCACTTAACACTTAATTTCTGTATTGATTGATTTTTTTTTCCCTTTTTCCACTCGTCTTTATTTCAACGCTTATTTTTACATTATTTTAAAATTTTTATTTTCTTAAGATAATTTTATTAAGAGTGCTTAAATTTGAATTTAGATTATGAGCATAAACAATCTCAAACTTTCAAACTGAAATTAAACTAATTTTAATACATAAAATTTTCTAAATAGCAAGATATATATATATATATATATATATATGTATGTATCTTGTTATTTAGCAAGTGTAATATCTACTTTCATTGTATACACTAAAAATTTATTTTAAAATTATTATTTTATTATTTAGAAAAAAAATATTAGTTATCTATTAAAAAGAATTTTGTTTATAATTCAATTTTAATGATATTAAAAATTTAAATAACTTTCAGACCTGAGTATTCAAAATCAGTCTTCAGACTTCAGACTTCAGTCTTTAGACATCGAATTCAGATGTTTTTATCAAATAATGTAAATTCAGTCATCAAACTTCAGATTTCGGTTCAAACTTCGGTGTTAAGTGTTAAGTGTTAAGATTCAGATTTCAATGATTATCAAACGGAGCCTTAATAAAGACAATTAGAGAAGAGAATACTCTATTCCTCCTCTACTATTCTTCCCTTCTCACTGACATAGATACCATCAAGGAACTTTCTAATATCTTTGTTCTTCACATGACCTTTCTGGTTAATCAGGGCAGCAAATCTGGAGACAAGCTCAATGTCATTTTATCCATTCATATACACACACACACATATATATATATATGTATTTGTTTGGAAATATTATTGATAAACTTATATATTGGTAATAGATTAAATTTCTATTGGTAATAGCCGACCTTTTCTTATCAGCAAGATGTTCACTATCAACAAGAGATAAACTCATAAATTATTCTTTTCTTGTCAATTAAAATATGTTCCTTAAGTTCGTCATTTAAATTCTCATTTCCAAACTTTCTTGACCACTTTTTTTTTTTTTATAATAAAGAATCCCTGTTAATGCTCACTTTTTCGGTTTTTTTTTTCTTTTTTTTGTTAGATGAGGACAGTACTACTATCAATTTTCATAATAATAATAATTGTCATAGTTTTTTAATAATAATAATCAAAGTGGATTGATGGGCAATAACAATAATATCGATCCCACAAATAAAAATAATTAAAAAGAGGATTTCTGATTGAAGAATATTCAAAAGTGTCTACCTTAAGTAGGAGAAAGATACTGAGATTCAGAACCGCAATCTTGTGTACCTCATCCCGAGAAAACATTAGCAAATCACAAATACAAAACAAATAAGAAACGGTGGAAGGGAAAAAACTAAAATACTCCCTCGGTCCCATAATTATTGTCCAGTTTGAATTTTTATTTCTAGTTCAAATTATACTAAAGGTAAAATATCAAACTGGATAATAATTTTGGGACGGAGGGAGTAATTGACAAAATAATCTGTGTATTTAATGAGTGAGAGAAGATCAAGAATTTCAACGAACTCAAACAATCCGAAATTAGGAATATATTTAAATTTTTTTAAAGATCATATCGTTTTATCTAATGGACATCATCACAAAGTTATAAAATAGTACCATTATATGTATATTTACTATATTTGGATTTGAAACTTAGAACAGGTCAAAGTAAATTTTTATATGGTAATAACAAAAAAAAATACCCTAACCCATTGATATGAAATTCAAATGCTTTGGTACTTGTTCTTCTTTGCCTCCGCCGACTTTATTCCTTGATTAACTTTCATTCTTATGGCTGGCCGTGTGTATTTATGTAGTCTCTAGTCTCTACCGCGGATTTTTTTCCTCGTTCTTTTCTTCCTTTTCGCCGATGATGCTGTTTTGTTCTCGTTGATGATGAAATGTTTAATTCATTCCTTAGTTTCTGTTGTTTCTAAGCAACACATTCAAATTTGAGCCACGAGTTAAAGGAAATTATTCCTAATGAAGCCATCAGTTTAAATGAACCTTATCAAATTCTAGATAAGGAATGGCCACCGGATACAAGCGAAGTAATCGCCGTAAATGGCTTTACAATCGGTTGAAGGTTTTACTCGATAGGTGAAAGTTAATTTATATAACATATTACCATTTTACAGTTTATAAAATCTTCATATAAAGTGCAATGAATTAGAAGATGATATCTGAATCACAAAAAAACTCACCGAATGAAAAGATGATACTTGTACTTGAAAATTATCAATGGTCTAAAATCGACTGACATGTGTCTTTTGGAAAAATTTCCTATATCTATCTATATATAGATATATATAGATATATATATATAGGAAGTGACTACAGTCTATATATATATATATATATATATAGATAGTTCAGTTAATAATATTCACCGTTGGATGACAAAGAAACCATCTTACCCGTAGAATCAAATAAAAGGCAACATGATCCAAAAATAAGGTAATTATAGAGGATAATTTTTTTAATAACAGTTTAAATCAAAATTACTAGATTTTTAATAACAGTTTAAATCAAAATTACTAATCAAAATTACTAGATTACCTTTCTTTCTTTCTCTCTCTTTTTTTTTTAAATGATGTTTTCGTCCTTGATAACTATGAACAATCTTCATGGATTAATCCTTTCAAAACTGAATCCATTTTTCATCAATGGACATTTTTACGATGAACCTTGTGTAAACCTCATTAACCCATATATGCAGGTTGCTTTTGAACAACTTTCACAACTAGCCAATGTCCATGAAACCAAACATTTTATTTATTTTTTTATTCACAACAATGCTAATATACAGAACTTCAAACTCCGATCATTTCCAAATATAATCACTTCTTGACCATTAATTTTGATTCACCAAATTCCCTGAACCACTTATCCACTTGAAAAAATATTTGAAAAAAAAAGAAGTTAATCATCTCCAAAATATTTACGACCCAGAAAGCCATTAAAATTTATCATCTGCATATTTCTCGCAAATCTAGTAATTTCGCCATAAATTGCTTGTTTATTAAACACAAATAATGGAGTACATTTGTTCTCATTCTCTTTAAAAGGAATAGAGAAAAAAAAAAAAGAAGACATAATAATAATTAAACAAAAGAAAGTCTAAAATATTGAGTACAAAAGATAATGATTTTTGACCAATTAATCTGGGCATGAGCGCAAGGAAGAACTTGAAGAGAGATTAACGGGTAATGGAACTTTTAAGAACTAAAAAATTGTATAAGAGTTGTTTTGTATTTACATATTATATTTTTATTTAATAGATAATAAGGGGTTTATTAAGATACTTCTCACCCCATAATTATAAATGACATGTCAAACTTTAATTGGGTGTGACTTAACTAAATGGTTCAGTCAAAAAGTAATGACTGAATCATAGAATTTCCTATATATATATATAAAAGATTGGAGAAATTAAAAGCGAGCACCATGGAA